TGCAGTGAATCCCGCACAACCAAAACTGATACACCAATTAAAAAGGAAATGGCCGCTGCTTTTATTTCGAGAAGGAAAGGTACACGCCAACGCAGGTGGTGGGTCTGAGGAAAAGGGAGGTACGGGAGGCGGCGTTACAAACAATGGGGATGTGTATCACTGGGGTACAATTTGAGGCAATGTTGATGGACAAGGAACAATGAAATTTTAAAATAGGCAAGGATTTCTGGAAGGTTATCTCGATAGGCTGTAGTTTTGGGCTAACTTTGGTAAAATTAATATAGTTTAAATTATAATATAATAAATAAATAATAATATGGATAATATAATACAGTATATAAATAAATCATAATATAAATAATATAATGTAATATAGTACAGTATAATAAAAATAAAAATATAATTTACAAAACTTAAAACAGTCTTCTTAATTATAATGTACCCTGTATACTATGTATAATTTTTATCTGGAACCATAATTATTAATAATCTCACCATACATTCTCGAATTGGTTACTAGTATTAAACTGATGCAGAATAAATTAAAATTGATGATGATCTTTCGGCAAATTTGTCCCAATACACTTCTTGCAAGTTAGGGTCAATTTTGATACAAAATAATTTGTGTGCTGATATGATTAATTTGTACTCATCATTCATGGGAGTTCATGAGTTTGAAATATCATTCTGGTTGGAGTAGGGAGACTGCTACGTACATATTCTATTCCATAATTGACAAACCAGATGGATGGGGTTCACAGGGTAACCGCGTTTAGTTTGAAATATTTGAATGATCTGGTAAAAATAATAAAACCGTTGCATAGTTATTTCTTGGAGATATTCCTTGTTTTTATTTATTCGAGGTTCTTCCAAATTGGCCTCTTAAATATTAAAAGAGTTGATAGATACGTATTACATAAGCGGATCATGGCGTTGTTAAAAACTGAACAGTATACTTTTCAACAAAATTAAAATTACTACAATTCGTTTTAACCAAAATTTAACAATGACTTGTTCACATATCAAATTAAATCAAATCCGGTAGCAGAAAACTATCGGTGACTTGCTGCTGCGATCACCAATTTGCGGATGTTTCCTTAGCCAAGTAAATCGAGCATGTCAGTGAGGTCTTCAACTGAGGTTTTATCGATGAGCCGATTGTCCAAAATTAATTTGATCACGTCCCCCTCCAAATACTTAAGTGATAATAGAAATACGGAATTATACTTTTGATAACGTATGAAGGGAAACTACAACAGAAAATCATGTACCGAAGCGTTTGCTAACGCAGCCTTTTGCATCAAAACGAATGCATTGTCCGCGCTGATATTCCGCATCAGAATCTCCCCACAGGAACTCTGAGCTTCCTCGTCGCAATAACAATTCGCCTACTTCATAAGGTCCAAAAAATAATTCTGCACATTTAATACTTCAATTTTAAATTGCCACAAATTTCGAAAAACGTTGCATAAATGTGTATCCATTTAACAGATTTTGAACCCCGGAAATTTTGACCTGTGACACGTTAGTGACCGTTTCAAAAATTTTGAACGGGCAAAACAATATGATATGATATCATTTTAACGTATGAAACACTTCTTTTACACCTAGGTTATATTCGTTGTAACGTTTATATACGGGGATAAAATAAAATGAACTTCTGTATCAAAATATTTATTTGTTGATGACTTCATTTCATTTATTTTAATTTATTAGGTAATTATAATTAAATATGGGCTTTTCACAGATAAAAAGCGTTTTCTTTTCCGATTGAAAACTTATAAGTAAGTAATAATTTTGTTTACGGGTTATTTTTTTGAGAAAAATTTATGATTATGATTTTATACCAGTATTCGTTTTAAAATTTAAGATATAGTTTGGAGGAAGAATTCTTATCAAATTTTACATGATTTCCTAGGTTTGGTTTAGGGTTTTTTCTTAAATATCTAGATTTTATCAATTTCGTCATACGTTGTTTGAAAAATGTAATTGTTTCAGCTATTATTGTTTTCAAGACTGAAACAATTTTCTTCAAGCAAATATGTACAAAGAATTTCATGAAAAAAAATTCCAAAAGTGAATGTTTCTTCCGTCCTTTTGTAAATTTATTCGTTTTTTTCATGACCAAATATCCGCCCAATGTTACGTGCAATAATACCTACATGACACGTGTCACCCTTTAACTTTAAAATTAATTGAGTAATCCAATTTCGTGTTAAACTCAATTAAAATAAGGTTTAACATGCCACTTAAATAGGTTTTGGTAGGAAGATAAAAATAGCTTGTGTTGAATGGTTTGGGATGGCATTTGGTGCCGTAATTTTGTGTACCTGACGCTGTATTGGATCAATTATTGATGACATGCAAAGGATGGGCTGGATTAATTATTCTAAATTGTGTGCACGCACTTCAAATGATGCAGAATAAATTAAAACTGATTATGATCTTTAGGTAAATTTGTGCAACATATGATATACGTAATGGACCAGTGGGGTACGGGATAGTTTGATGCGGCTGGGTGGTAGCTTGATACAGGCTGCCGGATAGTTTGATGTGGGGCTGCGGGGTCCAACGCCTCCAAATTTATATGAACAAAGCTACCCTGCACCCCGCATCAGGCTAACCGGCAGCCCGGATAAACCTACCCTCCAGCCCACATTAAGCTAACCGGCAGTCCGTATAAAACTACCCCGCAGCTGCATCAAGCTATCCCGCACCCACTGGTCCGTTACGTATATTGTATATTGCACAAATTTGCCTAAAGATCATAATCAGTTTTAATTTATTCGGCCCCATTTTAATACTAGTAACCAATATGAGAGTGTATGGTGATATAATTAATAATCATAGTTCCAGATAAAAATTTAATAAGAAAGGCACATAGTAATTAGGAAGACTATTTTAAGTTTTTGTCGTTTTAAGCTTTATAAATTATATTATTGATTAAATTTAAATTATTATTTATTTATATTTATATTATATTATATTATTATTTATTTATATTTATATTATATTATATTATTATTTATTTATATTTATATTATATTATACTATATTATTATTGATTTATAGTTGCATTAGATTTTACTATATTATATTAATATATTATATAATATTATATTATTCGATCGGGGATTGCTAGGAGGGAAAATGCAATTATTTTGCAAAGTTAAACATATTGGGAACCTTGGATCGAAACTCGAGGCAGCGCCAAATTCTGGTCTAAAATAATTTAAAATTATTTCGAGCCATACTAATGCAACGTTTTAGTCAAAAGTTTAATTTCTTAAAATTAGCAAATAATTCGCACATTTTGGCTCTGATCTCGAAAACTTCTGGCGTCCCCCCTAATTTTATTACGGATTATTGATCTACTCAATATTACGCAAATTTTAACCCATCAAACTCGAAAATCGTTGGAAGATGAAAAAAACACTATTTCATTGTATATCTTATAACAAGTGAAAAGTTTATGAGCTGGGCAAAATCTTGGAGGTTCATGTCATGTTGTATACAGCATCATTACAGATTAGTTATTCTAAAGATATGACGATAGCATATAATGTAATAAATGACCCTTATCTTGACGCCTTATCTCACGAGTCCTCAACTCTTCTTCTCGTTTTTTACGATGCATCTCGCCCACAGCAGCGATTGCACAAGCAGCATGCAGTCTCTGCAAGGGAGAATTCAATAATATTTACGTGTTTAAAATAAAACTAATTCGAGCATTCTTCATTGGATCAAAATATGTATCTACTCACGCGATACTTTTGTTCTTCAAACCGTCGAGTAGCTTCAGCGGCCAATTCCTCCAAGGGATTCCGTGCTTTTGGAATATATTCCATTTGTGCTGGTGAAATGCAGTTTTCTCTCTCAAAATCGTCATCTTTTGGATTGGCTTCATTGTCATGTAAGTGACAAGACTCTTCATCGTGTGTCTCCAAATCGTGGTCCATACCTATTGAGAAAATAGGAGCTCCACCGACAATGAAATCATGATTAACATCGTTCGGTCCGTTTAGCTAACAGAGTTGAATACAAATAGAGGAAACGATATAAGTATGAGAATGTACACGGTTGGATGCCCCCATGACGGTGAAAATCATTCAACTCATAATACTAATTAAAATCTCCAAACATATAAGGTCCAATTAAGTTTAAATTCTTATATATTTAAAAAAGAATGAAAAATATTAATTTGATGCACTCGACTGGAGTGCTACATCAATGTGGCGGCCACCATCCGTGTCATATGAATCGTATTAATGCTGTATGCATTGGTTTAACTCTTCAAACCCTGCTTGAGTTTCTTTCTCATGGACAATGATTTCCTCAATCTCTTCATTGCGTCTCCCCATGTCGTCATGCATGTCTTCTGGGAACATCGACCGAGCTACACTACAACGATAGCAACGATAAGGCAATCAGGATCATCTTGCGGTTAGTAAAACTCTTCAAACTCAGTTTGAGTTTCTTTCTCGTCGACCAAGATTGCATGTATATCTTCTTCTATATAGGGTGATATTACTGATATTTAAAAAATACAGTCTATTTCGTATTACATATAAATTAACCCGCACTATTAAATAAATTATTTTTTCCTTACCAGAATTTTCTGATTCAATATTTTCTTCCTTATTGTCTCGAGGAGAAGGCTGAATCGCAGCCTCTGCATTTTCTGCACCAAGATCTTCCTGCAAGATCAAGACCGGAAGGGAAGACGGAGTTGGGGAACAAGATTTGAGATTGTCATCGGCTTGGTTGCTGTTAAGATGTTGCTCAGCCATTTCCACATCATCGTCACGAGGCGAAAAGTTGTCCGTAATAATGACTTCTGGCTCTTTAATGGTGGGGGTTTCTTCAGGGATGACATTCAGCGTTATTGCTGGCTTGGCTCTCTTGGCAGACTTTTTTGTTGGTTTTGTTTTCTTCGAGGACGATGGTTTCATGCGTTCTTGCTCAGATTTAGCGGTTTGTGGGCCATTCAACGGTGCTTTTCAAATAACATTCGAGCTAAATGAAAATTTTAAGAAGTCATTAGTGAACATATTATCTCATATAAAACTAAAATTAAGCTCTCTCGTTCCTGACTTGTCATGAAATTTGAATGTCTTGCAAACCATAAATGGGGACTTACATTACTGCTGAGTTGATTTTAGAAGCAGGAACTGGCGAGTTAGCATTTATAACAAGGTACTCTGCAGCGGCTAAGTTCGACAAATGATCCGCCGTTTCTTTTGGTTGGTTGTGGGTATTCTTTATGTGACGGTCAAGATTGTCCTTACGCCGAAATGTCGTTCTACAAATGCAACATTTAAACGGACGTTCACCTATGCAAATATAAACAAGCCAAATATTTAACAGGCGTATATCAGTATTATTTTACATTGCATACCAGAATGAATGACGAGATGTCTTTTGAGATTTTTGCTGTTGGAGCTCGTGTACATTGATCGCATGCATGGGGTCGTTCCCTGGAATGCGTTCTCAAGTGAAGGTCCAGCGTCCACTTTAGTCCAAAGCATTTTCCACAATGAGTGCACACATAGGGACGCTCCCCTTTTTTGGAAGAAGAATCAATTTGATTAGAAATAAGGATCATAAGAAACATTAACAGAAAATATATATTGCATTCATTAACCAACCTGTGTGAGTAATTATATGCTTCTTTAAGTTGGTCATTCCAGTGAATCGCTTGTTGCAATATTTGCATGCAAAGGGCTTTTCGCCGGTGTGGATCAAATTGTGGGATGTCAGGGCTTGGGCGTTGGCAAATCCACGTCCACATTGATCGCAGACGAAAGGTAGATTAACCCGTCGGTTATACACATCTATACTATATGTAGATACATATATACCTATGTATCTATGTACATATGTCCATATGTGAACACATAGGTACATATGTAACCTCGTGTTTTGTTGAAAATTGGCATTTTTTTAAATTGAAAATTTTATTAAAATTCGATTATTGGCGGTGATCAAAAAAAACTTTTTGTAAGCTAATAATAATTCATATTAGGCTGCTGCAAATCATGTAATCATGTAATGCGTGTATAAACCTAGTTAAATTTATCCACATTTAAAAATAATAAACCCTTACAACTAATGCAACCAAGCATTTATCCGTCAACTGGAACATAATATTGTGTTTGTCCGTCAAAAATCTGTTAAAATTTAATAATAATATTATATATAATATATTAATTTAGTATATTATTAATAGTATAATATTAATATATTAATAAAATATAGTAAAATATAATATAAATATAAACCAATAATAATATAGTATAATATAATACAAATATAAATAAATAATAATATAAATTTAAACACTAACACAAAAACTTAAAATAGCCTTCTTAATTATAATGTGCCTTTCTTATTAAATTTTTATCTGGAACTATGATTCTTAATTATATTACCATACACTCTCATATTGGTTAGTAAAGGGTGTTAATAAAGTCCGATCCCATGAATTTTTTGGAGCGCGGTTGTTACAAATTCAGCTGGAACTTTTGAACCAGTGAAGTTATTTATTTCAAATTTTTACCATGGGAGGAACAACTAAACGTGTAAGTCATGAGCATCTTAGAGTTAAGATACAAACATTGCATCAGCAGGGGTTTAAACCTGCAGAAATTGTGCAAAAATTGGGCTGCAGCCGCAGAACTGTTTGGAAATGGAAGAACAAAAATTTTGTCCACGACAAAAAGCGACCCGGGCGACCCAGAAAGGTGTCACCTACCACAAAGAGAATGATTAAAAACAGACTTTACAAGAAAACCGGTAGTTCATTACGTAATTGTGCAAGGGAGTTAAATGACTCAAAACGCTATAAAGAGAAGAAGAAGCAAATTAACTATGTGACCGTGCAAAAATTTGTGAAATCTACGAGGTGGGGTCACACAGCTTACAAACTAACCAAAAAACCTCTCATGTCACAAAAAAATATCGATGACCGTCTGAAATTTGGAGAACTCCTTCAGAAAAATGGCCATTTGAGTGAAAAAAGACTTGGTGAAGAATTGCGCAGTCACATCCTTTGGACTGACGAATCTATTATTGAGCTATATCCAAAATTGAACCAACAAAATGTTCGTTACAGGACAGAAAACAAATCGGATGTACCATCAAGAGCAGTCCCAAAATTCGGGCTTAAAGTTATGGTAGCGGGTGGATTTTGTGCACGTGGCGTGACTCATCTACATATCATACCAAAAGGCCAAACAGTCAATGCAAAGTATTATATGGAAAAAATATTACCTATCTATTTCGATAGCATGGGGAACAAGGAAATATTTCCGAATGAAAGAAAAATAGTTTTCATGCAGGATGGTGCTACAGCCCATACAGCAAAAGCGAGTTTGAGTCTCATCAAGACGCAAGTTTCAACGGTCTGGAGCAAGGGGGTGTGGCCCGGAAACAGCCCAGATTTGAATCCCCTGGAGAACCTGTGGTCCATACTTAAGGAAAATGTATACAAAGAACCACAACCCCGGACGAGGGAAGAGCTAGTAAAAAAAGTTCAAGATGTATGGAATTCGATTCCCACAGACACATTGGAAAAATTAGCACAGAGCCTTAAACAAAGAGTTGAGGGCATGGTTAAAGTAAATGGTAACAAGACCAAATACTAAGGTAAATATGTCGAACATTTTTTGTAAGTATCACGGGTAGTTTTTTTATACTAGCCTTCACTTTTTTATAGGAAAAATGGGATCGGACTTTATTAACACCCTTTAGTATTAAAATAATGCCGAATAGATTAAAACTGATTATGATCTGTAGGCAAACTTGTGCAATACTTAATTATTGGAAGAAAAGAATCAAAACGACAATAGCCTAACTTTGTAAACCTAAAAATTATCGATTTTTAGGTGCATTAAAATCTTCATATTGGAAAAAACTCACGGAAATGATTAGGTTTCAAAATCGGCATTTGAATATATGCAAGAAGGGAAAGTTGAGACGAAACAATTCAAGCTCAAAACCCGCATACTATACCACCTTAAATATAAAACATCAATGGAATTACTAATTAAATTGTATTATTTAGTTCGGACTGTAGAAGTTTAATGCACTCACCAAAGAGTTTTAAAACACTGTTTATTCCGTTTCCTCCTCCTATACCGACAATTCCGACAGGAACAGTGGCATTGCTGGGGTTTTGGGACTATGGAGGCCACAACTGCATTTCCACTCTTTGGATCCATTGCCGATAATTGAATTGGTTTTCCTCAAAAATTTAATTGATAAAAAAACCTTAAGCACGAGGATAAAAAAAAATCTGCCTAAAAAATTAAAAATGGCGAAAACCATTGCCATGCTCCTCCTCTACCAGTTTTGCAACCTAAATATAGAGGTCGAAAACTTCGCTTCGAGAATTCAACGCGAGAAACCGAACTGAAAATGAGACGACCAAAACAAACCAAAACCTAAAATTTATTTGAAAAGCAATTCAACAACTTGAATATCATCTTTGTTCAAAGGAACACATTTACAAAATCAATGTAAAAATTATCAATTACAATTGTAAATTAATTATTAATTACTCCAGGCCTGCTATTATTTACATATTTGTTGCAAAATGGTTTTTAATTAATGATACTGTTTTTGCATTTAAACTAAGAAAAATTCCACACCATCAACATAACAAGACATTAAAGGTTATATACTTGCGTCACCCCTTTACATACATGCATTAATTATATTTAGGTATTTTTAACAATAGATAAGTCATTAAATCGAACGCAAATTGTGTTACACAATCAAATCAAGACTACACAGGATTTTCATATGTATCAAGTTTATCAAGGTCGAGTTATACGTTATTGACTGCGACCAAATAAAAAACTTTATTCTGCATTGACAAATTGTGCGGAGAAGTTAGGCTATTGATAAATTATATAAATGCCATTGATAATTAAGTTTCAATGGGCAGGGTACATCCACTCTTGGATATTACTCCTTATCATCTTTGTCCAGGTTCGAAATACACACAGGGTGATATAATATTGTATAATATATTAATATAATGTAGTAAAATATAATATAAACATCAATCAATAATAATATAGTATAGTATAATATAAATTTAAATAATATAAATTTAAACAATAATATAATTTATAAAACTTAAAATAGTCTTAATTATAATGTGCCTTTCTTATTAAATTTTTATCTGGAACTATGATTCTCAATTACATTACCAAACACTCTCATATTGTTTACTAGTATTGGTTAGTAGTATTAAAATGATGCCGAATAAATTAAAACTGATTATGATCTTTAGGCAAATTTGTGCAATATAAAATATATGTAACGGACCAGTGGGTTGCGGGTTAGCTTGATGTGGGCTGCGGGGTTAATTTATCTGGGCTGCCGGTTAGCCTGATGCGGGCTGCGGGGTAGCTTTATTCACATAAAGTTTGAGGCGTTGGGTACGTGTATCTGACTGTACTAATTTTTTTATATGTATCACCACTAATTAAATGGTGTTAACTTACATATTAATTTGATTTCTAGAACTGTGCAAGATTATGATTTCATTTAAACGTTAGCAACTACATGCAAATAAAAGTCATCAGCAATGGCAAATTCGAAAAATTTTTGTAGTAAAAGCAATAATTGAATGAAATTCGAAATAGATGGATGTCTTAATAAATTTTTCCATTTTTATCTAAGCTACCTAAGTACATACGTACTAAGCGAGTATACGCAGTACAAAAAAAATTCCAAAAAATTTTTTAAAAGTCTGAAAAAAAGTTACAATTATTATCTCATTAGAGCACGTGCAAGGTTGAACAAATTTATACAATTGGCTGAATAAACTTTATAATGCCAGATTTTTTTCCCATGATTTAAACTAATTTAGATTGTGGAATAAAAATTCAATGAATTCAGAAAAAAACATATACGTTTTGACGTACAAAGTGATAAAATCAGTACAGAATTGTTAATTAAAGGGTGGTTAAAATGTTACGCTACAATGTAAAATTTTCCGATGAGAAAAATTCATAAATTTACATTAGTTACCGAAATTTTGTCTCTAAAATTCAACATTTTAAGAATTTCGTAATGTGTTTCATCATAGTTTTATAATAATTATAAAAATCTCAATCCAAAATTTCGGTAACTAATAGAAATTGACGAATTTTTCGCATTGAAAAATTTTCAATTGTAGCGTGACATTTTAACCACCCAGCAGTAGGCTTTTTTCCGGAGATTTGATACCCCAAACCCACAAAAACTCGGGGTAGCGAACCCTGCCCACCATGCTTTGTTAGAATTGACTAAGGCCCCAGATAAAGGGCTCATTAATGTTTACGTGTAAAACTCATATTTGGCGCAGTTGCATGGCGCCACATTTGGATGTTTTTATTTTTAAAATCTCAAAATTTTCAAAATTTCTTAAGTGTGCAAATGAACAATAGTGCGGTTTTGCACCATTTTTGGGAATAAATATCAATATTGAAACGACTCGGGGTCAATATTTTTTTAAGAAAGAGTTAAGTTAAATTAATTTGCATGAAATTGAATTAATTTCCATGACTTAAGTTACACTAATTTGCGTGGATGAACAGATCCAAGGTGGAGGATATTAAATCTGTAAATAATCAATTTCCAGCGTGAAAATATAGAATATGTAGCTTAATTTCTGAGCATATCACCCTGTTCCCTGCTGAATTTTTATGGATAACTATTTAACTATCCTATTTTTCCCAGTTTCCTACTCATTTTAAGAGGCAAATAATTCCGATGACTTTTACATTCTCGAACCAATCGACACATTTACCTGTCGTCCAATTTCTCAAAATTACAAAGGTAAAAGTGGTCGAATTTTTAGAACGTGCATGGTCTTTCCAAGATCTTTGTTACCGTAAATGCTGGAGACTTTGAGATTTTTATATGCTTAAGTGTTTAATATACGTATTTACATGAAACTGATTTACGGCTAAGGTAGAGTGGGGTGTAAAAGTGGGTGGAGCTATTAACAAGATAATCAGCTTTCTTCGAAATTTATCATTTAATTAGTAAGTTAATGAATAATAATAAACTTTAATGCTAACGTTTTCGATAATGTAAATGCTAAATTTTTTTGCAGGTATATATTTACATACGTAAAAGTGGGTACAACCAAGACAATTAATCGTATTCTAAATTTAGGGTGACCATATTTGCCCTGACTAAAACGGGGACATTTTTTGAGAAAATAAATTTCTAGTGCTTTTCGCAAAAATTTGCACAATATTATATACTGCTTGGCGGTTCAGATATCACTGAATTTTTAGAAAAAGCCAGGAAAAGCAATGAAGTAAATATTACATGCACTTTCATTTCATTAAAACACATTGATAAAGTAAATTCAAATTCGTAGAAACTTGTTTTGAAAATCTGGCATAACATTTACACTCACCAGAAATCTGCCGAGTGTTATAATTTCTCGTTCTTATCAAATAATGATGACGGCCCGACGATCACGTCGAAGAACAAGGAAAACTCCACGACCTAATCATTTGACGCCAATCTCCTATTTTTCGCCACTTGGTCGCTGCTTGAGCCATGCTGACTTTGACACTCACTTTTATCATCATCAGATTTCATTAATGCAAAGATTTTGTGAATACCAAAAATAAATAAGCCTCCTGCTGCAAGATTAATATAGCGTCATTCTCATCCAAGTACCAATTACAACCAGCCCAATTAAAAAAAAGTTTCCAAATGATCATTATAAATACGACGATGAGACGAAACTGTCCAAATAATGCAGCCTCTTCTTAATAGTGACGATTTGTAGAAACAGTGCAAAATCAAATAAATAAATCTCATCAGTCAGCATCTCAATGATTGATTAAAAGTACGATGCCGTTCTCACACTCAAAATAAGGTAGTAATGAATCATTACCATGCGGAATGACTATATGTCTCTACCACGTCGGTTAGGATTTGTCGTACAAATGGTAATAATAAATTCAGGGAAATTCAAATTCATTACCAAATATTAAGGAAGTGAACACCATTATGTATTAAATTTGAATTTCCCTGAATTTATTATTACCATTTCTACGACAAATCCTAACCGACGTGGTAGAGACACATAGTCATTCCGCATGGTAATGATTCATTACTACCTTATTTTGAGTGCAGCTTCGTCTCACTGCAAGACTCATCGTTATCATTTCAGTATTTATTTATTTATTACTTAGCAATCTGCGCACGACAGGATAAAAAATACTCGATCGAGAAATTGTCTCTCACTTTGACTCAAAAAGCAAGATTGATTCATTTCCTTGTAGGAAATATACACAATAAAAGTCTCACTTTTCCTAACAAGTCTGTATGCATGCTAAACCCGTCTCAAGTGTATGTACATACATACATATATGTTTACCTAATTTTCATGCAATTATTTAAGTGGTCAAGAATTTTATGATACAATTTTACAAAATTGTATCACTTCGATTTTTGGATGATTTTGTTAGAAATATATTTTTTCTTAGTGAGGCAAATACCTAACAACGAAAAAATTATTCTTAGTGAGGCAAATACCTAACAACGAAAAAATTATTCTTAGTGAGGCAAATACCTAACAACGAAAAAATTATTCTTAGTGAGGCAAATACCTAACAACGAAAAAATTACTAAGTATGCAGTTAATATCGTTAAAAAAAGTGACATTTTACGATATCTCAGCCATTTCTTAACCAATTTGGATGAAATTTTGCACAGATCATTTTGAGACAATTTAAAAAAGTTTATCAATTCGACTTAGCGAATTTTTGATTTTCAGCCGACTTATTATCAAAAATGTACCCTTAGAAACACGTTTATATTTATAGTTAATTACTGGCATATCTCAGCGAAAATCCAATTGCACAAATTTTAGAGCAAATTTTTGTGCAAATTTTAAGGGTAGAATAATCCAAATCGGTTGATAAATGACAAAGTTTTTCCTATGAGAGGTGCAAAAAACTGGATGAATAAAATAGCAACACCATTGACAACAAAACATCCAAAAAACTATTAATTACAAATATTAAATAATCAAAGTCCCAAAAAGATGGAAATCTTGGTGAGGCTAATTCTCTTCCGGAAAATATATTTAATATCTGTAGTTGTACCAAGCCTCACTAAGATTCCCATCTTTTTGGGACCGTTGCTTGTATCATAAATCCTCATCCATAAATATGGTGAAATATATGCCTCATTTATTCGAGACACAAAAACCAAAATTAAAATCTTCAATGTCATAAAATATACATTCCCTTCAACGCAACGATACGTTCTCACAAAATCCGAAAAGAACCCAGACATGAAAAAAGAATCCCATAAATAAAATTTATAAAAACCCTGTGAAAAACAAGTCTACTCCCCTAATCCCATCCCAATTCTCAACTAAATACCAACTGTTGTACCTAAAGATTGAAAAACTTGGGTATACTCATCAGTAGTAAGTATTGTACAAAAATTTCATTACATTTGATTCATGCATTCAGTTTCTGCAGGCCTAAACGTCCTAACACTTACAATATGTGGACACTTCTTACTAGGGGTCTGAAAAAAGTTGATTTTTACGTTACATAATTTATGAACGGCCCCTAATGATCGAATTAATAGGCGATTACGTCGGATAAAATCCCTTCTGGACAATTCCACAACCGCGCCACAATTTGATCCCTTTGAGCCAGAGGAGCTCTACAAACTTCATGACGCTGCGTAGCCAAGAAGTCATTTAACCAATTTAAAATATTTAGAATTTTTTTGGGGGACTTAGAGCGAAGCTAAAATTTTCTTGACTTTGTCCAACTATATTTTGATTATCGCCCAGATAAGGAAAACCTGCGTAAAAATTTCACTATGCTGCATGTATCCCAAAAAAAAGAAGGTATTTTTTTTATCTATTTCTCCTGCAAATTATCTATGTACTAGGCCAAATTTACTGAAGTTAACATGGGGAAAACACATTAAAATTCGCAGGTCAGCACATGCACGGCTACCTGCTTGCTTGGAAAACGCGTGTCCAATCAAGACCCCTAGTGTCACTTGTACCCATCCGAGAGCCCAGATTCAGTCCATAATAAAACGACCAACAAAACAACTCGACTTTTAAAAAATTGCAACATTATTATACCGGTTTAGAGAAAGGCTGGTGTCATGGAGGATTTTGCTCCAGTGGAGCAAAATCCAGACTATGAAAAAGTTGTAATAAAAATTAGAATCAAAAAGTACCCCTTTTCACATAATATGTAAAAAGTATATTTCAAAGTTTCCGTTCAAAATTTTGTACTATCACAATGTCTGCTCCATTTTTTCTTTCTATGCACATGCTTCCATTAACGTTAACTGTATTTTACTGCGTTGGTATTTTACTACTTGACTAATTGTCATGGTATGTATGTACATATGTACAAGCTGCGAGGACAAGATTCGAGGTGAGTGGGGAATCCCCACTGGGGATTCGATGGTTATATCGTGTCCGACTGCGGGGCCGTTGTGCAGAGGACGCACAACTACACCCATAGTTCCCCAACGAGACCTGCCACGCCGTCTTAGACGCCGGGGTTGACATTGAGTACTACGCCTACAATGGTCCCTTCTTCACCCGCTACTTGGGAGACGCTGTGGCCGAAGGGGCAGTCACCCCGACCTCATGCGCCTCGGATACTTTGAGAAGAATATGCGACCCGTCCCTTCACCGACCTTCTCCCTCCCATCGTGGATACCCAACCCCATCGAGACGCCGCCGCCGACAAAGCATCGTCCTCCTTAAGAACTCCCCCGCACTTGGGAAGGCAGGAAAGGCTCCACTCCCCATTACCTTGGGGACGAAAAAATAAGGCACGATGGCCTTGATCGGACCACACCTGAACGCCTCCAGAGCCTTCTTGGCCAACTACGATGGAATTCCGTCCTAAATTGAGCGCTCCTTTCCCAACGTCCAGTACGAGTTCGGCTGCGACTTGATATCCACAACGAACCCTCATTTGCATGAGGCCGCCGGTCTCCTCCCCCGTCGTTCTCTTTGTCGGGATCAACGCTGCACAGTTTGAGGAGGAAGGGGTCGAGTATGAAGGGCATGACCGGTTAAACCTGACCCTGACAGGGTTGCAGCCTGAGCTCATCCGAGCCGTCTTGGCCGCCGCGAAAGAGCCCGTGATCCTCTTCGTCGTCTCGGGTGGACCTCTCGGAGTAGAAGGACGACCCCCGCGTGGGGGCCATCCACTAGCGGAACTATAAATTTGGGGCCGGTAGGCACGCGTTCACTGGGGGCCCCTGTCCCTGATAGATTTGGCAAGACTTATAAAAATAGGAAAATTTTGTGGTTCTTAGGCAAGATAAACTTGATTCAGTGCAAGGTAATTGCGTGCTGTTTCGTTAACGAAAAGGGCCTACTTAAAATATCGTTTCAATAAAATCACAATTTCAGAAACTGAGTGTAGAACTGGCAGATTGCACCCACAATGCGAAGACTTCTGCGGTCTCGCTCCGATTTTGACGAGACCATGATAATTAGGTAACCTTACCTTAGCATTAGATAAATAATTAAAACCATGTTTCAGGATTTTTCATAATGCTCAGTTTAAACGAAATGATGACGAAATCCATGAGCGGGAATTTCTATTTTACTCGCGAGGGAGAAAAATGCAGCTTCTCGCTTACGGAATCCATCATCGGTGGACATCAATCGTTTTTTTTGTTTTAAATTTACTCGCACACCGAAACTAGCGTACTTTAGCGTTTTCATGAAGGCGCGTGTTTCCAGAATTTTTACTATTCACATTTTTAGTCAAAAATTTTGACTCAAAAGCAGGATTTTTTATGACGTTGTAAATTTTGCAATTTTAATGCTATTTCAAAAGCGAAAAACCATGTTTGCTTACAATTATTTCCACAAATGCATGGAAGTACTTTTAAAGTAACAAGAAAGTTTTAAAAATTAAAATTTTTATAAGTACAGATTTATCATAAATTACTCAATGTAATTCTATGCAAAAACGTTCTTCCATTTTTGAAATTGGATAAAAATTAGACAATTTACAGCATTTTAAAAATTCATTATTTTGGCTTAAAATGTATTCAAAAATTCCGCCGCGTGGAAACGTGGTGAAAATGCGTTTATCGAGGGAAATGGAAAAATATGGGTCCGCTTATTTCCTTATTTCCTCAATTTAAAGCTGTCTGGTCAAAATCGTAAGACACTTCATGTCCACGCATTTTAAGTTCAAGCGAAATCATGGTGGATTCCGTAAGCGAGTACTATATTTTTTACGCAAAAGAGAAAAATGTCACGGTAAACATGGAAATTCTCACTCATGGATTCCGTCATAATTTCGTTTAAACTGAGCATTATGAAAAATCCTTAAACACGGGTTTAATTATTTTATCTAAGGAGGGGAGCTTGCGAGGGTGATAATAACAGATCTTGATGTGCTTTGCATATGTGGTAGTGTCCCATGAGTGTACTAAAACCCTGAAGTGGTTTGACCCCATGGCCACATTTACGCCCGCCACACCCACTAAAAACTGCCCAAAAAACGCTTTCACTCCAGTTTTCACTCACTCAAATCCACGCCAAAAATCCAATTTTACTCGGATTTTGAAATTTCTTTCACCATTACACTCCCAGATAGTTGCTTTCTTCAATTCAATAGCAAACTCAATTTTTCTGATGATTATTTCGCAGGCATAATTTGCGTTGTTGATTACTACAATAATGCTCATTCAGAATTTTAAATTCTAAAAATTCTAAAAATTGTGAAAAAATTGAGTTTGATATTGGATTGAACAAAGCAACTATCTGGGAGTGTAATGGTGAAAGAAATTTCAAAATCCGAGTAAAATTGGATTTTTGGCGTGGATTTGAGTGAGAGAAAACTGGAGTGAAAGCGTTTTTTGGGAATTTTTGAGTGGGTGTGGCGGGCGCAAATGTGGCCATGGAATCAAACCACTTCAGGGTTTTAGTACACTCATGGGACACTACCACATATCCAAAGGGCATCGAGATCTGTTTTATCAACCTCGCAAGTTCCCCGCCTAAGGTTACATAATTATCGTAGTTTCGTGAAAATCGGACAGATTAATTGAGTTAAATAACCCAATTTATTTTTCATTTTTCATCAAATATGTATAATCAACGCCAGGATCATCCTGACAAGATGTGTGTCATTTCCTCGTGTTTATCGGGCTTAATTTGCTATATTTAAAATATTTAAAATTATTAATAAAGTTCGGAGACGCGCGCAAGGCCTGTAGAAAAATAGTTAGCTAACGTTATAGTGGAGACTACCATCTCAGATTTTTAATTTGGACTAGCTTTGATTTTGTTAATGGCTTTCTGCAATGCCTATCCCTAGCTTCGCCACGATTCGACATGTAACAAATTTTAAAAAACTCGAGGCAGCTACGGGGCCCCCACTCCGTGGGGCCCCTAGGCCATGCCTACCCGGCCTACCCCTAGTTTCGCTAGTGGGGCCATCATCTGGGCGGGATACCTGGGGCAGTCGAGTGGGGACGCGATAGCAGACGTCCTCCCCGTCGACGTTCCCTCCGTCGGGACGCCTGGCACAAACGTTCTACTCGAACAAAGTCATCACCCAGTTTGAGAAGTACGACATGAACATGCGTCCGACGGAGGGAACGTCGACGGGGAGGACGTATCGCTACTACGAGGGGACACCCGTCTATCCATTCGGATTCGGATTGTCCTACACAACCTTCGAGTATAGCATTCTGAACTTGCCCCCTATCCTTGAAATACCCACGATCGGAGGAGGAGTGGACCAAGACTGCGCAGTGATGGTCACTCTGGCCGTGCGGAAAATCGGGGTGACTGCGGGGGATCACTCCGTCCTCTGGTTTCTCGCCCCACCCAACGCAGGACAGGGCCCTTATCATATTTGGCGTAAAGGGTTTACTCAAGCAAAATACAACAAATGATATTTTGGCCCAAGCGAGATCTACGCGAGATCTTTTACGGGGCAAGGGATCCATTTTGGAACTGGATAAGTCTGACGACGTCAGTTCATCAGCCTCCTTTATTTTTTGGGGCATCCTCGTGTGCAGCTAAAATGACTGAAAAATAAGCAATCAATCAAAATAATTATGATAAACCAATCAATACAAATCAGAAATTAAATATAACAACTCACCGTTGGATTTAAAGAGGGCCAAAAGAGTAATAAATCTCTGCAAAAAAATGATGAAATTTTCTGAAGGATAAAACCAATCAATCTTTAAATCTTATTTTCAGGCCCGTCGTCACTGCATACATATACACAATCCCTGGCCAGCCACAAGAAGATTGTTCACCAGAAACTGAAGGACTTCGCGGGCCCCGAGTGCGGTAAGAAGTTCGGGAGGAAGGGGAACATGGTGACACATCTGAAGGGTGTTCATGCCAAAATTCGGCACCCTTGCCCCCACTGCGGGAAGACGTACACGCAGAAAGCCCATCTAGGGACACATTTGAAGAAGGGTCATCCCTCCGAGTAAAGTCATTCAGCTGCCAACTGACCCCTGTGAATGTGTCACATTGGATAAGAAAAGAAATCCAGACTGTACATATTTAATTCTTCTTCTTGAGCATTCCATTTCAATCTTTCATTTTCATGAAACTGCGGCATAATTCTGATTCGGAGGTGAATATAAAGATAACACTGGCCGCGGAAGATGTGGGGACATTAAACATTGCAAGATCAGGTTTATAAATAAGATGATGCCGACATCGAACAACCGTGGGCACATTGTCCCTCACTCAAGCTTCCTTCCGCGGTCACTGCTAGTACAAGAATTCTGATTCACAGCCAAACTTGAAAGATTGCACGGCATATTTCTTCCAGTGCTAGATAAGCGTCTCATTTTGCATTGAATAATTAATCAATGAGTATAAGGACAACGGCCTTCCTTTTGCCAAGATTTTCTTATACTTTACAGAAATTCTTGTTACCATTTTGGTGGACTATAAGAGATTCAGTCAGAGGTTTGCATCCTCGTGGGATCTACAGATAAGCGAAACCATATCTCACTCCCAATACATAAGCGTGAGAATCCCGGCCCTGGTGAAATTTAAAAACCCCCGGCCCCATTTTTTCGTTTTTTTTTTTTTTTTACTCGGGAGCACACACCCAAATTTTAGGAAATTGGCAAGACTGCATTCTAAATTTTCATAAAAATCTGTCCCTCCACTCCAAATGCTGACGTAATAATATTCCGTGCAGAGGAAAGGAGCAGAACGAGAGGTTGCCGTTGGACGGGATGGAGGCCAACCGGAAGTTGCTCGGAGGACAGAAAAAGCTTATTGTCCCCAGAGGCAATAAAGATGACCGTTTTCAACAGGCTGGACGCCTTCCTCTCAATCCGGCCATGACGATAACCACGTGTCCTGGCCTTCAGCTAACAGCAGGTCATTGAAAGTTAAGAAATTCCGGCACGTTGTCAATGAGATAATCTTCCATGTGCAAAACGTGCCTGCGTCCCTTCACCAGTGTTCGCCGACACGCCCGCACTCACCTCTCCCGCGACGAGCTGGAGCAGTCCTCACTTTTCCATGAGAAGTACCCCCACCGCGAAAAGGTGTTCTTCACTCGTCACGACTTTACCGACCACGTGAACGCGCACGAAGGCCGGAAGAAGCACGTCGCCCCGTTTGCGACGTTAACGTAGAATTCGATGACTCATCGTCAAAATCCGCCCATTTTTAATCATTTCTCGGCTCTGAGAATTTGTTTAAAAATTATAGATGATAGTATATCAAATGGTTGCCAATTTTCTAAAAATTTGCACTCCAGATTTTGATCGTTTTTGAAGGGGGAAATCATAATTTTAAAATAAATTCCTAGAGCCGAGAAATACATAATTAAAAGTGCATTTATTTTGATCATTTTGGGATGAGTTATGCATGGAATTATTTACATACTTTATATTTTCGTAATTTTATGCCTTTGAGTAGTTAATGTATGACATTTACATAGATATTTCTGTGTTAATTGAAATTATGAGTATGTAATCCAACTCGATGCGTACAATGTAAAGATTGTTTAACACGTTGAAAACTTACAAGTTTATTTTTAGGAATTGTCACTAAATATTTACAAAGATGTCAAAACAGATAAATAAAATATTTACGTACAAAATTCCTAACCTATGAAAATAATACGTTTAATAATTTAATTATAGCGTAAGTCAAAAAATGACTGAGTGAATGAAAATCTTCCGTCAAAACTCGGGATGACTGATTTTTGAATGAAAACTAAATTCAGGTCCAACTATGAACTTACTTATCAAGTAAAATATCCTCAAACACCGAACTAAGTATGTAATTATACTACAATTTTTACAATAAAAATCCAATTTTTCTCACGATTGTGTACAGATTTTCCTCTATTACATCTAATAGCAAACAGTTTCTTTGAAATTTTATGTCGAAACTGAAGTGCATAGTACAAAAATGCGTCAAATATTAAAAATCGTAATCAAATCTTTCCTAATTATTGATTGGGTGGACTGCATGGACGCTCAATGTTTAACTTTATCTACATTTATCTCATGATTTCAAATCAAGAATAACTTATTTCGTGCTTTTATACCACTTTTCAAATTCTACAGCTAAATCTGAAATGAAGACTTTGGAAGTTTTAAACTCCTCTATCGTCGAATTCAGCCAGTCATCAGTTGGTTGTTTAGTTTTCAGCACCACTGCCTTTGTCACGGGAAGAAGTCGCACATCCTAAAATCAGAAAGAGTCCAATTAATTGTACAAATTACTTAATTATTCATTAAAATGTTGCCATACCGGAAATGGGAGATGTAAGTTTCCTCGAGCAGGAAAAGTTGCGCAAGGTTTTCCATAAGGATCTGTCACCTCGGTCACTTGTTTTCCCACGGGTGTCATAATTGTGTGAAAAGTTGGCATGCCTAACTGGACCTTCATATTTTGGCCGCAAACCATCTCAATAAACATTTCCCTCTCCTTGTCCGTCCAATCAGCAGTATTTTCCTTTTTGATTAGAGTCTTATCGTGAAATTGGAGATTGCAATGAATCGCGAGCGCTCGTATGGGTTCGCCAAGCTCTCTCGGGAGTGGGGCAATTTCGTCAAGTTTGACCCAAAATAGTCCCCCGTAATCGAGTTGGCGAACTTTGACCTAAATAAAAATTAATGCATTTGTTTCGAATAGTGAACATTTTTAATTTTTACACAAGTTTTTTAGCCAAAAATTATTACCCCTATGCCGCTTTCAGGATTATTTTCATTGACACATGGGAGAGAAATTACGACCACTCGGCACCATACGTTCTCTTCTGGTTTAACCTTTGCCAAGACTAGAGATCCGATGGTAATTTCTTCCAAAAAGTTGAAAGGTAACTCACAATTACTGTGGGTTGCTGGGTTTCTGAAGAATAATTAAAAAAAATTAAACTGTAAAAAAATAAATAAACTATAAATATTTGTTTAATTATCTTACTTACTCCAACTTTCTTGTTACATATCGCAAATTTTCAAAGTCTTTGTGCAAAACGACGTAAAAGCTGGAAGGGCTGATAGCATAGGAACACCGACAATAATGGGGGCCATGAAGGTCGATAAAATCCGAGGAGAATTCAATCTCCTCCACCTTCCTCATGATTGGTTTCAACCCGATCATTTGAGCTTGATGTTTCTCCACCAGAGTTAAATTTTTCATTCGCGATTTTTCCAGTTCCACCATCCCCGGGTCTTCAGTTTGGGTCCGATAAGCTTCAAAGTTTTGGATCGCGTTGGGAAAATGGGTGAGAATGAGGAATGTCTTGGGCTCATAGGTGTCGCCTTGTCGATGGAAATATTCCACAAAGGTTACGTAACTCCGGAGGGAGGACAGGTAATCCTTGACGAAGCTAAGGGTGGACGAGTACCCGAGCGCGAAGGGGTTGATGTCGACGCCAAAATGGGACCAAATCAAGGAGGGTACTTCTTCCACATGGAGGAAACCCGTATCATTCAAGATAACCGTCATGACGATAAGGTGGGTAAGTCTGGCATCGAAAATACGACGAGTTGCGATTAAGCCTTTGAACGCGGCGGGGAAGAGGAGCGTCTTTCCGACCCCACCGATTATCGGTCGGGACGCGTGAAAAATATCGGGCAGACTGACGAAGAATTGTTCAGTGTAGTCTTCCATGTCTAATTCGTCGGAGGTTGTACATAGATCAATATTGAAGGTCACGTGCGAGCCGTTCGTACGAAAATATAAGTCATTCAATGCGTCTGAACTTATCCCCAAGGGGCACTGGTGGATAAGGCTGTTGAGTGTGCGGCACAGTTTCAGAGGGGTAAAGTATTCTTCATCTTTGGAGACTTCGTTCCGGTTGGATACGTTCTTTGGAAAATTCCAGTATTTTGGATCGAACACGGCCAAATTTACCTGAAAATGGAAGTAAGTAATTTCAATTAAACGGGATTAACTTTAAATTAAATGAAGGAACTCTGATTGTTATTATTATACCCTTAGTAATTCCTCTTTTCGTTGGGGGTCACAGTTCGGGTTATCTAGAACGGGTAGAGATTCGGCAAGGAGGTCACGCTCGGGAGGCCACACATCAGGTTCGAAAGCTGGAGTAGAGTCGGTACTTGGGACATTTTTGTCTTCTTTCTCCTCGACGGGTTTCGTTTGAAGATTCAAAGCTATAAGAGACACGGCTTTGGATTCTAAATAAGCCTGACCCCACTCTTCCATCGGGCGTGGCAAGTCGAACCATTCTGCTTTACTAAGGTTACTTCTCGGGTCGAAATTAGTGTACATTTCGACATCCACTTTGTTCTCGATGACCCATTGGTCCATCTTCTTTCTTACTTGCTCTACAGTCTCGAAACCGGAAATGTTTCCTGAGATTAACTCTTCCCTCTCGGCTTCTTCGAAGATGGCGAATTCTTCTTGCATGGTTTCCTTGAATGAGAGAAAGAGAGGATCGAATTTAGGCGATTCGTCGTCCAATTCTCCAAATTTTTGCAAAATTTCGAGTCCCACATCCTCCTCGGTTATTTCAGTTTTGATTTTAGGCAGTGTTCCTTTAAAATAAGCTGCGCGGATTGCATCGGCCCGTTGTGCTTTCTTCAGGAGGTGGTTGAAATTTAGCATGTCCATGTAGATGAGCTGGTCCAAGGGGGAAGACTCTGGAGAGTGTTTACCTTTTCGGTCCGATGTGTTATTGTACTTTCTCTCTTGTTCTTCGATAACTTCTAATTTGCGGCAAATACAGTACTCTACTTGGTCAGGGTCATGTTCTAGTCCAACTCCAGCGGCGGCAGGGGCGGGGGGTGGGTGCGGCTGATAACCCGTATCCGTCATTCTGTACTATCTGCTATTCAAATAACTTGATCTTTGTGGTGTGGGTCGATGTACTGCACGGCTATCTAAGAAATTTCAATTTTATATAATAAAAACGCCAATTATAGTAGTGATTTTTTTTAGTATTTTTGAATTATTACTAGAATTATTTGTTTTTGAACTTTAAGGAACACCGACGTCCTTCGTCTTTGGTGTGTGACTGGCCGAAAGTCACTTGTTTTTATGAATTGTTTTAATTAATGTTCTAACGGCGACAAGCTAGGATATCTGAAAGTGTTAATATATATATTGTTAAATGAGGAAGAATTAGTGTTTTAATAAATAACTAATGAAACGTTTATAATTTTGCCTTACCAAAAGTGCAGGCAGGAACTTTTCATTTTATTTATTAGTCAAAAGTTTTGACTCAAAACATACACTTAAAGATAAAACTGGATAAATAATAGAAATCTGTCAAATTAATTAATTAAAATTAACTATTTATTTAGTTCTTATTTACAGATTTATAATGTATAATTTAACAATTAATTTTATATTCACCAACTTTTACTCGCTGCTGCTGACTCAAATCAACAAGCCAGTCGGCACTTCGGCAGTCAGTAACAGACTGGTAAAAAAAATGATTTGCCTCAAATCTCAATGGTGAAATGCAAATTAAGACATTTTATTACTCTAGACTTCTTTTCTTACTTTTGACGTAAATGGTTTACAAATTCTCATTTTGTCTCAAATTATTACTTTCCTCGTACAAGTTACCTAGTAATTCTTATCGAAAATAGTGATGTATATCTTCATAACTTTTCACCCCCACTTCCGGTTGCCAGTCAATATCGTCGTCCTCCTCATCTCGTGACCCTGGCGGCACCCCGTCCCCTTCGGTCGGACAATTTTCGACATGGTTCAATTTGTTAAATTGCTGTTCGTCAATTGACTGGTGATAAGAGTAGTCGAAATTTGACACGATTACGGGAAGGGCATTGTTAGCACATCAGTGACCGCGCAGAGAGACCCCACCATCTTGCACGGTTTGAGGCACCGTTGGGGGCAGGTCACATGCAGATTTATTATTTTCTCGTCCACCGACCCCCTTGTAATGACTCATGATCAGTGGCCGTAGACAGAGGGACAATGTCCCCACTGTTATTCGATGTCCTCATCATCTGCCCATGTTATATAAATAAACCCATAATTGTGGGTGGCTTTTGTGGTAAATAATGAACAACGATACAACACGACGGTTGCCAATCGACTGATTATTTATTGTCAACATGCAACATGATTATATAGACATCATGAGTAATAAAATATGTATTAATAAATGTATGAACCTGTTCCTCACGACACTTTCCGAAGTATCTGACCTAAATAGAAAGGAAGTGCTAAATCCTTCTCCCAAGAATGGGAATGCTAAGAATGAGCTGACACTGTACAAAGGTCCAATAAAGTCGGTGCCATAAACATCCGTTATGAAAAGCTACTTGAAATAGCTAACCTAAATACCTAATATTAGATCATTTTATCCAACAGCTTTTTAATAAATAGATGTGTCATTCGATGGGCGACCGCCGTGTACAATGGGAACATTGTACTACTTAAAAATAGGAAAATTAGCACGTTAACATAGAACTTGATGACTTATCGTTAAAATCAACCCATTTTAAAAATCATTTATTGGCTTGGAAATTTATTTAAAAATTTATAGATCAGGTCTTTTCCAATTAAAAAAATATACACTCCAGATTTTTACAGGTTTTGAACGGAGAGATCAGAGTTTTAAATAAAATACCAGAGCCGAGAAATGATTAAAAATGCATTAATTTTATTTTGCCGATTTTGGGATGCGTTAATTCATGGAAATATTTCAGATGGAATGTCATACATATGTAGATATGAATGAATGTAGTATGCAGATGCAGGTGTGATGCAGTTTATATATTTAGATAAGATTTGTATTTGTAAAATGTACTTTATATTTTCGTAATTTTATGCCTTTTAGTAATTAATGCGTGACATTTACGTACTTCTTTTATGAGGTAATGGAAATTATGCGTATGTAATCCACCTCTATGTAAAAGTTGTGTAATACTTTGAAAACTTATAAGTTTATTCTTAGGTGATTGTCACTAAATATTTACAATGTCAAGATATATAAAATAAGTACAAAATTTCTAACCTATGAAATTAATATGTAATATGTCTAACAATTTAATTATATGGTAAGTCAAAAAATAAAAACAAGCACGAAAAAATAATTCGATTTTCACGAAATGTATACAAAGATGGCAAAACAGATACTATCTGGTTTGACATCTTTGGAATTTAGGATAGGAATTTTGTATATATTTTGTAAATCTGTCAGATATACAAAATATGTACAATTATGTAAAATTATGTATGTAAAATTCCTAACCATGAAACCAACATGTTTAATAATTCACTTATAGCGTAATCAGTAAAAAAAATAGTAATAAAAAAATAAAAACAAATACGAAAAGATTAATACGTAGCAAATAATAACTAAATAACTAATACTCGAAATGACTAAAATTTGAATAAGGCATCAAACTCTCGCTAATTTTCCACTGGGCCAATTTGTCATCTAAGAGCTGGCGACACATTTCCGTCTCTTGGAGGTCCTCCTGAAATTAGTCAAATAAAAATACATCAAAATTTAGATTTATTTATACTCTTTACAAACTTCTTCGCTGACAAGAAATGATCTCAGAAATCGAAATAAATACTTAAATACTCACCCCAATGCAAAATCCGGTCAGATTAAGGACGCTCAACGACCTCGTGCATAACATCCCTTTGACAATGTAAAGTGGCAAGTTGAATCTTGACATTGGTGGCATATCGTCCAAGATAAAGTCGAGCCGCTGCAGTTCTGTAATTCAGAAAAATAAATAAAGTTTCCATTAAAAATTATTCTCAGTTTTTTCGTTCAGATTTTTCAACTCAATTCAACATATATTATACGGATGTATGTATATGAAAATAATAGAAATTATCTTACCAGAAAATTTGGGCAAATAATTCGCCAATGCTGCCTGAAATGAAGCCGCAACCCTCTCAGATCTGAGTTCAGCACACTGCATAAACTTGATCTTGAGCTTCTTGACCTTAGATTTGGCCAAGATGTCCAAAACTTGACCCACGTACACGTTCTGATACGCGAAACTGATAGTGAGCTCCAACTCTTCCACATTTGGAAACATTTTTAGCAGTTTCTTCATCGAGCCCAGATTTTCATACGAGGGGACAAAGACGACATCAAGAACCACCTTCTTGACATGGACGTTGGCGTAATTCGGCGTGATCTTTTGTAAATGTTCGGACTGAACATGGTCCCCCACACGCGCTGTGGACACAGCATCATATCTCCCAACGAGGGTTGAAAGTCGCAAATCACCAACTCCCCCAAATTTGGCAACCTTTGCAGAAAGTCTTCACTCCCAAGTCGCAAGCCTTCATAATTCTGATGCTCGAACACCTTGAGTTTGGGCATGAGGGGGAAATCCATCGTAAATCCCTCCTCATACCTCGCCATTCTCCCCTGCAACCCATATTTCCCCCGTTTGTCGCCAAACATGACAAACTTTTGCAGCGTTGGGCTCAACTTTTGCAAAAACTGGACAAATTCGGTCTGCACTTGGGCCGTCATGAGGGTATTGATCTTGAGCGAGGTGAGTCTGAGGAAGGTCATGGAGTTCAAAATGTTCATCGCCACCTTATCGAGTGGTCCACCGCTGAGGGAGAAGCTGGTCAGTTGGCCCGAAATCTTGGAGTCTCTCAACGTCATGAGAAAGTAGGTGAAGGTTTCACCCCCACAAAGAGAGAAGTCGGTGCCCAGGGTGGTCGCGTTGGGGGCGATGGACGCTCTTTCGGACAGGAAGGGGGTCGAGGTGTGGTGGAGGTTGTAGGTCAAGCTGGCCATGGGCAGGATATCGGTGGGGGTGAGGGTTGAGAGGAAGGCGTCACTTCGGTCGTCGTGGAGGGGGCCTTCAAGGTGGATCTAGGAGCGAGATCGGAGCAGAGGGGTGGCCATGACGGACCAGAGAGAGGATACTTGGCTGCAGGCTTTCAGGGAGGCGTGGTCCAGGTGGGGGAAAATGACTTCGAGGACCTGCGAAGATACATAAATTGGAGGATATTAGTTATTCATAATTACATTATTATTACCTATTAATAATTATTCGTAAAACTCGCACAATATTGTGAGCAGAGCACGACGAGTATTGTATAGAAATATTGAGCAAGTGATTCCATTAAAGTAATATTAAATATTTGAGAAAATTCAATTATCATAATTTAATTGTGTATATAAGTAGTTGTCTCAATACACCTCTTTTTTACATTTTACAGCGATAAACCATTACATTATTACGAATTGGATGATTTTATATACAAATCATCATTGTATGTCTCAATCTACCTCACATTTATCCAGATTTTTTATTACCAATAACTCAACTTTTAACAAATTAGAAACGACTTCTTACATATACAACCAACAAAATACTTATGAAACTTTAAGTTGAATAATTCCATTAAAATCTCGTATGTTTTAGACAACCATTTCAATTCAATTATCGAATTTCAAAATCCAACATAAACAAATCATGCAAATACATGTGTTTTTATTCGTAAGTAAATTCTTATGAGGTGTGTGAGTTGTAAATTCACGTTGGTTAATTTATGAGTGTGTGTATGTTAAGTGTAGCGCAACTTGAATTAATGTGCACCAGTTTCTTGGCATAAAGCTCTATGGTATTATAAATAATTCCGTAGTTAGCTTCAATTGGTTAATTTTATATTAATACTAACTGATTTATTTATGGTTCAATTAATAAGTACATACAGACTGTGTATGATACTATTGCTATTATTCTTAGTTGATATGGGGTAATGTGATACAACTATTTCTGATAGGTAACTTGATACAACTACTTTGGTGGGTAATTTGATACAAGTAATTTGCAATCTCAATTTCCCATTTGGGGCAATCTAAGATTTGCGATTCACTCTTGTGCAGAACAACCCTCTGTTACAAAAAGATTAAATGGGCGTTACGCGGGCTTTGGTCCGTGGCTAGCTTTATACTGCAGAGCGGACGGAAAAGCACCCGTGTATGCTAAATCTCACAGTTCATTCCAGCTAAAATAAGTCTATTTCCGCATTATATACATAAACACAATACTTTGTTCATCATTGAAACAAATGCATGCATACATTACATACTACCATTTCTACCTGTTTAGCAAACTACAAAGCTGGACAACTCAGTCTGCATAAGATGAGTTTGCACTCTGCTTGCCATCACTGCCAGTGTTCTGTGTTGCAAAACATTGATTTGCATGCTTCGGTTTGCTTCTACTGCAAAACCAATGTAAATTGCGTTCAATCTGCATCTTAAATGCAAACTGAACACAAAATGCAAACTACACATTACAACTCCAATTGCATTCATATTCCTACATATTAGGAATCTGAACAACATGTTCAACAACTGTAATTCAATATTGTTTTAATTATTTGCCCAGAGAAACAATTAGCATTTGCATGGAATACTTATAGGATTCATAATATTACTTTGCTAAACACACCACGTGCATAGTATGCACGTGGTTGGTCTGTTCTGTATGCACTGCATACAGAATAGGCCAACCTTTCTAATTTGAGAATTTTAAAAATATATGTGCTGCCAAATGTGGCAAACAAATCTGACTCATTTACAGCAATTAGATATTATTATCAGGGAATATGAGACGGCGTAAACAATCTCATCATGAAATATTTTTTGTACTATAAAATCTCAACGTACATGTATGCAAATTAATTACTGCAACCCAGATTAAATTACTCACGTTCGCAATCAGTAGGGGATTAGTTTGTCGCCAGCTTGTCTCCTCTTCGGCGTCTACGACGAAGGGTTGTTCGCCTTGGATGATTTGTGGCGAAACCTTCTCCATCCTTTGGGACGGGGATTCTTGATAGTATTCGTTGAAACTTGTTGCCTGGTTGGTCTTCTTGGCGTGGATGCTGCGTCTCGGGACACCGATCTCCATCATGGACACTTAAAAGTTCTCTTCTTATGAAGCACTTATCAATTAAAATTCAATTGTGCCTTTACTTTTTCAGTTGCTCACTTTAATGGGGGGCAGATTTCTTGTCAGGTTTTACGTCTTGGTTGGAATGTGGACTGCTTTTTAAGTAAAATGCTTACTGGACGAGGACAAAATTGCGAATGAGGACTGATTGTCGAATGCAGGGCTTTTTATTTACTGGGCGCAGTTGAGGATTAGTTAAATGTGGTAGGAAGCAAGTAAGCAGGCCATGCAAAGTGAAGGGTCACTTGGTCGCGGAGTCGGGTAGCGCGATACCTGAGGAAGGGTTAGTTTTTCAGGTACCGAAATAAGTTTCTTGGTAAATTGGGTGGGATTAATATTTCCAGACCTTCCAGCACATTCTGAAAAATATTCCAATGTTTTCATAAGGCGCAAGTAACTAACTCAATATTTTTAACCGGTCGTTGATACCAGCAGACCACACAAAATCACAATTTCTGGAAATCCTCGTCTTTCTAATTCTTGACAGATATTGCTCACAAATAATATTATAAATAAGTAGGAGATACATATCTATGAATATAAAATGTTAACGGATTTATTCTTCGAATTACATATTGTGGAAAATATGATAAAACTCAACAGCAATTTGGCAAAGTGGATTTAAATACAACCAAAAGTATTATCGACATTATGATATGATATGCATAATTATTTCTACGTGTCTATTCACTATACTATTAAATACATGCAAATGTTTCAATGTAAAATTGGCTAACTTCTACTAAATTTGATGATTGATTATTATAATAAACTCTGCATATGACCCGTCACCCTCTAGCCCAGCCTCCCCTACGACTTGGAACTGAATCGGAATATTTGTAAAATTAGGAGACTCGTCTCGTGAATTCCAAAGACTTGAGATTAGTGACGGGGTTATCTTGTGAAGAAAGAGATTGAACTATGACCAGCTCTTTATTGTTGTCAGTTTCATCTTCTTTCTTGACAGGAGGCTTCTCCGTTATTTTCAGTGTTGTAGTAGTTAACTACAAAATGTAGTTAACTAGTAGTTAACTACAATTTTTTGGCAAAAAGTAATTGTAGTTAAGATTTAACTACTTTGTCAAAGTAGTTGAAAAAAGTAGTTAAACTACTTTCTTCGATGGTATAATTGACCAACTACATTTTAACTACTTTTCAACTACTCTTAACTACATGTCATCTAATCCCAAATATCTTTGTAATGAAAAAATCGGGGTTTTCAAATCTTCTTAAATTGATGGCGTTCAAGTTTAAGCAGACTGCCTCAATTATTCCCAGAAAGTGATAAAATGCAAGATCAAATCCAGTAAAAATCTCAACTGCCTGAACATAATGATGTTTTTTTTAAAGGAAACACACTGAATTTGTTCTGTTGTAAATAATTTTCTTATTTCAATGATTTTGACCAAGGGGCTAAGAAGGAGGAAAAGGTGTTTCTCGTTCATTCAACAACACACTTTTAGAAATCCGGTATTGATAAATAATACCGTGTAGTAATAACCCAGTATTAAAGTTTTACAATATTGGTATCAAATTTTTACGGACCGCTATAATTTTAATACCAAGCGGTAGCAACTTTAATACCGAGAAATCAACACCTGCGTAACTATATCAGATTTATAACAGTGCACCATCAAAGGTAGTTAAATGAAAGTAGTTAAAAAGTAGTTAAAAGTAGTTAAAAAGTAGTTGAAAAAAAGTAGTTAGTAGTTAGATTTTTGGGATGTAGTTAGAAATGTAGTTAGAATTTAACTACATGAAACCAAAGTAGTTGTAGTTATAGTTCAACTACATTTATGAGTAGTTAGACAACACTAGGGCTTCCCACAAGACGGGACAGTCTTGTCTTGACAAGACGGGACAAGACGGAAATTTACGTCCCGCGTTTTAGCAAGCAAGACGGGACACGGGACGGGACCAACAGCGTCTTGTCGCGTCTTGTCTCGGCAAGACGAAGTCTTGTCAAGAAGTCTTGCGACAATTTAAATATGATAATTTTGTCTCGGAATTTATTAAAATTGAATTTAAAGCTTAGCACAACGGTGGTATTTGTTCAGTAAAATATAACCTGAGTGAAATTGTAATTCCCTTAAATTAGAAATTCGATCGAGACGAATCATCGAATATTTTTCGGATAGCTTCATCTAATCCGTTATCATGAAATAGAACTTAGAAGTTAGAATTTTGTGTACAATACGAACATGAAGTCAAGTCTTGAGAACATAAATTCAAAAAACAAGCATTTTTCGATCAAACCAAAACAGAGATTTTTAGTTTTAGGGATGGCAAAGGCCTTTTTCCCACTCCTCTGTGTAATGTGATTTTTACCAGTCGAAACCTTGGTTAAATTATTCTGCAATTAGTAAAAACAATTTGTATCATGCATCCTGAAGCGAACTTAGCTTTTGTGATTGGATTTAAAATCCAACCCATTTAAAACATGTGCGTCCCGTGCTGTCCCGTCTTGCACGGGACGGGCAAGACGGGACGCATGACAAGACGGAACAGCTTGTCGTCCCGTCTTGTCTTGATATTTCGTCCCGCAGATTATAACAAGACGAGACAAGACGTATAATCTTGTCTTGTCCCGTCTTGTGGGAAGCCCTAGACAACACTGGTTATTTTGCGGTGAGTACATTTGATATGAGAGTTTAGATTGGTCATCTGAGAAAATCCTTCTTCGCAAAATTTGCAAATGTGAGGCTTTACTTGCGAGTGGATAATTTCGTGACGGAGCTGGAGTCTTCTTCTGATTTCTGAGTTCTGATTTCTTAATTCGTGCAGGGCCCGGGTTGCAGGTTTTCTATCGAAATGGACGAAGGTGCAGGGCTTTTTAATTAGCCACATTTCTAATTAATTAATAATTGATAATTAGGAAAAAAATATTTAGTATAATTAATTGGTAATTAGAAATTAAACTCAGGTTGCTAAATAAGCCAATGAATTAGCTAATTAATTAGAATGTTAACCAATTAATTGTTAATTTTTAGTGATTTTCTAATTAATTAGTAATTAAAATTAGCTTCGGTAGCACTAGTTAGCGCTAATTAGTAATTAATAATTAGGTTCAACATGATATTTAATTAGATAATTAATTAGATTCGACAATTAATTAGAAAGCCCTGCGAAGGTGAACAAATAATTCTGTAAGAGGTCTCACTTTGCAAATTATTATGATACGCAGGCTGAATAATTGATGAACGGTCGTTTAAGTTCCTGTCGCCATCCAAAATATAAAACTAAAATTTCAGCATTATTCTCATTCATTGATAAATTTCGTTTTATTTGAGAAAACCATGCATTGTTTCTGCCGAATGGAAATAAAATCATGCTTCAGCCAGAGGAAGATGAGACAAAAGCTAACCAAATACGTGAACGAGACGGATTTTGCATGCATATTTCTTCCAGAAATATAGAAGAAATCAAGAATTGGACATAAACAAGGTGACAAGAAATATACCAAATTTACATAAAAAAATCGATAGTACATCCTCATACAAATTTTATAAACATTTTTATTTTTATGCTTTTTAAAAATTTTTATATCGTTTTTTTTGTAAATATTAAATAAATACGTATAAAAATAATGGGAATGGACATCAATCCCATATGGAGTTCGCTATTACTTCCCCTTACATCGAAGCTGATAATTCCACCAGCGCCACGACCCCAGCGCCCGTGACAACAATTTGCTGTCAACAACTATTTTACTATTTATCACCCATCTTATTTCTTCACAAAAACTTTGTCAAGTGTAAATAATTATTGTAATTATTTATGACCACCTGAAGAAGGAAACGGTTGTTTTCCGAAAGCTTGTGTTTCAATAAATCACTACACAATGTCATCCATACGATCTGTCAATTCACCTCTTAAATACGTATTTCAGGCATTTTGTTGCAAACATATATCCGCCATTTTTACATAAGAAATCGAGAATTGAGCATAAGGATGAAAATAAATGTACAAAATTTGCGAAATTCTGCATGAAAATTTCGTACCGAGTGATCAATTCACATGGCATAAGCAGTTTTTTTGTTTTTCCCGTCAAAAAAAACATTTTTTGGGCCGGACATGGTCCAAAAAAGCGTTCAAAACTGGTCAAAATAATTTTGGGCGTCCATAATGTCTAACAATGGAGAATGAGGCAAAATGCTACAATTTCTTCCTTATTAACGACTTTTTTTGTAAATCCACCTATGAACTGTGTAATCTCAAATAAATTTTGAGCATTTTGGTTAGTCTGTAATGTCATGAAATTTTGAAAAACTTTTCATTTAACATGTTTTCTTAAGAGAACGTAAGAAATTTTCTAAACCGTGCCGTGTTACAGACCAAAATTAATAGGAATACACACACACACGTCATCGGATTGTTACAAAATTCAATAATGAAGGTGTAAATTTCGCCCCATTTTCTAATTTGGACACTTGGGCATTTTGATCGGGCCAAAATTCGGTGTCGAAAACTGGTTAAAACCGGTTTTGGATAGTGGTAAAAACAAGTAAAGATGGGCAACTTAATCTCTCCCAATTTCCCCAGAAACATCTCCCGCGTCCCCCACTTCATCGGATCATGGTTGTAGAACAGCAACACCGGAATTGGGCAGATTAACGCTCTCGCCAAGTACGCTGCCACGTTTCCCAATTTGATCTCCCAATCGCAGTCCTTGCAGAATACGGTGAGGTGATTGCCAAAAAAGCGCACAATCCGGAAATGAAGGAGCAGCTTATCAGGAAACGATAACCCCATACAAGCGGATTATATTGCAATGCTAGCTCCAGCTCCTTCTCGTTTGAATGGTTGACGCCCCAATTATCCATGTAAGCTTTCAGGTCCGGATAGACTCCCCAGATAAAAGATACTGGTCCCATGCAGAATCTGAAATTTTGGAATATATACATATTTAATAGATAGTAGTATCGTGAATTACAAAGAGTCGGGTAGGGTAACTTGGGTGACAATGCAGCGTGTGTCACCAAATGGTAATAAAATTGACGGCAGACAAAGGCAGCTGGTCATAATTTTCAATACGAATGGGTAATATATGTATGTATTTGTGAAATAAAGAGTATTGATAAATTTAAGGACTTTACCATATTGCAAATTGCCAGCACAAAAACTTGTCTAAAATCCTTGAAGGATATGTCATCGTATAGATTTAGAACGGAGCCCAGGCTTATTTTTCTCGGTTGTTATGGTCAGACGTCGGATATGAATGAATGATAGAACCTCAAAATATGAATGAAAAATTACCGTAGAAATCCCCAAAATATGACCATAAAAATGACTTCATTTTTTAAATTTTTGGCTTAATTTTTTGATATATTTTCTTGTAATGCTCAATTTTCATCAATTAAACAAGTTCTGGGGTGATTTAATTCATTCCAAATGAATTAAATCACCTTAGGCGAAAGTCAACGTAAATTTCAGAAAGTTTCTCATAATGAATCATTGTGAGAAAACTGAATTTTTTGTCATTTTCTGTCGATTTAGTTGCTAAATCTTAGAATTTGGCCAAAGATGATAAAATGAACGAAAAAACCCCGAAATATGATCGGGAATATGAATATGTCCTAAAACCCGAAAATATGACAAATATGAGAAAATATGCTTTGACCTACGTGACCTACTAGTGACCATAAACATTCTCAGAAAGTTTGGCGACTGTAGGTCAATAAATGGAAAAAGTCATTTTTCATTCATATCCGACGTATGGTTATGGTAACGTGAAGAAATTTTCATTGAGATGTTAACAAGGGCAAAAGTTGACTATAAATGTGTATCTCAGGTTTTTATGTGTGTATCTACGTATCTAAATATGTATTTAAATACCTTTTACTAAATACATAATCTTAATTATTGTTTGACTGATACATAGTGAGCATACATACATATGCACATGCCTACTTACTTATGTGCGTGAAAGACGGCATGTAAGAAAAAGGAACCTTAATTTCTTACCATCTCGCTGTTGCAGCTGGATAAGCCAGATAGATGTGATAGACACTTTCATATCGAGAAGCTGTTCGTGAGGTGATACGACAAATATGTAAAAGACATTTATGTAACGACAATTATGTAATGACATTTATGCAACCCGACAATTATGTAACCGGACCAATATGTAAGCGACAAATATGCATTATACGGATTAGTCAATCATATTTTCGAAACAGTATATTCAAACAGTGAAAATCTCAGGAAACATAAAAATTCCATGATAACGAACTGTGTAAGTACGGCATTTCAAGGAATTTGAGAGTTTGAGTGAATGGATGGGTAAAAATGCATACAAACATAATTTACATACATAATGTACATTCATAAAAACCTGTACCATTCAATAATCGAACGATCATTAGAAGGTGAGATTATTGATAATCACGGTAGCTTCTAAATCTAATATGGGATAAAATAAAGTAGACATTTTTACACTTGAAATTGATACGTATCTGTAATTACATGCATATTGGCGTATGTTGGACCTGAAGGTTTCCTCGTCTCTTACATTTCTATGTATGTATGTAAGATGCAGTCCAATTTAATAGGAGTTTTCGAATCCCTCCATCCTCACCTCTATTTTGACACCCTCTCCGTGACCATTTTTCCGCTCCCCACCTTTCGCCCTCCTCATTGCACACGCCGCAAACAGCACAGAAAATTCACGATAAGTCTTGTTCACATGATTTATCTATCTTGGGAATTTGTTGTTGCAGACAAGATAAATAATGCAAGTTAAAAAAAAACTAGGCGATTTACCACCAACAGTTCGGAAATATCAACCAGCTCAGCTCCACGTAAAGACCTCTACAAGATTTTTTCCATGTCGGAGAAGGGAAATTCAGTAAAATGGTAAATACCTTGTCCACGTTAATAAGCCACTCCTCCTCCAATCCCTCAAAACTAATGTCTCCACATGTCCCCCAAACTTCCGACGCCACTATTCGAGTGACCACCCACTGGAAGTAGTCACCAATTCTCCACGAGATGGATAAAAAATGCTCCAAGAATATGGACGAATGTCAAGGATATTTACCAACTTCTTTTAAATTAATGTTAAAGTCAAATTATAACAATATGTAAATATGTATATCGGATCAATGCATGTGTTGCGGATCTCCTCAATCCACACATATTTTCCTATTAATAGACTACTTAATAGACTTTATTTCAAAATTTTGTAAATTTTTTTGAAACCGATGAAATGAATGTGTTCAATAAATAGAATTTCTCACAATAACATGTGAGAAAGTATATAAAATTTTGTACTCGACTTCACACCCGAGAAAGATATATTTATTTACATATATAATTAATACTTAATAATTACATTACTTATTTTAATAATTACTTCATTAATACACGAATACAGACTTTTGACCCATCCTTATAAAATATTTTCGCAGTACGTATACAATTTTTTGATAAGTCTCACAGAATACTTATTGACGGTCTTTTAAATAATGTATCATCATTACACACACAATTTAAAATTAAATCCTTAAGCTTCTAACTTTTATCAAATATCGATATCAATCAAACCGAAATATGTGCTCGATTAGAGGAAAATACGTACACAAAATTTCTCCATAAATCAGTTGCTAGCTCTGTTTCGCTGCGCCTTCTTTACAATATCTTGTCGAGTTTTTACCAACTTTTCTGCCTCCATAACAAATAGAGCAATCTGCCTGGCAAAATAGTATTGCAACGCGACACAATATAAACATGTACCGGGGAGCAAATCAATCTGTCCCCATGTCTCGAGGAGTCCACCCTTTGTCCTCCACTCCAGCGGATCCAGGTTGTAGAATATGAAGGCCAGATTTTGGAAGAATAACGCTTTCGCCAAGAATGTGGCCACCTTTCCCAATTTGATCTCCCAATAGCAGTCGTTACGGACTACGGTGACTGCCCACATTGCGCACAATCCGGAAACAAAGGAGCAGAATATCATGGAAATATAAGCCCATAAAAGAGCATCATATTCCAGTGCTAGCTCCTCGTCGGTGACATTGTTGCTGTTTTCCACGTCAGTTTCAGGCAGGGCAAAGAATTCGGCGATAAAAATGATTGGTCCGACTACCTGAAATATTGGAAAATATATGTACATTTGTAATGGTAGTTTTATGCATTCTAAGAAGTCGGATAACTTGGGTGACAAGTAGACATAATGGTGATGCGTATAAAACTGAGGTCACAGTTTCCGGTACCAATTAATGAATCAAGTGTGTGCATATTTGTTAAATAAAGAGTATGGAAATTTAAGAACCTTACCAAATTGCAGAATCCGAGCACAAAAATTTCTCTAACTTCCCTGAAGGACGGCATTCCAGATTCAGAACGGAGTCGAGGCATATTTCTCTCGGTTGTTATGGTAACGCGAGGAAATTTTTATTTGGATGTTAACAATCAGAAGGACAAAAGTTGACTGGACAAATGTGTATGTCAGGTTTTTTTTACGTAGCTAAATATGTAATACCTTTTAATAATCTTAACTCTTAAGTTAAGCATACATACAAATATGTATATGAAAGACGGCAGGTAAGAAGAAGGAACCTTTATTACCATCTCACTGACACAGCTTGATAAGCTAAATAGATATGCTCATATCGAAAAGCTGGTCATTAAAGACATGATAACGAACTGAGGATGAGCTGTGTCTTCGTAAGTAGAGTATTTCAGGAATTTTTTACAGTTTCAGTGAATGGATGGGTCAAAATGTACACCTTTTTACATATGCATACATTCATAAATACTTGTACCATTCAATAAACCCTCCAAACGAATGTAAATAAGTAGCGTCAGAGCGATTGTAGTTTCTTTAACGTTTCTCCGTATATGACCTCGTCCTAACGGTCATGAGGTCAAAAATATTAACGCCCTTGAAATCGCAGTCAAATGTCCTTTAAAATGACACCCCATATGATAATTATGTATCTTTTGACCTTTGACCTCGTCCTCAAGGTCATAAGGTCAAAAGCATTAACATCTTTGAATTCCTGGTGAAATTTCCTTTAAAATGACACCCCACATGAAAATTAATGTTAAACTTAATCTTGACCACACCCCCTGGCACAGTGGGGTGTGGTCCGATTGACCCCATTTTAGAACTCGACCGAGAACTAAAAATTAGAAACACAATGTCGAAAACGGCATTTGATTATGTCGACTCGTTCTAGAGATATTCTGCTTACAGATGGACGGACGGACGGACAAAACGATCACAATAAGTAGCTGACGCTACTTAATAATGGAACGATCGTTGAAGTTGAGATTATTGATAGTCGCAATTCTACGTATGTAGCTTCTAATTCTAATATGGACTATAATGAAGTAGATAATTTAATTTTACATTGAAATTGATATCTAATTAGTAATTAGTAATTACAGGCATATTGACGTATGTTGAATCTGAAGGTTTCCCCGTCTCTTACGAGTACATACCTACATATATGTGTAAGCTGCAGTCCAATTTTATAGGACTTTTCGAACCCCTCCATCCATCCGTACCCTTCTTTTTGCACCCGCTACGTTACACACATAATTTATTCATATATATTTTATCGATTTGTTGTTGAAAATAAGATACCTAATTACATAATGCAGGTTAAAGAAACGGACGATTTATCACCAACCGTTCGGAAATGCCAACACAAATATCTCGATATTTGTCAAGATTTTTTCCGTGTTTTAGCAAAGGGGCAAAGGGCCCCGCCCCTTAGAAATTCGGAAAAATCTTATCTTGCCCAGGTTGATAAGCCACCCGCCCTCAAAGCTAATATCCCCACATTTCCCCTCAACTTCCACCGTCACTGGTTGAGTGACCACTAGAGGTGGTCACCAATTCTCCACGGGATGGATAAAAAAATGCTCCGAGCATCTGGGCCAAGATTAATGATGTTTACCCATTTTTTAATAGAAATTAACCTTAAAGTCAAATTATAACAATATTTATGTACATCTCGTCAAGGTCATGTTGTGGATGTCTTCAATCCACATAATTATTTAAGGACTACAGACATTTAGGGTTTACTTCAAAATTTTGCAAATTTGTTCTACAACGGATGAAATGACTGTTTTCAAAATGAATACTTAAATTTAAAATGTCGCGTAAGTAAGTAAGTATGAAAAAGCATATAAAATTTTTATGCTCGAATTTAATTAATGCTTAAAAATAACATTACTTTTACATATAAAACAATTGCTTAATACACGAATAGAGATTTTTGAACCATCGTAATAAAATAGTTCTCCCGTATGTATATAATTTTGATAAGTATCACTGAATACTTATTAACTGTTTTTAAATTAATATATTTATTTCAGAGGTCAACGCCGCCGATCATACGCCGCCGCGCCGCCAGACGCCGAACCGTTTTGACGCGCCGCCGCCGCCGCGAAAATCTGGTCGGCGCGCCGGCGGCAATATTCGGCCGCCGATTTACATTTAAATCTGATGAACTTTTTAATTTAGTGTATTTTTAAATATGTTTTTAACTTTTCTAAAATTTTAACAGTTTTTTAAATATTATTTTTGTTTAGTTTTGAAAATTGATATTTTAAAAATTTTCGTATTGAAATTTACCAGATCACATTTACGATACCATCAAATTCAAGTTGACTACTTGATGTTCCAGGCAAGAAATAGGGACAAAGACTTAATACCTAGTTTAAACCCCTAAAATAGGGATGCATAATAAAATTATGTAAGAAATGTTACAACCAACTGCGTGAAATGAAAAAGCCGTGATCTTTGACACAGTTTTAATGAGCACCTCAAATAGTCAAAATTTGAACGTCAAATATAACATGTTCAATTTTTCTCTAAAATTTTTCTAAAGTGCATGAAGGAACAGTTAATGAAAAGATACATTCTCCAAGAAATATTGCAAATTTTAGATTATTAGCAATGTTAATTTAGCGTGTTTCAGATCCTTCCTATTTAGCATATATACGTTTAGTAATTTATGTAGGCGCCGCCGAAGATATTTGATCACCGCGCCATATCTATCAAACTGAAATATATATTGCAAAAAAATACGAACATAAATTCCTTCAGAAATCATCTTCTGTTTTGCTGCACCCTCCTTTCAATACCTTGTCGAACTTTTGCCACCTTTTGTGCCTCTTTTACAAATTTTGTACACTCCTTCGCATAATAGTATTGCACCACGAAGCAATAAAAACATGTACAGGCGGGCAACTCAATCTGTCCCCGTGGCCCCAGAAGTCCATTATGCGTTCTCCAATCCATCGGATCAACGTTGTAGAAAAAGAACAGCAGAATTTGACAGAATAACGCTATCGCCAAGAACGTCGCCACTTTTAAGAATTTGATCTCCCAATTACTCTTGCAGAACACGGTAACTGCGAAATTTGCGCACAATCCGGAAACAAAGGAGCAAAATATGAGGGAACCATGGGCCCAGAAAAGCGGATAATATTTCAGTGCTAGATCGTTCTCGTTTGCATTTCTGGTGTCTCTTTTTTCCACGTAATCTTGAACTTCGGTTACGATTCCCAAGATAAAAATTATTGGTCCTAGTATCTGAAATTTTGCAAAATATGCATAATAGTACTTTTATCAATATGTTTAGGTAGTCCGATAACTTGGGTGACAATGTGCCATTTGGTAGTAAATCTGACGCTATAAAGGCAGGTGGTCACAATTTCCAGTTCCCACCACCAATCTGCATCAGGGTTCGAAAAAACCCAGGGTTTTAATCAAAAATTATAACACCCATGGGTTTTAATGGGTTTTACCATGTTAATTGGGTTTTATTTGGGTTTTAATGGGTTTTATTGGGTTTTATTGGGTTTAAATGGGTTTTATTGGGTTTTAATAGTTTTAAGTAATAATTTAACAACAATTATTCGGAATTTGTATCTATTCGGAAATTATTTTTGTTTTACAACACTTGAAATCTGTGATGCTAAAGAATGGAGTCAATTGTTGCTTTGTTCCGAATTTTCATATATTATGATAGTAATGAAATAAACTGCTTTAGAATGAATTGAGATAACGTCTTTTAACATATAGGAGATGTATTTAACTTTTAGAATATAGTTTTAAGGTAAAACTCGATTAAAACCCAATAAAACCCATTAAAACCCAAATAAAACCCACTTAACATGGTAAAACCCAGTGGGTTTTATTCATTTACAACCCATTAAAACCCATTAAAACCCAATAAAACCCAACCCATTAAAACCCAGGTCGGAATACCCTGATCTGCATGCATTTGTGAAATAAAGGGTATGGAAATTTAAGAACCTTACCAAATTGCACAATGATAGCTTAATAAACCGTAGTAACGTTAGAAGTAGCTCACCCTGCAATATAAATTAGGATGTATATAATTTTGCATCAATGGTGCCGAATAAGTGCACAAAATAAGTATAAAACTCTATAATTTGGTTCCAATGGTGCATTACAATCGGAATATGTAGGTGTAGAGTTTTAAGATTTTTTGCATCAATAGTGTAGAATAACGCCACAAAATAAGGTTCATAATGATTAAGACAATTTTGCACCAAAGGTGCGGAATAAGCCGACAAAAGAGCCATAATTTTTATATATTCTTGCACCAAGGGTGCAATATAAACGGAAAAATGATATAAAGGCCGAATTAGTATGCATCACCTGCGCAGCATGAGCGACCAATTGGCCATATTTAGTTTTGAAAACTTTATGTCAAAACTGTATGACTCTTTCTCCCGGAGATTCTGCACTATTGGTGCGTAGTACATCGCGTCCACCAATTATTTCGCATCATTTTGTGTTAGCGATTGTTAGATACCAACGGTGGGCCCAACTTATCCAATAATGGTCAAGGGGCTGTTTAATTAGCATCAATTGATGCAAAAAGGTCGTTAACAGACGGACGGATGGACAAGAGGAATTCAATAGCTCTCGTGCTACGCAGGGTGAGCTAATAATGTCTCTACGTTCATTGTAGGACGGCATTCTAGATTTAGAACAGAGTTTATGCTCTTTGTTTATGCTCTTAGATTTTTGTTTTGATGTTAACAATCAGAAGGGAAAAAGTTAACTGGACTAGACAAATAAATATGTATCTCAGGGTTTTACGTATCTAAATATGTACATAGGTAATAACTTTTACTAGTCTTAACTCTTGTCGGGCTGAGCATAATTATGTATATGAAAGACGGTATGCAAGAAAAGGAATCTTTCTTACCTTCTCACTAATACCGCTTGATAAGCCAGACATGTTTACATCGAAACCTGGTCATGAAAGACATGATAACGAACTGGATTTGTTGTTAGTAGGGTAATTCAGGGAATTTGACAGTTTGAATGGTCAATATATGTATGTACATACCTATACACATACATAAATACCTGTACCATTCAATAACCGAAAGATCGTTTAAAGGTGAGATTATTGATAATCACGATTCTACGTAGCTTCTTAACCTAATTTGAAATAAAGTAAAGTAGACATTTTTTACACTTAAAATTCATACATACATACATATTTGCATACATATGTTGAACAAGAAGGTTTCATCATGTCTTAAACGTACATATAAATGGAGTAATTTTTTTAATTTTTGCACCCCTCCATCCGCACCTTTCTTATCGCACCCATTCCGTGGTCCTTCTTTCACACCCAACCTTTGGCGTTCATTGCACACCCCGCAAAAAGCACAAGTGCTAGCAAGTAATTCGCTATAACTCATGTCACATGCATAATTTATCTTTTCTGTGCTAGCAATTTGTTGTTTGCAAATAAGATAAATAATGCCGGCAATGCAAATGTTAGTTAAATGGCACATATGTATCTGTAATATATCTTTTATTCTTTATATTGAGCGTACTCACGATAGCATCTTAAATACTTGCTCGATCACAAATACATACATAAATTTCTCAAGGAACCAATTCCTCCTTCTTTTTTGACCTGTTTTCTTCCCATCTTGAAATTATTCTGGTATAATTAGCCAAAGGCAAATATACATACATATATTTGCACAGTTTTACTCGACTTTACACCATCGAGACATAAAAGATGCTTAAAAATTACTTAAATCACAGCTCAATTAATACACAAAGACAGATTTTTAAACCATCATTACAAAATATTTACGCAGTACATTTGTCATTAATTTCGATAAACCTTGCGGAATATTGATCGCCTTTAAATAAACTTAAATATATTTATACGTATATCACACGAAGGATTTAAATAATTAAATCCAAAATCTACTCACTTTTATAAACCATACCAATCAAACGAAAAAATTTACTTGCCCGAGCAGAAATAAATACATACATAAATTTCTCAAGAAATCAATTCCTCCTTCTTTTTTGACCTATTTCCTTGTTTCAAATTTACCTAATTTTGGTTACTTAGGTCGTGAATTAGCCTGGTACATCTCTTCACAAAATAAAGTTGCACTACTAAACAATACATGAATGTCCAGAAGGATATCTTAATCGATTCCTGTGACACCGGATATCCCCCCCACGTCTTCCACTTCTTCGGACTCCAATTGTACACTATGATCCCCACAACTAACCGGTATGACATTTTGGCATACAAATTCGCCACGTTTGCCAGTCTGAGCACCCACGTGCGGTTGTCCAGCATGCATATAATAATTCCACAGAATCCCGAAATTAAGCAGCAGAGCATCATGCAGCCATAGGCAAGTACATGGGGCAAATATTCCAGTATGATCTCCTGAATGTCTTTGTTGTATTCTGGCTTATCGAGGTATCGAGCTTTAAGTTCTGGCTGCATTCCCCATACAATAGTTGCTGGTCCCAGAGACTGAAAGTATAAGAGTACTGTGTGTCACCAAATGGTAATATTTGTAAACCATGTAGGGTCTGGTCAAAATTTTCAGTGCCAATGTATCAATGTGTATGTATTTATTTGTCAAAGAGTATGGAAACTTAATAATCTTACAGCATTAAAACATCCGAGTATAAACAGTTCAATGACTGGGTTCAGTTCACGGTATGGGAATGGCTGCGGTTCACCGATTGGCTCCTGTTCACCGTTTGGCTCCTGTTCACCGTTTGGCTCCATTTTCCTTAAAGATTTGAAACGGATTTCTGCTTATTTTTTCAGGAATTCGAGTAACGTGAAGAAATCTGTATTTGGATGTTAACAATCAGAAGGGCAAAAGTTAACTGGCCGGGACAAAAATGAATCTCAGGTTTTTACGCATCTAAATATGTATGTAAATACCTTTTGCTACTCTTAACTCTTGTTGGGCTGTGCATATGTACATGAAAGACGAAAGGTAAGAAAAGGAACCTTTCTCACTGATACAGCTTGATACGTAGATAAGCTAGACATGTTCATATCGGAAACCTGGTCATGAAAGACATGATAACGAACTGAGCTTTGTGCAAGTAGTGTATTTTACAGTTTGAATGATCGAGAATTGAAGTACATACTGAAATAAGTCTTTTTGTACGAAAAATGGAGTAAGTAAGTATGTACATATATAGCATTGGGTCAATATAACTTGGGTCAATATGAGCGGATCAATTTGTCGTGGGTCATCTTGCAAAACATGCAGACATCTTGCAAAACTTCGCAAGCTTCTATGCTCAATTTGCGAGATATGCGAAGGTTTATTAAAACTATCATTGTATGAAAAATTGGTGACCACAGAGACGAACCCTGGTTTGGGTTAAAAAAAACTAGACAATCGACTGCTAACCGGTCGAAAATACCACACAAGGATCTCGGTATTTGCCAAGACTTTTTCTACGTTATGGAACGTGGTCACAAAGTGCTCCAGGAATCTGGACTAAGAGTAAGGATAAATATTACCCAAATTTTTCTTTGACAGAAATTAAATAAAAGTTAAATTATAACATGTCTATCTTGTCATGATCACGTGTTGCGGATTTCTTTATATTTTTTGCTACATATGCACCAATGTAATACTTGAATTTTGCTTTTAAATTTTGTCAATTTTTCATGGATTGGACAAAATGATTGTTTTCAATAAATAGATAAATCGACATTTTCGTATAACTGAGAAAAAGCATATAAAAATGTTTTACTCTACTTTACACCAGCGAGAAATACATAATTAATGATTAAAAATTACATTACTTGCTTAAATATTTGCTCAATTAATACGCGAATACAGATTTTTGAGCCATCGTTATAAAAAATTTTCCCAGTGGGATTACAATTTAAGCTTCTCACTTTCATAAACGATAAAAAATTTACTTGCTCGATCACAAATAAATGCGTAAAAAAATTGTCCAGAAATCAATGTCTCTTTCGTTTTTGATCTTTTGGATTCCGGTTTTTTGACATGCTTCACTTCCACCTGGTATTACCTGTTCTTGCACCTCATCTTCTACCTCTTCTTGCACCCCTTATTGCCCCTCTTATTGCATTTACCTCACCTTGTACCTCATTTTGTACCTCATTTTGTACCTCAACAATTAATTTATTACACCCCCTATAAAAATATATTTGACCAAAGAAACAATAAACCCCTGTCGGAATTGGCAATTTAATCGACTCCCATTTCCACTGGGGCCATCCCCTCACTTTCGACTCCTTCGGATAAAAATTGTACATTAGGATCCCCCCAATTAACCCCATTGGCGCTTTGGAAAACAAATCCACCACATTTGCCAATCCCATCGCCCACGTGCGGTTGTCCGTCTTGGATGCAAGAATGGCACATAGTCCCGAAATAAGGCAGCAGATTGTAAATAAGAAATGGACGCATAAACATGGCCAATATTTCAGTTCTAATTCCACAATATCCGTATTGTCTTTGTCGGCTTAGCTTGATAACCATTATATTCTAACATGAATGAATCCCGATATAATAATTATTGATCCCAGAATCTGAAAATATAATAGTAATGTAACAAAATGATGATAAAACTGAGACCATGCACGGACTGGTCAAAATTATCAGTGCCAATGTATCAATGTGTACTTATTTGTCAAAGAGTATGGAAATTTAATAATAATATCTTACCAAATTACAAAGTCCGAGCAGAAACATTTCACCAATTCACGGAAGCCCTTCGTTCCAGATGTAAAACAGATTCGTGCTTATTTTTTCAGGATGAATTCGAGTAACGTGAAGAAATTTTGTGTTTGAATGTTAACAATCAGAAGGGCAAAAGTTAACTGGACAAATATTTGTCTCAGGTTTTATACGCATCTACCTTGCAATATCTTAAATGTAGAATGCACTATTCTTGGGCTGTGCATACATGAAACATGGCATTGGTACATATGTACGAAAGAAAAGGAACCTTCTTACCATCTCAATCGTACAGACATGTATAAATACAAATAGCCTGATAAGCTTCGTACACATTTGCATGTAGAGAAGTTGGTCTTGAAAGAAGACGTGACAACTGATTTTGTGTAAGAAGGGTATTTCAAAGAATTTGGAAGTTTGAGTCTGAACGAATTGATATATGCAAATACAATTACATACATAGGTATCAGAGCTGGCCAAATTACTTGGAAGTCAAATTACAAATTACCAATTACATTTAGTTCAATTACAAATTACAATTACATTTCTCGAATGAAGTAATTGAAATTACAATTTACAATTACTAATTTGGCCAGGTCTGATAGGTATGTACAAATTCATACATACATAAATACATACGTTCCTGAACTATTAAATACTCGAACAATCGTTGGAAGTATAATTATTATTAATCATGATAAGTGACCAGAACCAGAGTCTAACCCTGGTTTGGGTTTGTAAAAAACAAACAATCTCCCACAATAGTTCGGAAATATCGACCAGCTCCACACAAGTATATCGATGATTTTTCAGGTTTCTTCCGATGCTTGAGTGACGAAGTGGTCACTAATTCTCCACGGGATGGATAAAAAATGCTTCAAGAATCTGGACAAAGATTTACAATTTTTTTTACAGAAATTAGCCTTAAAGTCAAATTATAACAATGTGTATGTCTGGTAAGGTGTTGCGGGTCTCTTCAATCCACATACTTAATTATTGATGGACTACTTGAGATTTACTTCAAAATTTTGTTGATTTGTTCTAAAACGGATGAAATGAATGTTTTCAATAAGTAAATTTACAACGTCGTGCAATTATGAAAAATCATGTAAAAATTTTTACTCGACTTCACACCAGCGAACCAGACACATAGTTAGTTAATGTTTAACAAATTCTAGTGTAAAATTATTTTTAAAATTATTTCCCGCGATATTTGACCAAAAGTAGGACTGGTTTGAGTCAAAATCCAAAATTTGCAAAAAATTCGCACATATTGGCTCAGATCTCAAAATCCACCAATGGGCCCCCCAATTTTATTACGGATTTTTGATCTACTCAATTTTACGCAACTTTTAAGATATCTAACTTGAAAATCGTTAGAGCGCGAAAAAAACACTATTTCATTGTATACAAGTTTTGGTCAAGTCAAGTCAGTCAAGTTTTGGCGGATCTAAAGGGTGTGTTTCGTTATTCTAGTGTTAGTCAACGTTTTCGAAACGTTTTGACGCTTGAGCGAGAAACGCCCTCTAGAAACGAAAAATGCAACTTAGTGACCAAACTGCCGCTAGGTGACGTTAGCTTGGATAATGTGAGACACGTGCGTAATCAAGCGCCAAGTTCAACTGGTAACACACAGACACACACCACTGCACAATTCTTGGTTCTGACTAGTCTCTTAAGCCCGCAGTGCGGGCTCTAAGCAAAACGATTTTATTATTTTATTACGAAAAACGTTCACTCACGACCCTATGGGCGTGACCACGAAAAAAGTTGTCACGACTCTAATTGGGTGTGTCCACGAAAAACGTTGTCACGACTGTAATTGAGTGTGACCACGAAAAACGTTTAGTCACGACTCTAAAGGGGGTGCCCACGAAAAACGTTTAGTCACGACTCTGAAGGGGGTGCCCACGAAAAACGTTCAGTCACGACTCTAAAGGGGGTGCCCACGAAAAACGTTCAGTCACGACTCTAAATGGGGGTGGCCACGAAAAACGTTCAGTCACGACTCTAAAGGGGGTGGCCACGAAAAACGTTCAGTCACGACTCTAAAGGGGGTGGCCACGAAAAACGTTCTTCACGACTCTAAAGGGGGTGGCCACGAAAAACGTTCAGTCACGACTCTAAAGGGGGTGGCCACGAAAAACGTTCAGTCACGACTCTAAAGGGGGTGGCCACGAAAAACGTTCAGTCACGACTCTAAAGGGGGTGGCCACGAAAAACGTTCAGTCACGACTCTAAAGGGGGTGGCCACGAAAAACGTTCAGTCACGACTCTAAAGGGGGTGGCCACGAAAAACGTTAAGTCACGACTCTATCGGTGTGACCACGAAATTCGTTTAGTTACGACTCTAAAGGGGGTAACCACGAAAAACGTCCGGTCACGACTCTATGGGTTGACCACGAAAAACATTAGGTCACGACTCTAAAGGGGGTGGCCACGAAAAACGTTCAGTCACGACTCTAAAGGGGGATGACCTCGAAAAACGTTAGGTCACGACTCTAAAGGGGGTGACCACGAAAAACGTTAGGTCACAACTCTAAAGGGGGTGCCCACGAAAAACGTTCAGTCACGACTCTAAATGGGGGTGGCCACGAAAAACGTTCAGTCACGACTCTAAAGGGGGTGGCCACGAAAAACGTTCAGTCACGACTCTAAAGGGGGATGACCTCGAAAAACGTTAGGTCACGACTCTAAAGGGGGTGACCACGAAAAACGTTAGGTCACAACTCTAAAGGGGGTGACCATGAAAAACGTTCAGTTGCGATTCTAAAGGGGGTGTCCACGAAAAATGTTAGGTCACGACTCTAAAGGGGGTTACCACGAAAAACGTTAGGTCACAACTCTGAAGTATGGCATTGTTCTAACGTTTTAAGTACGTTTAGGCACTTAAACCAAAAGCCCGCCCTCTAGCGCTGAAAAACAGCCAACATCCGATAGGTGGCGCTGGTAGGTAATTAAAATTGGTAAGGCACAGGTCAAGTGTCAACTTTGCCGTGGGGCACAGAGGTCACAGGTCAAGTATAGTGGATGTGCCCAGGTCACAGGTGAAATGTCAAATCTAGTGGGTGTGCCCAGGTCACAGGTGAAATGTCAAATCTAGTGGGTGTGCCCAGGTCACAGGTGAAATGTCAAATCTAGTGGGTGTGCCCAGGTCACAGGTCAAGTGTAGCGGGTGTGCCGAGGTCACAGGTCAAGCGTAGTGGGTGTGCCCAGGTCACAGGTCAAGTGTAGCGGGTGTGCCGAGGTCACAGGTCAAGTGTAGCGGGTGTGCCGAGGTCACAGGTCAAGTGTAGCGGGTGTGCCGAGGTCACAGGTCAAGTGTAGTGGGTGTGGCCAGGTCACAGGTCAAGTGTAGCGGGTGTGCCGAGGTCCCAGGTCAAGTATGATGGGTGTGCCCAAGCCACAGCCACAGGTCAAGTGTCAACTCTGTAAAGTGTCAACTTTATGGGTTGTACGCAGGTCGCAGGTCAAATGTCAAGTCCAGGGGTGTGTGCCAAGGTCACAGGTCAAATGTCAAATCTAGTGGGTGTGCCAAGGTCACAGGTCAAATGTCAAATCTAGTGGGTGTGCCAAGGTCACAGGTCAAATGTCAAATCTAGTGGGTGTGCCAAGGTCACAGGTCAAATGTCAAATCTAGTGGGTGTGCCAAGGTCACAGGTCAAATGTCAAGTCTGGTGGGTGTGCCCAGGTCACAGGTCAAATGTCAAGTTTAGGGGGTGTGCCCGTTCATTTGATCAAGTCTCGGCAGATCTAAAGGGTGTGTTTCGTTGTTCTCGTGTTCGTCAACGTTTTGACACTTTAGCGAAAAACGCCCTCTAGAAACGAAAAATGTAACATAGTGCCCCACCTGCCGCTAGGTGACATTAGCTTGGACAATGTGAGACACGTGTGTAACCAAGCGCCAAGTTCAACTGGTAACACACACCACTGCACAATTCTTGGTTCTGATATCTATCTTAACAACAACGAAACCCGGCACAACGAAAATTAAATGATTGCTCAAGCTGCTGCACGTTTCCTTTAAATTAAATATGCATGCGTCCTTTTGCATGAGAATAACAGTGGCCGCGGAAGCTTGAGGGGACAGTGCCCCGATGGTTTTTCGATGTCTTATATAAACCCCTCCCTCCTACAATGTCCCTATGCACATGTCCCACGGCTTCCGCGGGGACTGGTATTACTGGAAGAAATATGCATGCAAAATCTGTCTCATTTACTAGATTTTTTCTCATCCTCCGGCTGAAATATGATTTTATTTCAGAAACAATGTCTGATTTTCTCAAACAAAGGGAATTTTTCAATGCATAAGAATTACATATGCTGGAATTTTAGACTTTTATCTTTTGGATGGAATGCTCACGATAAGAAAGCGAACGACCAGCCATTAATTTTTTAGGCCGGCTTATCATAATAATGTGCAAATTATGATTTCCTGCAGAATCACCTTGGTCCGTTTGGATATGCAACCCGAAACCTGAGCCCTGAGCCCTGCACGATCTAAGTGTGATGCACAAAGTGACCCTTCTTCTCGTCACGATGAAATACGTCGTCGTCACTGCTCAAGCTTTGGATTTATGTCGACAAATGGAAAAATGGGGGCAAGAAGGGAGCAGACTTTTATACAAAACAAAATGATTTTACTACATAATTAAAAATGGTCATGGTCAAAAAGGTAACAGAACGTGTGTCATGTTTACAACTTAATAATTCAATTATGCCATTTTTATCAGTCGCGTGGGAATAATTATTGTGTCATAAATCATGAAATCAAAGAACTATAAAAATACGACGTATTCAAACATGTCGTCATTTGACGAAGGGTCAGTCGTCAGATGAAGGATATTATTCTGGTGGATGAAGCTTCTTGAAATGCGTCCCAAGACTGCCTTTCCGCGTGAACGTCTGGTCACAGTGGGGGCAGGGGTGCCGGATCTTGGCATGAACACCCTTCACATGTCGCTCCATGGCACCCTTTCTCCCGAACATCTTGGTACACTCGGGACAAGCGATGTCCTTCAGCCCCCCGCGAATCCTCTTCTTGTGGCTGCCCAGATTTGCATTACTAGTGAACGCTTTGTCACACTCGTCGCAACTGAACGGTCGCGGATCCGCGCTGTGAATGCTCTTGTGCAAGTTTAAGCTTTTACTACGAGGGAACAGCTTTCCACACTGGTCGCAGGGGAAAGGTTTCTCCTCCGTGTGGGAGACCAGGTGAGCATGATAAGCGCCGTTGTGGGCGAATTTCTTGCGGCAAAATAAGCACACGTGACCCGTTCCTCCCTGCTTCAAGAGGGCGACCTTCTCGTCTTCGGAGAGGTGGGCGAATTGATGAATGGTCAGGGAATGTTTGGAGGAGAAACTTTTTCGACAAGTGGGACACCTTCCGCCCACTTTTTCCTTCGTGTGGGTCACAAGATGACGACTGAGATGGGATGGACCTTGGAATCGTCTCTTGCAGAAGTAGCAGCCGTGTCGCCAGCCCTGCCGCACCGCCGCGCGCTCCACGCGACTAAGGTGGACGAAGAGATGCCAGGTCAGATGTGTTTTTTGGGTGAACTTCCCAAGCTACCACACTCGTCATGAGGATCTCCCAAACTCAACGCCATCGTCTAAGGGGGACATGTCGCAGTGACGACCTCCTTAGGATAGAGTAACGATGTATTGATTACGATGTCAGCATATAAATCTCCTATGGACGTCGTTGAACCGAGATCCATTGGATATTGTCGATAGACATTCTACGTTTATCGTCTCATGTTGTCCATTAATGAAAAAAGCGCGCATTTTTACAAGTACTTATTTTGTTTAGTCACACCATGAAGTCCTGCACGAGCTTATCGAAACGCCAATTACGCCGTCGTATCGAAAAAACAGTTGTAGCAACAATTAACAATTTAGAAACCAGTGTTTCTGATCAGTCGACTGCAACTTTTTACCACGACCTAAGTGCCCCTGACTTAATCGCTGACTCATTCAACCACGACCACCAAGTAGAATTAGATTCAGAAATTTATGATATTATCGACGACGACGAAATCATATCTGAGCCGTCTTCGTCCGATTTCAGCAGTGATTCTGAAGTAGAAGATAACCAAATTAATGAAGAACTGCGGAAGTGGGCAATAGAGAATAATGTGACTAATTCTGCAACTAGTTCATTGTTGAAAATATTAAAAAAACATTCGTGTTTCTCAGAATTACCAGCCGATGCTAGATCATTATTGTCCACACGCCGTCATTTTATTAAGCGGGATGTGCTGCCTGGTGCATACGCACATTTTGGACTTGAGAATGGGGTTAAAAGTTATGTGAATCAATTAAAAGTTGTGCCAGAAGTGATTAGTTTACTAATTGGAATAGACGGAATACCAATTAGCAAGAGTAGCAAAAGTGAATACTGTCCGATTTTGGCATCAATATTCCAGGATAGAAACTATAAACCGTTTTGTGTTGGTATATACCAAGGATCTAGTAAGCCTAATGATCAGAACGAATACTTACAAGATTTTGTCGCCGAGTGTAAACAACTACTTCAAACTGGGATATTAGTGAAAAATAAGTTAATATCTGTACAAATTAAAGGATTCATCTGTGATGCTCCTGCTAGGGCATTTATTACGTGTACAAAATACTATTCAGGATTTTCAGCGTGTTCAAAATGTACACAGGTTGGAGAGAGGTACGAAAATCGTACCGTTTTCTCGGATAAAATTGCGTCTAGAAGAACTGATGCCAATTTTGGAAATTCAACATCGCTTGAAGATGATCATCATCGTGGATTTACTATTCTTTCTGAACTTGGGATTGGACTTGTATCAAAACTTCCTCTGGAATCAATGCATTTGATATATTTGGGCGTAGTGAAGAAAATTTTAAATTTGTGGGTTGGTGGTAAACCAAAATATCTAAAGTTCAGTGCATTTCAAATTTCCACAATTTCTGACAATTTAAGTGCGTTAAGATTTCATATGTGCTGTGAATTTAACCGACAACCTAGGTCGCTTGTGGAACTACCGAGATGGAAAGCAACGGAATTACGACAGTTTCTATTATATACCGGCTTTATTGTGTTGCATAATATTTTGCCACCAAATTATCTGACACATTTTTTGTCTCTCCACTGTGCTGCTGCAATTTACTCTAATGACGAATTAATTGCAAGTTATGGTGATTATGCTGATCAACTTCTAAATTTTTTTGTTGTGGAATTTAGTGCACTTTATGGGAAAGAAAACTTGTTCTACAATGTCCACGGTTTACTACATGTATACGAAGACGTGAAGATGTTCGGCAACATCAATAATTATAGTGCCTTTAGTTTTGAAAATCATCTTGGGATTTTAAAACGATTAACAAAAAGTGGATTTTCTCCTCTCTCTCAAATTTGTGGGAGAATTTCAGAAAGGGAATCCAGTTCGCCATTACACATTCAGCGACAAGAGTTGAAACATATTCACCGCACCGGTCCACTAATTAATGGGTATGGTTCCCCACAGTACAAAACATTTGTGAATGGAAATTTTATATTAAAAATTAACAAACGTGATCAGTTTGTACAAATGAGAACTGGTGAACTTGTGAAGGTGAGAAATTTTGCCACTGATCTGGAGAGCGTGGAGGTTTGGATCATTGGTCACGCTTGCCTGAAAACTGCTCCACTTTACACTTCACCGTGCAACTCTGAATTACTGGGAATTTTTACGTTTTCCAAATTTGGACCGTTGAAAAAGTTTCCGCTCTCTGATATTTCACGTAAATATTTGGTTCTACCGAAAACTGTTGGGATATTCGCTGCCCTCCCCCTCGTCCACTGTTAGTCAAAATGGTCTTCTCGGTTTTTCCTGAAACGGATGAGGTGGAAGTGACCCCGGACAGTTGGCTGGATCGAGAAGAAGAGGGACGACTAAAATGTTGGTGGCCTCCTTACAAAAATTCAGACAAGGTGAAGACAGCAGTTAAAAATCAGTCGCCAGTGAATTTGGAAACTTGGAATATTTATAACGCTAGGATTCTAAGGTGTTTTGGTTAGTGAATAATTATTTCATTGTAATAAACTCATTGTCATTAATTTAGATTTCATTAATAACTAATTAGTTATTTATGTAAATTTCTAGCAACATACGCAGCAGCACGCGAACACTTATCAACAGCAGCATGGACGTCAAACTTGGAATCTGAGGTTGAAGAAAATGACGAAGGAAGTAGGCGCAGTGCGCGCCCTCGAGCGCTGAACATCGAGTATGAAGAAAGTTTGTCTGGGAGCAGCGGTGAGCTATCATCATTCTCAAAACCTGCAGCGAAAGATAAGATGAAGGCGAATTTCCCGCCACCGCCCGTAATCTTTACAAATCGGAGCAAAGAGTCAAGCTTGGCCTTAACAAATCCTGGATTTGTATTGGCACCGGGCTCAGGTACGCTTAGTCGATTGGATGACCACAATAAATCGAATGAATCGAGATGTTCAGGTAAATTGAGTGTTACTTTAAGGATCTGTGGGTTGATGTTGTTGAAGGAGTAATAAATATTTCCTTGTATTATGCAGGTAACGCAGATAAACTTCCAGTATTTGATAATAAGCTACAAAAAATTCAGATAATATTTAGAACTCGGAGGTTTAAGTAATTCTATATTTATTATTCAACACATCTTTAATTTTGCAGAAATTACGCCATTTGAAAAGCATGTCGTAAAGGAACTCGCCGAACTTAGGCAACGAATGGATCTTCTGACGACGAATGTAAGAATGGTGTATGATTTATATAGCAAAGGCTCGCCAAGTGGTCGTCCTGAGAAAATCGACTACGGCTTTCCATTTGACACAATGGAAGCTTTTAATGAGCTAGAAACTTCAATTCAAGATAAGAAGATGTTTCAACAATTGGTAATATATTATCTGTTTGATGATTAAAATAGTATAATCGTACAAGCATTGGATTTCCCCTTTATGAATAGATCGTGGAGCTAAAAGAGATCGGTGGCACAAATTACAAGGAAAACATTACTAACATAATGACTCGTATGATGACATACAATCTTGGTAGTAAATTTTGCTGGGAGGGGATAAGAAAAATCAACCCCAAACGTGCATTTAAACACTGCAAGATTAAAGACGCTATTTCTGGTAAATAATTTACAATTAAAATCTGCTTCTAAGTGATATGTGAAAGGATATTTACAATTTGTAGCTGCTGTTAAGGATAATCGAAATTGTGCTGGTGTAACTGACTCGGATATCAAAATTAAGCTGGCTTCATGGTTTCAGCACGCACCAGAGAAAAACAAATCGGTAATATGTTATATAGTTTTGTCTTAATCTATCTATAATATAGGTTCGTAAAACTAGTATTTCAAAAGCGTTTCTAAATAATTGCAGGAGTATAAAGAATCTTAGGAGGAGAATTAACACATCAAAATATGCGTCGTTGTCGCCTTGTATAATTTAATGATTGTATATTTAATGTTCTTAAATGTTATGGTTATTTGTTAATTTTTATTGATTGTCATTAATGTATTCATTGTCATGTTTTGAATTGGAAATAAATATGTGAAAATATAATATGTTCCTAGTGTGAGACTAAATACTGCGCATACCACACATACTAAGTCAGATGTCATAAAGGTGACTTCAGGAATATCCCCAAGACATCCAGTGGCATGCTTCCAGAGACGACTTTTTGGCGGACATTGGCTCGTCTTACGGACGTCTTTATTACGTATCCGTATTAAAACCGATGTCGCTACGACAAACTACTCGTCTCGTTTAGATGTCTTAGAGGAGTGCAAATGACATAGTGTGGTAGCTTGGGTTCTGCTTGCACACGGGGCAGGCGTGGTTCTTCCGACCTTCGTGCGCGTTCACGTGGTCGGTAAAGTGGTGACGAATGAAGAACATTTTTTCGCAGTGGGGACATTTGTCCTAGAAAACTGATTTCTTGGCCTTTGCTGGCCTCCCGCTAGCTGACGGCGACTCGTCTTGGTCATCATGGCGGACCTCGCCCTTGTTCATCCTGAAGTTACCCCGGCTAGCAACAATCGATCTCTTTCTCTGCACAGAATATTATGAAGTCAGCATGTGTAGTTGACCAATAGATTTTATATGCAAATTAAGCCTGCAATCTTAGCAACGACTCGTTTTTAAAATTTGAGACGTGTGTACGGAATGCAGTCTGTTCCAGAGTAACAAAATCTCCTCCTCCTCGAATCCTCTGCCTTTCAACCTTCTTCTCCAAGGTTTTCAACCAACGTTCAGATTTCTTTACGCTGGCGACGTTCCGGTCGTTTTTCGCAATGTGAACTAGGTGGAAATTTTCAAAATTGGAAGAATTTCTGAAGGAGGAAGTGAGCTCCTTGTTTAACGGAGAGATTGTTGGAGATAACTTGGCTTATCTGTGCATCCCACCAACAGGTAGGTAAGTCTCGTACAGTCAGTCCTACCAAAAAGGCAGCAAAGTGGGAATGGTGCAAAGAATTATTTAAGTTACAAAATCCTGGAAAAAGCAGGACGGTGATGATGATTAAATATGCAATGCAAAATAATTAATTTGTGTGTGGAAAATTTTGCAAAAAAATTGTGCCACAAGCAGTAACATGATGGTCATTACATATCATTCATTAATTATTCCATGCAAATTAAGGCGGTTTTCCACCTCTGGGAGAAATATGCATTGAATCCACAATCTGTCAAATTTTGTTATGAATCACAATTCCATTCCTATTCTCTTATCCTGCTGACATATTTTTGCCATTGTACTCATGAATTAGAATAATGTGGGGTTTTTATCAAAATGGAATTTGGGCTAAAGCTAAGCAAATGAAATTCTATGTAGAATTGAGTCTGGATTTCTTAATGTTTTTCATGCTAAAGGAAGGACGCATGCAAACTAATTTAAAGGAACTGTGCAGCCTAACCAATCATTTAACTGTGTTGGGCAGGGTTTCGCTGTGGTTTTAACCACTCTCCAAAACCGGTCTAAACCAGTTATGCACACCGAATTTTGTAGCAAATGTCCAAAAGTCTCCAAAATTGAAAATGGGGCAAACTATTACAAGTTCTTTAGTAACGATTTTTTTTTCAAATTTACTTAAATCTGCACAGATATCTAGTTTCCCATCAGTTTTGAGCAAGTTTGATGTGTATGTTATACCATGAAATCTGGAAAAATATTGTCTTTTAACATGTTTTCTTACTTGAGAAAGTAAGAAATTTTCCCAACCATGCCGTATGTACATTATACAGCAAAATGCTCAAAATTAATGAGAAACTGCATGTACGTCCACGCATTATCGGAAGATTCAATAATGAAAAACTTGTAAAATTTTTTACCCATTTTTTATTTTGGATATTTTGGACGTCCAAAATTAAAAACTGGTTAAAATCGATTTGGACGGCTGTTTTGAACAGTAGTTAACACCTTCCTTCTTCCCCTCTCACTATCTCTCTGCAATTTAAATTAAATTCGTATGTACCTTCAATTTAACTGCATAATGGGAATACTAATTTCATATTTAAGAAAAAATAAACCGTGTAAAACGGACGTAGAAAAGTAGCGAAGCTATCACTTTACCCCATACTCTGCGAAATTGAAAAATGCATGAAAAGAAAATCAATTGTTTCTGATCACCCCCACTAGTGGGCGTGCCCATTTTCGAACTTAATCTGTGGGACACCTACCAGAATAAGATGCAAAAAACAGAAATTGTAAATCTTGAATAGGAAAAAAGTTTTCCAATCTTAGTTCGTTTTCCCATGTAAAAAAAATACTCGTAAAACCCGTTTCGAGTCTCCTGCTAACTGCTCAGAATTTTGTACCCGCACGGGATACGGAGCGAGCCGAGCAGAATGATCTCGCAGGTGGCCGGTGGTCCACCATCTTCCCATTTTATATAAACTCGTCCCTCTCCTATACTAGAATTTTAACGTCCCCAGATGTCCCCACGGCTTCCGCGGCCACTGTGTTTACGCAGGTGACCATTACTGAAGGAAATATGCGTGTAAAATCTTTCTCATTTACTTGTGACGCTATCTTGTCCTCATTCTCTGGTTTGGTTTTATTTCCATTGGGTAGAAATAATCCCTGATTTTCTCAGATGACAAGGAATTTTCCAACTGCATGAAAATAACGCTGAAATTTTAGACTTTTATCTTTTGGATGGAATGCCCACGATAATAAACTGAACCATCATTCTTCAATTATTGAGGTCTGCGGATCAAAATTAGTATGCAAACTGAGACTTCCTGCAGAATTATTTATGCACCTTGGTCCCTTTCGATATGCACCCCGCAACCTGAGCCCTGCACGATTTCCCTGTGATGCACAAATTGTCCCTTCTTCTCGTCACGATGAAATATGTCGTCGTCACTCTTCCAGCGTTGCATTTATGTCGACGCATGAAAAAATGGGAGCGAACAGAGTTTTATACAAAACAGAATTATTTACTCCATAAAAATCATCATGGTCATAAAAGTAACACAAATCGCGTCACATTTACAACTTAACAATTTACTTATCCTATTTTTATCAGAATAATTATCTCGTCATAAATAGTGAAATCAAAAACATATAAAAATATCTAACGTCTCCAAAATATGACGGTCAGTCATTGTTTGGCGGGGGCACGAGGACGGCGGCATTATTCCGCCGGGTGAACCCGCCTTACATGTTGGCAAGCTTTTGATTTGCTCGGGAACATGTCACCACAGTGGGGACAAGGGTGCCTTCTCTTCAGATGAACATTGTCCACGTGCTCCACCACGTGACTCTTCGTCCCGAACATCTTGCCGCACTCGGGACACGGAATATCCTTCAACTTCCGGTGAACTGTCTTCTTGTGGCTGGTCACGTTTGCCTTTTGACTGAAACCTTGTCCACACTCGTCGCACTTGAACGGTCGCAGATCCGCGGAGTGAATGCGCATGTGCGATTTTAAGTTACAATTACGACGGAACACGGCCCCACACTCGTCGCAGGGGAAAGGTTTCTCCTCCGTGTGGGTCCCCAGGTGAAAATGGTAGCTCCCGTTGTCGGGGAATTTCTTGCCGCAAAATAAGCACTCTCGACTCGTCCCCTGCGCCACGAGGGCGTCCTTCTCGTCTTCGGAGAGGTGGAGGAACCGATGTTTCGTCCGGGTTCGTTCGGAGGAGAGCATTTTTCGACAGATGTCACACCTTCTGGCCAACTTTTCCTTCGTGTGGGTCAAAACATGGCGACTGAGATGGTATGGGCTTTTAAATCGTTTTTGGCAAAAGCAACAGCCGTGTCGCCAGCCCTCTGCGCGCTCCTCGCGGTTCAGGTCGACGAAGAGATGCGCGGTCAAATTGGTTTTGCGGGTGAACTTCTGTCGGCATTCGGGGTCCTTCCGACCTTCGTGGGCATTAACATGACAGATAAAGTCGCGAAGATTAAAGAATACTTTTTCGCAGTGGGGGCACTTGGCGTGGAAAAATGAGGGCTGGTCCAGTTCGGCGCAGTTGAGGTGGGTGTGGACGTGAGCACTGCTTGTGTTGGTGAAGGGACGAAGGCATATTTTGCATGGACGCATTTTCTCAGTGGCAAATTGCGAAAATTTCTTGGTTTTAGATGACCTACTGTTGGCTGAAGGGGATTCTACGTCACGTGGTGTTGGCCTTGGTTGGACGGAGTGAGGAAGAAGTCGTCCGTTCTCTTGAAAACGGTCCCCTTTCTTCCTTGTGGGGACGGTCGTTTTCTGTCGTCCGAGCCGGTGCGTCTCGTTGATGTCCAACGGCATCGTCTCGTTCTGTGCCGAAGGTCCCCCGTTAACATCCATCGACCCCTTTCTCTGCAGAAAATACTTAGTATTAAGTCAGCATATGAAGTTAAACTACAGATTTTTATGAAAACTTACCCCCTTTCAAATTTTGACGTGAGGAAGAGTAAAAATAAATTATGCTGCGTTTTTCAGGCTGCAACTAACGTCCAGTCCACCAGCTTTTTCTTCTCTTTATGACGTTCTGCTCTCTATTTCTGAATGCAAACTCAGTAGAAATGTTTAAAATTTGAAGAAATTTCTGGAGAAAGAAGTGAGCTCTTATTTGACTGACAGCTTGTTGGTCTCTGTCTCCCTCGGACTGATGGTGAGGGATGGCTTCGCTTATCTGCATATCCCACCAACCAAGAGGCAAGTCTTGTACAGTCAGACGTACCAAAAAGGCAAAAAAAAAATGCAGAATAATTTGTGTGTGAAGAATTAAGCTACAAAATCATGAAAAAAGAAGGACGGTGATGATTAAATATGCAATGCAAAATAATTTGTGTGGAGAATTTAGCAAGAAAATTGTGCCACAAGCAATAACATGATGGTCATTACATACATATCATTCATTAATTATTCCATGCAAATTAAGCCGGTTGTCCAGCTCTGGAAGAAATATGCTTGCATCCATTCTACAATCTCCCAAATTTGGTTATGAATCAGAATTCCATTCCTCTTCTCTTATCCCAGTGATATATTTTTGCAATTGCACTCATAAATTAGAATTATGTGGGGTTTTTATCAAAAAGGAATTTGAGCAAATGGAAATCTAGAATTTAGTTTGGATTTCTTAATTAATTTTATTCATGCTAAAGGACGAATGCATATTTAATGAACAAGGGAACATGGAACAATAATTTTTTGCAGAATTATTTGGTCACCTTCGTCCATTGCAAAGTGAAATACCTACGAGATTTAAGTGTGATGCACAAACTAACCTTTCTTCTTGTTTCGTTAGTCTACATGATTTTAGTTTTAAGAAGTTATTCCATTTAAATAATATGAGAAAATGTGTTATGCAAAGAGGTTGTTTATATTTACCAAGTGACTTTTACGCATTACGTAATCATTCTATACTACACCGTTATGTAAAATGGGTTATGCAAAGTTACCGGAAACCGTAACCTGCAATGCGAGTCTTGCACGATTTAAGCGTGATGCACAAAGTGACCTTTCTTCTAGTCACGATGAAATATGTCGTCGTCACTGTGCCAGCCTTGCATTTGTGTCGACGCATGGAAAAATGGGGGCGAGCAGAGAGCAGACTTTTACACAAAATAGAATGACTTTACTAATTAAAAATCGTCATGGTCAAAACGGTAACAAAACACGTCTACACATTAATAATTCAATTACGCCATTTTTATCAGAATAAATCTCTCGTCATAAGTAAATACTGAAATGAGAAAAATATAAAAATATATAACGCATGGAAAACATGTCGTGACGGTCGGATGAGGATAATAAACTTGTCATAAATCGGGAAAATATATAATAAAAAAAACATAACGTATGGACGACACGTGGTCCCTTGATGAGACGCTGTTTAGCAGGAGAAAGATTTTACTCTGGGGGGTGAAGCTTCTTCAAATGCATCCCAAGCTTGCCTTTCCGTGTGAATGTCTTCCCGCAGTGGGGGCAGGGGGGGGGTGGCGCATTTTGGCATCAACACTTCTCAAATGTCGCACCATGTGACTCTTCGTGCCGCACTCGAGGCACGCGCTGTCCTTCACTTTCCGGTGAACCGTCTTCTTGTGCATGGCCAGACTGTGTTTACAAGTGAACGCTTTGTCGCAGTCGTCGCATTTGAATAGTCGAGGATCCGCGCTGTGAGTGCGCTTGTGCTTGATGAATTCACCATTCCGACCAAACAGCGCCCCACACTGGTCGCAGGAGAAAGGTTTCTCCTTCGTGTGGGCATGATAAGCGAGGATGTTGGCGAATATCTTATGGCAAAAGAGGCACATCCGACCCGAGCCCTGCTTCACGAGGGCGACCTTCTCGTCTTCGCGGAGATGGCCGAACCGATGATGGGTCAAGCCTTCCTCGGTGAAGAACGTTTTTCGACAAATGTGACACCTCATTGTTTCCTTTGTGTGGACGACAAGATGACCATTGAGACGGGATGGAATTCGGTATCTTTTGCAATCGCGACCGCTGCTTAACCTCGGCGCGCTTCTCGCGGCTCATGTGGACGACGAGATGCCGTCAAATTGGTTTTGTGGGTAAATTTCTGCCTGCACACGGGACAGGCGTGGTTCTTCTGACCTTCGTGCGCGTTCACGTGGTCGGTAAATTGATGACGATCAAAGAATACTTTTTTGCAGTGGGGGCATTTCTCATGGAAAAATGAGGACCGTCCCAGCTCGTCGGAGTTGAGGTGGGTGTGGGCGTGGAAGTGAGCACTGGTTCGGTTGGCGAAGGGAGGAAGGCATGTTTTGCATGGGAAGACTTCCGCCATCACGTGACGACTACGCTTTCCGCCAGGTTGAGGTAATTTCATGGCCTTCGCTGACCTCCTGCTGGCTGACGGCGACTCGGCTTGGTTATCATGGCTGACCTCCCCCTTATTCATGCTGCCTCCTGAAATTCCCCGGCCAGCAACAATCGATCCCTTTCCCTGCACAGAATATTATTAAGTCAGCATGTGTAGTTGACTAATTTTAGATTTTATATGCAAATTAAGCATGCAATCTTAACAATGACTCGTTGTTAAAATTTGAGAGCGAGACGTGTGTTCGGGATGCAGTCGATTCTAGAGTAACAAAAAAATCATCTCCTTCTCGAATCCTGGCCTTCTTCTCCAAGATTTTCAAGCGACGTGCAGCTTTCTTTACGCTTCTGGTCTTTTTTTAAATGTAAACTGGGTGGAAATGTTTAAAATTTATCAAATTTATGGACTTTGGAAACTTTTAAAACTAGGGAAATTTCTGGAGGAAGAAGAAGTGAGCTCTTGTTTGAAGGAGAGTTTGTTGGTCTCTGTCTCCCTCGGACGGAGGGATAACTTGGCTTATCTGTGCATCCCACCAACAGGTAAGTAAGTCTCGTACAGTCAGTCCTACCAAAAAGACAACAAAGTGCGGAATGGTGGAAAGAATTAAGCTACAAAATCCCTGGAAAAGACAGGACGGTGATGATTAAATATGCAATGCAAAATAATTAATTTGTGTGTGGAGGATTTAGCAAGAAAATTGTGTCACAAGCAATAAGACGGTGGTCATTCTCATTAATTATTCCATGCAAATTGAGACTATTTTCGTCCACCTCTGGGAGAAATCTGTGTGCATCCACAATCTCTGAAATTTGACTATGAATCAAAATCCTTATCCAAGTGATATATTTCTTGTCATTCCACTCATATCAGAATTATGTGTGGCTTTTGTCAAAGTGGAATATGAGCGAAAGTTGGGCAAATGGAATTTTACGTAGAATGCAAAAGAACGCATGCAAACTTAAGGCTCTGTACCAGTAATTCACCAAGGTATTCAAGTACCCTTACTACCCAAATTTCTTATGAATGCAGCGTGATAGCATGTTTTGAAAAAAAGTCGTTGGTGGTAAATTTAGTAACATATTTTTAATGAAAATATGATGACACCCACTATCACCAACTTTGCGAAAAAAATAAAACCGCCATTAATGTTTTAAAAACTTCAAAAGACGTTCACAATTTTTAAGGCAGTTCCACTTTAATAATTCTTGTTCATAGCGGTGGAGGATAGTGTGGCGCAGATGGTATAATAGGTCATAGACCCAGAAAAATGGTGGTCGACAGTTTTTCTTTCAGAAAACTTAGCACTGACCCAATTACGCACTCGTATTTCATCAATATCAAAATTTTGGAAGTGCTTTGGGATCTCTCACTGATTAATCCACCTCGGCCATAATATTAGCTACAACTTCTAACTCAAAATTCTTTGCAAAATACTCTAATATCTGCAGGAACGGCTTTGGAAAAGTTGCATCCGGCTAGTTGTCAAGTAGTATATAAGAGTTATGTATTGAAAAAACCTCGAATTTTCTAATTTTGAAACTTTGAATTAATCAAAATGTTCGTATTCATAAGAGAATTGGAAGGTAAAAAGCAAGTCTAATTCTAATTCTTATTTATTTTTCCTAGTTCATTGATTTTTGACTTCTTAATTTTTCCAAATTTGCTTCCCCCATTTTTCCAGGGGAGGGGGGGGGAAATTGCATATAATTTTAGAATTAATTACGTAACTAAGGTCAAAAATATATTTGGGTCTTTAAAGTTGGTACAGAGCCTTAACTGTGCAGCCTAATCTTGCATTTAACTTGTGTTGTGCAGGGTTTCGCTGTGGTTTTAACCACTGTCAAAAATTTTGGTCCAAAACCAGTTTGGATATCGAAGTTTGGACGTCGGAAATGTCCAAAAGTGTCCAAAATTGAAAATGGAGCAAACTGTTACAAGTTCTTTAGTAACGATTTTTTTGCAAATGTACATAAATCTGCACATATACATATGTAGTTTCCTATTAGTTTTGAGAATTTTTGGTGTGTTTGTTATACCATGAAATCTGTAAAAATATTGTCTTTTAACATGCCGTCTTACTTGAGAAATTAAGAAATTTTCCAAACCATGCTGTATATTATACACTAACCAATCTGTTTAAATTTAGTGGGAGAGTACATAAGTAAATATGCGTCAACGGATTATGAAAATGATGAACAATCAAGATCTCGTAACATGTTGTCCCGTCTTCAATTTAGGACGTCCAAAAAACGGTTGTCCAGCCCTGGTTAAAACCGAATTGGACGCCTGTTTCGAACAGTGGTTAACTAGCACTTTCCCCTCTCTTTCTCTCTGCTGTTTAAATTAATTCACAATATACTTTAAACCAAATACATACAATTTACTGGTTAAGATTTGGAAATACTCGTCTCATGTTGAAGAAAAATATTAAAAGTTCTCATTAATCAGAAATTATTCCATATTTTTTAAAAATTATGAGAAAACGTGTCATGCAAAGTGGTTGTTTATATGTACCATGCAACTTTTATACAAATCATTATTAACCTTAGGGAAAATAGATTATGCAAAGTCACTGGAAACCTGCAATATGAACCCCATCCGACGTATGCACAAACTGACCCTTCTTCTCGTCACGATGAAAAATGTCGTCGTCACTGGTCCAGCCTTGCATTTATGTCGGCACATGGAAAAATGGGAGCGAGAAACGAGCAGAGTTTTACAAAAAACAGAATGTCTTTACTCCATAAAAATCATCATGGTCAAAATGGTCACAAAAATCGTGTCACGTTTACTTAATTATGCCATTTTTATCAGTCGTACAAAAATAATTATCTCGTCATAAATCGAAAAATGTGGAACATATAAAAATCTAAAGTATGGAAACATATCGTCTTTTAACAAGGGCTGAGTTGCCAGATGAATCCTTATTCAGGGGGATGAATCTTCTTCACGTGCTTCCCAAGATGGCCCTTCTCGTCTTCCCACAGTGGTGGGGGCAGGGGAGCCGGATTTTGGCATGAACACTGCTCACGTGTCGCACCACGTGACTCTTCCTCCCAAACTTCTTGCCGCACTCGGGACACGCGAAGTCCTTCAGCTTCCGGTGAACCGTCGTCTTGTGTCTGGTCAGAACTTGTTTTCGACTGAAGGCCACACTCGTCACACTTGACCGTTTTCGGGTTCGAAGTGTGACTGCGCTTGTGCATGGTTAAGTTACTTTTCAAACTAAACTGCTTCTCACACTGGTCGCATGGAAAAGGTTTTTCTTTCGTGTGGGAGACCAGGTGCTTATGATAAGTGTGGTTATCGGGGAATTTCTTCTGACAGAATAGACATTCTCGACCCGAACCCTGCTTCACGAGGGCGACCTTCTCGTCCTCGCTGAGATGGCGGAACCGATGCCTGGCCAGGTCGTGTTTGGAGAACGTTTTTTCGACAAGTGTGACACTTTCCGCCCACTTTTTCTTTCGTGTGGGTCGCCACATGACAACCGAGATGAGAAGGATCTTGGAATCGTTTGGTGCAGAAGTAGCAGCCGTGTCGCCAGTCCTGCCGCACCGCCGCGCGCTCTTCGCGACTCAGGTGGACGAAGCGATGCCGGGTCAAGTGTCCTTTCGTGGTGAACTTCTGTTTGCACACGGGGCAGGCGTGGCTCTTCTGACCTTCGTGCGCGTTCACGTGGTCGGTAAAGTTATGACGATCGAGGAACACTTTTTGGCAGTGGGGACATTTTTCATGGAAAAGTGAGGACTGCTCCAGCTCGGCGGAGTTGAGGTGGGTGCGGGCGTGGAGGTGGGCACTGGTTCCGTTGGTGAAGGGACGAAGACAGATTTTGCATGGGAAGATTTTCTCGGGTTTTGATGGCCTGCTGTTGGCTGAAGGTGAGGGCACGTGGTTATCGTCACGTGGTTGGACGGAGTGAGGAGGAAGGCGTCCATTTTCTCGAAAACGGTCCAATTTCTTCATTGTGGGGACGAGCGCTTTCTGTCCTGCGAGCAACTTCCGGTGCGTGTGGGGCCTGCACAAAATATTATTATTTCGTGGTGAGGGACAGATTTTATATACAAATTTAGAACGCAACTTTACCAAAGGCTCAAATTTGCGTGTTCGGGATGCAGGCAGTCGGTTAAAGAATCGTTCTCACGTCGAATCTTGCGTTTCAGGATTCTCCACAATTTTCAAATTACGTCCAGTTTTCGCTACTTCGCTACTCTTTTTTTCTCAATTTAAACTGGGTAGAAATCTTGGAAATTTCTAACATTTCTGGAACAAGAAGTGAGCTCTTGTTTGACGGGGAGCTTGTTGATCCCTGTCTCCCTCGGATGGCTTCGCTTATCTGCATATCCCAACAACCAAGAGCCAAGTCTCGTGTAGGCAGACTTATTTACATATATGCCAAAATGCAAAAAAATGCAGAATAATTTCTGCAGGGAGAACTAAACAGAAAGAAAGGCATGATTTGCAATATTTTGCATTTTTTTGAAATATGCACATACATATTTCTTCCAGTAATAGTGACATACCTACAAACAAAAATTAGGCATAAGGATGAACAAGCATGAATATTAAATTTGCGAGATTTTTGCACCCATATTTCCTCCAGGAGTGGTCAATTTACATCGCATGATTCATCAAGGTGCTCATTTCCATTAAACTAAATATGCTTGGGTCAGGTGTCACGTTGTAAATATGTAAATAATCGTTAAGAAATTCAGACTCAATCCTATGCAAAACTTCTTTTCTGCAGGTTTCCTTCATATTCCGCTTAAATACCTACTTCATTTTCATGAGCCTGTCGCATAATGAGAGTAAGTACGAACGTAAAGGCAAAAAGATCGCACTGGGAGAAGAACGAAGGAACGGAATTCGAATTCATAACCAAATTTCCAAAGAGATTGTATGTATCCACGCAGATTTCTTCCAGAAAAGGTGCATGGAAAACAGTCTCAATTTGCATTGCATAATATGTAATTAACGAATGATCAATAAGCATCATCATCGGTCTTGCTTGAGTCACGATTTTCTTGCTAAATTCTCCACACAGAAAGCATTCCGCACTTATTTGGCACGTCTGACCATGTAAATGTACGAGACTTTCCTGTTGGTGGGATATAAGATAAGCGAAGCCACATATTTCTCAGACAGAGACCAACAAACTCTCCGGCAAACAAGAGCTGACTTCTTTTTCCTCCAGAAATTTCCCTAATTTATAAAATTTCCACCCAGTTTACATTCAGAAAAAAAGAGCGGACCGGCGCCAAGGAAAGAAAAGTGGACAATCTTCATGAAAATTATTGAGCAGTCTGATAAGCACGGATAAGTTCGACGAGGAATATTTTTTTTAAACTCCGGAACACACATCTCACCCCGAAAAAATTTAAAAAAAACGAGCCATTGGTAAGATTTCATTCTGAATTTTCACCTTTACAAAATCTGTTCTTTAACTCATCTCAGATTTCCGATTTTTCTGACCAGCAAATTTCCACTAAAGATGTCACAACGTCTGAACCCCATGCGCGGTGGGAGCGGCGCTTCTTTCGTGGTGGCAGGCGCGGGATTGAGAAGACCTCACCGCGACCGCGAGGCCAGCAACCTGCCCAGTAGCTGGATCAAAGCGTACTCCCACTTTGCGGACGGTTTGGCCGCCAAGAAAGGGGCGTCGAGTTCCTTCATCGTTCCGGAAGTGGGGGCGACCAAGAGGAAAAGGCTGGCCAAACCGCTCAAATTTAGTGACGACGACCATGACGACGACGACAAGGAGAACAACACGATGGTGAGTGGGCCGGCAAAATCCCTCAATTTTTTCTCCAACCCTTTCTTCGAATTTTCTAATGTTCCCGAATATTCTGGGGAATTTTTGAACAATTTTTGAATAGGAATTTTTGTGTTTCCGGAAACTTCCAAATGCCTTTCCTTAAAAGCACACTCTTACGAGTATAAATTCTGCAGAAGGGCTTGAGTCCAGTGGCCGAGGAAGGCGTGGGGACATGTGGGGACATTAAAAAAATTTTATAAGGGAGGGCGGGGTTTATATAAGATGGGAAGACATCGAATAACCGTTTCGTCCCCACCCTTCCGCGGCCACTGGTCGCATTTTAGTAATAATAAAAATTTGCCCTCTTTCTGCGCAGGCGAATCCGCTGGCACGAATTGAAAAGTGGGTGAACCACCAGCGCGCGTCCTTTGACCCGGCGAGAGACACCTTCGCGCCTGACAGGGACACCTTCGCCTCCTTCGTCGACACGTCGTCGCCAACCCTCGTGACCTCGTCCGTTATCCCGGTGAGGCTATAGGTCAGAGGTCAATGCCAACCAGGCTGGCGGTGGCGCCGCCAATTTTGCATGATTTTGTTGACCTTCGCTACAAATATTCATATTTTAAACAGGCATATTTTAAAAACTAATTAATTGTTCTCACTCAATTTTGTACAGAATCAGTCGTCAGATTTTTCACTCAGAAACGCCTCCACGCTTGCGCAATCCATGGCGGAACTCGACGCCGCGATGGACGCGACTGACTTTCCCGTGGCGTTTCAAAACTACGAGAAAAGGAGGGCGGAACGACGCCGAGGAAGGAAAACCGGACGAGCTGAGCGTCTCCTGAAAATTGTGGAGGAGCCGGAAACGCCGGAAAGGGAAGAAGCTCCCGAACCCACCGCGTCTCGAACACGCACATTACGCCAAAATCTAAAAGAAGAGTCGTTCGTAAGATTGCATTCTTAATTTGCATACACAAATCCAGTAGCCGTGGGGACATGTGGGGACATTAGCATTTTCCCTCTGTCCCCTCACCCTCCCTCCGCGGCCACTGCTAAAATCTCTCCTTCAACTCCATACATATGCTGACCAAAATTGCACGTTTTTCTTGCAAATCTGCATTCTCAGATTAGAAAATTAAAAATTAAGGGGTCGCATGTACGACTTTTTCTTTATGAAATATTCAGTGGAAATTGGGGGCCCGGGGGATATTAGCATTGCGGGATAAGAGAAGGAGGGACTAATTATCACGAATCTGCTAAATTTTTGAGGGGACCTGTCCCCCTGTTTCCACCGGTAATAATGCAGTTATCACCGATTTCTTATTTCTTATCAATATTTTTTTCCAGACTTGGGAAACACAACGCCACCGGTGTCACGTGTGTGGAAAAATTCTCTCCTCCAAACAAGACTTGATCTATCATCGTTTCGTCCACCCCTCCGAAGACGAGAAAACCGCCATCGTCAAGCAGGGATCGGGTCATGCGTGCTATTTTTGCCACAGGAAATTCCTCCACAAAAGCACTTATCATGCTCACCTAGCCACCCACACGACGGGGAAACCTTTCCGCCGCGACCAGTACAGTTCGAAACGTGACTTAACCAAGCCCACGCCCATTCACCGCGCGGATCTGCGACCATTCAAGTGCACCGAATGCGACAAAGCTTTCGGTCAAAAACATCATCTGGTCAGCCATAAGAAGATAGTTCACCAGAAAGTGAAGGACTTCGCGTGCCCCGAGTGCGTCAAGAAGTTCGGGAGGAAGAGTGACATGGTGACACATTTGAACGGTGTTCATGCCAAAATCCGACACCCTTGCCCCCACTGTGGGAAGACGTTCACGCAGAAAGGCAAGCTTGGGATGCATTTGAAGATGGTGCATCCCTCCGAATAATAAAGTCCTTCGTCCCCCAACTGCATGACCCCTCATCAAATTGCGACATGTTTCCCATACTTTTTCAGTTTTGTTTATAACTATTCCGCTTTCACTATTTACGACACGATAAATACTCTTGTACGATGCATAAAAATTGCATTATTGAAGTATTAAGTTATAAACATGACGTAATTTCGTCCCCCGACTGACCCCTCGTCAAATTATGACGTATTCTTTATATTTTTCCGGTTTCACTACGATAATTATTCCCATTCGACTGATAAATATGGCATGATTGAAGTATTAATTACGTTGTAAGCATGACACTATTTTTGTTACCTGTTAGACCATACCGATTTTTAGTTAGTAAAGTCATTCCGTTTTAGATAAAAAAAACTTTGCTCGCGTCTCGCTCCCATTTTTTCCATGCGCCGTCATAGATACACCGCTGGACGACGACATGTTTCATCGGGACGAGAAGAAGGGCCAATTTGTGCATCACGCTTAAATCGGGCAGGGCTCGCATTTCGGGTTGCATATCGAAACGGATCACGGTGCATAAATAATTCAGTAATCCTTAGTTTGCATATTATAAAAAACATCCAAGATATAAAATTTTCATACCAGCAGCGAAACTTCCTGTTTAGTTGAGAAAAACATGAACTTTTTCTGTCTCGTGGAAATAAAACCATGCTTCAGGAGGAGGAGGATAAGTAAACGAGACAGATCTCGCGTCTCGCCCCCATTTTTCCACGTGGCGACACAAATGCAAGGCTGGAACAGGGACGACGACATGTTTCATCGTGACGAGAAGAAGGGGTCATCACACGTGCAGGGCTCATATCGAGGATTGCATGGACGAAGGTGAATAACTAATTCTGCAGGAAGTCTCACTTAGCATATTAGTTTTTATCCGCGGACCTCAATAATTGATGAATGGTCGTTCATCTTCTCACATGAGGATTCCATTCAACAAATAAAACTAAAATCCCAGCATAACTCTTGTTCATTGAAAAATTCGGTTTTAGATATTTGAGAAAACCATGCATTAAATTGCTGCTGCCGAATGGAAATAAAATCATGCTTCAGCCAGAGGAGAAGGAAAACAAATCTGTCCACAGAAGTGAACGAGACGGATTTTGCATGCATATTTGATAAGGTAAGATATTTGGTAAGGTAAATATGTAAGAAATCAAGAATTGAGGATCACCAAGCTGACTACAAGTGTATCAAATTTGACACATTTTTGAAGCACACTTCGTACCGAGTGGTCAATTTACATTGCATAAGTAGTGTTTCGTTTCGGCCGTCCAAACTTTTGCAATCCAAAACTGCGCAAAATAGTTTTAGACTTCCAAAAGTGTGTCCAACTTTGGCAAAAGTTTTTTTTATTAACAATTTTTTTGCAAATTTAAATCTATGCAGATATGTAACCTCCCATAAACTTTGAGCATTTTTGGTGTGTCTGCAATACCACGAAACTTAGGAAAACTTTAGCTTTCACATGTTTTAGTACGTGAGAAATTTAGAAATCTTCGAAACCATGCCATTTTACAGACCAAAATTTGGACATTTTGGAGGTGCTAAATTCAGTATCCAAATCTGGTTAAAACCGATTTTGTACGGCTGGTTTTGGTTAAAACGGTGGTTAAAACCCTTGGCGTAATGTATATTTGCATGCGAAAAATATATAAGAAATAGGTAAGCATTTCATGGAGTGGGGAAGATGAGATAAATATGTATGACTTATGCGTCCAATTGGGCCATAAAAATATGTAAATGCTTCTACTCTAAAATTTCTTTCGTAAATTATTTTTTTGCTTCCGAAATTTTTAAGCAAAAGCATTTTCTTATTTTTTTTTGGGGTGCGTCTCATTTTCCCAGAAAAATTAAGATATCTAGATTCAATCCTATGCAGAATTCCAATTCTTGACCTTTCCTTCATTTCCGTTTCTATCATTCTTTTTAATTGAAATGTCGCAAAATTTTATGGTAATCTGAATGAAAACGCAGTCGCGAAAGTGCAGAATTCAGATTCATAACCAAATTTGAGAGACTGTTGGCGCACGCAGATTTTTTCCACGGATGGACAACTGGCTCAATCTGCATTGAATAATAATTAATGAAAGATAATGAGCATCATCACCACTGTCTTATTGCTTGTGGCATAATTTTCTTGCTCAACACACAAAAGTTATTCTGCATTTTGTAGCTTTTCTGGTTGACTATGAGGAGGTTATTTCCGAGACTTGAGGGCTGTTGGGATATGCAGATAAGCGAAGCTACCTCTCGGAGGGAGACAGAGACCAACAAGCTCCTCAGCAAACAAGAGCTCATTACTTCTTCCTACAGTAATTTCACAAATTTTAAAAGTTTCCGACCAGTTTACATCGAGGAAAAAAGAGCAGCACATCGATCGCACAGTAAGGAAAGTTGGACGTCATTTGAAAATTGTGGAGGAGCCTCGTGAACCGCAAAATTTGACGAGGGAACTCTTCTTTACTTCGTATAGCATACGCCTCACGCCCAAATTTTAAGAAGGAACCGTTGGTAAATAAGATTGGATTCGAAATTTGCATGTAAAATCTGTACTTCTCTACTCGGAATGCTGACGTAATCATATTCTGTGCAGAGAAAAGGATCGCAAGAATTTCCGAGCAGAACGAGATGGAAGTCAATCAAACGGACCAGAAATTCATCGAACGACACAAACCGCTCGTCTCCCCAACGGAGAAAGGGGACCGTTTACAGAAGAATGGGCGACTTCCTCACTCCGTCCACCCACGTGAACCAACACCACGCGACGATAACCACGTGCAGTCCCATTCAGATAATAGGAGGTCATCGAAGGCCAAGAAATTACCACAAATTGGCAGAAAGCGGGGTCGTCACGTGGTGGGGAAAGTTTACCCATGCAAAATTTGCCTGCGTCCCTTCACCAACGGAACCAGTGCTCACGTCCACGCCCGCACCCACCTCAACCCCCACGAGTTGGAGGAGTCCTCACTTTTCCATGAGAAATGTCCCCACTGCGAAAAAGAGTTCTTCAATTGCCATCACTTTACCGACCACGTGGCTGCGCACGAACGTCGCAAGAACCACGCCTGCCCCACCTGCAAACAGAAGTTCACCCGGAAAGCACATCTCTTCGTCCACCTGAGCCGCGAGGAGCGCGCGGAGGTGCGGCAGGGCTGGCGACACGGCTGCTACTTCTGCACCAAACGGTTCATAGCTCCATCTAAATTAAGTTGTCATCTGCTGACCCACACGAAGGAAAAATTGGGCGGAAGGTGTCACACTTGTGGAAAAACGTTCTCCTCCAAATATTCGATGACCGCGCATCGTTTCGCCCATCTCTCCGAGGACGAGAAGACCGCCCTCGTGAAGCAGGGTTCGGGTCGAGAATGTCTATTCTGCCAGAAGAAATTCCCCGACAACGCCACTTATCATGCGCACCTGGTCTCCCACACGAAGGAGAAACCGTTCCGCTGCGACCAGTGTGGAAAACTGGTAATGGGGACTTAAAATTGCACAAGCGCATTCACAGCGCGAATCCGCGACCCTTCCAGTGCTCCGAGTGCGACCAGGCCTTCACCACGAAACAAAATCTGGCCAGCCACAAGAACACGGTTCACCGGAAGGTGAAGGACTTCGTGTGCCCCGAGTGCGGAAAGAAGTTCGGCACAAAAAGTAACATGGTGACACATTTGAAGGATGCTCACTTTAAAGAACGGCACCCCTGCCCCCACTGCGGGCACACGTTCACGCGGAAAGGCAACCTTGGGACGCATTTGAAGAAGGTTCATCCCCAAAGATAAATTCCTTCGTTTGTCAAATTTCATGTAATATTTCCATGCGTTAGATTTTTATATGTTCCCGATGTCACCATTTGTGACGAGATAATTCTTCTCGTATGACTGATAAAAATGGCATAATTGAATTTGTAAGATGTAAACACGACCTAATTTTTGTTACAGTTTTGACCACGACGATTTTTATGGAGTAAAGTTATTCTGTTTTGTACTAAAAAAAACTCTGCTCCGGTCTCGCCCCCAGTTTTTCATGTATCGACAAAAATGCGACGCTGTAACAGTGACGACGACATATTTCATGATGACGAGAAGAACGGTCACTTTGTAGTTTGTGCATCACACTTAAGTCGTACAGGGCTCATATGGCGGGTTACGGTTTCCGGTCACTTCGCATAACCCATTTTCTTATTTTCGTATTTTTTTAATGGAAGTACTAAAATCATGCATATCTGTTCAAAAATTTAGTTTTCATTCAAAAGCCAGTCATCCCAATTTCTGACTGAAGATCTTCATTCACATTTTCGTTCAAATTCATTTCATTTCACTTCATCTGACTTCATTTCTTACTTCACTCCATGTATTAAGCATAGGATGAAAAATGAAAGGAGTGAGAAATGCTTTCATTCAAAGTAATTCATCTGAAATGACGGAATCCTTCAATCATTTTCACTCAAATCACAGGAAATTCATTTACATTCACTATCATTCACCATCATAATCAATAAATGAATGAAAGTGAACAGGTATGAAATCATGTAGACAAACGAAACAAGAAGAAAGGTTAAATATAATTTGTGCATCACACTTAAATCTCATATTGCAATTTGCATATCGAAACAGACGAAGGTGACTAAATAATTCTACATGCAGAAAATTATTACAGTTGGCATATTAATTATCGTGACACGCACACGTCCACAATTGATAAATTTTCATTCTAAAAGTAAGCGAAATCAAGAACTCATCACAAACGAGGAAGGAATATTATTTAGTTTTATTGTTTTTTCTTAAATATGAAATTAGTATTTGCTATTATGCAGTTAAATTGAAAGTACATATAAAATTAATTTAAATTGCAGAGAGAGTGAGAGGAAAAAAGAAGGACAGTGTTAACCACGGTGCGAAACAGCCGTCGATTTTAACCAGTTTTTGATTTTGGACGTCCAAAATGTCCAGAATAAAAAATGGGTCAAAATGTTACAAGTTTTTCATTATTGAATCTTCAGATAATCCGTGGACGTACATGCAGTTTCACATTAATTTTGAGCACTGTGTTGTGTACGTACATACAGATGTACGGCATGGTTGGGAAAATTTCATACTTTCTCACACAAGAAAACATGTTAAAAGAAAAGTGTTTCCAAATTTCGTGGAATTATAGACACACCAAAATGCTCAAAATTAATGGGAAATTACATATATTTATATATGCAGAGCAAATTTAGATTTGAAAAAAATATCTTTAATAAAGAACTTGTAATATTTTGCCCCGTTTTCTATTTTGGACACTTTTGGATTCGACTTTTGGAAAATTCGGTGTCCAAACCGGTTAAAATCGGTTGGTTTTGGACTGGTGTTACGGACATTGTTTAAAACCCTGCAAAACAGAAGTTAAATGATCGGCCAAGTTTTATATTTCTTTATTCATTAAATATGCATTCGTCCTTTAGCATGAAAAAAAAAAAATTATTGGGAGATTGCATGACAAACAAGTCAACGGATTATTGAAAGATTCAATAAAGAAGAACTTGCAATCCGGTGGCCCATTTTCTATTTTGGACACTTTGGGACATTTGCGATGGGTAAAATTCTGTACCCAAAACTGGTTAAAATTAGCTTTGAACGGCTGTTTAAAACCCTGCACGTAAGAAGTTAAATGATTGATGCAGCTGTACATTTCCTTTAAATTAAATATGCATTCGTCATTTAGCATGAAAAAAATTAAGAAATCCAGACTCAATTCTACATAGAATTCCATTTGATCAGCTTTCAATTTGATAAAAACCCCACATACTTAATTTAATAATTTGAGTGCAATGGGAATAAAATATAGCTTGAAAAAGTAAAAAATTCTAAGGTGAGGAAGTGCACTTAAAAGTATTAAACAAGCTCCCTCCGCCACCCAGATAATTTTACTTCGCCTGGGCTGTCTATTCCATGCAAAATAAAAATAGGTTGTAAATAAGTCGCTCAAAGAGTCACCCAACAAATCTAAAAACAATCCTATACGTTTAAAACATATCGGTTTATCAGTACATGCATTCTGACTTGAATGCACAACGAGCACGATGTCGAACTAGTTATACGAATAATTAATAAATCTTTAGGACGGGTGAACAATATGTAATAATTACCACCAAATGATCATAATTGCTAATACCCTTACAACCCAGCAATGTTAAATAGATCTCTGGTCTGAGCTGCTGGGTTTTATACCTAATCCATCAAAGTACATACATACAGCAATGTTAATCTGGCTGGATATTAACCAATTCAAAAGTTAACTTTGGATCAAGAAATTAATGCTAATCCTACTTTTCATAAGTGACGCCGAAACATTATTGTCAATATTTTGCATGGAATAGACAGCCCAGGCGAAGTAAAATTATCCGGGTGGCGGAGGGAGCTTGTTTAATACTTTTAAGTGCACTTCCTCACCTTAGAATTTTTTACTTTTTCAAGCTATATTTTATTTAATTCTTTTAAGGTTTGAACTTTAAAAGCAAATATAGAACGTAACCATTATTACACGCTATTTGCAAAGAAACATTTACACTGTTAGTCTTGCGAATATCGTAGCCAATTTATTTAGTTAGTTCAAATTCACGTTGTAAAAGTGCCAGTTGAATGGTGTCAAGTTCCGATATGCCTAACGCAGTCAAATTTGCGCTTCGACATATGTGTAAAACTATATATAAGACCATCGTTGATAATTTCTAAGAAGGTTTGGGTGACTTCAAAGGGTCCCTCGCCCTCCACAAAAATTTCCCAATTCCAGTTCATATTCTGCGATTAGGTGCGACTAGAAACCGCTGTACTAAATTGCAAATCGATTTGATGATTTTGAGAAATCAGTATGGGTGACCCCATAGGGTCCCTCCAGATGAAAATTGTTCCAATCTGAATTCATATTCTTCTGTTAGGAGCCATTAACCATCTGTATGCCAAATTTCAGCTTTCTATAATTTTGAAATCTGGTACATAGACCCCATCCACTTACATAACCCCCACGGGTCAGCCATTTGACCGATTTCGCCCACCCTCGAACCCGTTTCCTAACTTTGTCCAATATGCATATGGTAAAATTGTAAGTCTATCGTGTTCACGGACGGACATGACGGTCCCATAAGCCCTGACTCGGGCTATGACCATAAATACTCCATAGCGAGGGTGTAACTATATAGTCACTATATAGCAACCACTAGGAAATTTTTGTTATAAGGAAAAGTCGCTGGTTTCTCAACCAATCGACCCAATTCTTGTTTCCGCTTATAGTAAAGTGGGGGCGATCTTTCATAAATTTAAATACCCAGCTATGCAGATAGTCTCCTTCATACTTAAACTGTGAAACGCAACCATTCACCACCATCAAAACTTTTTTCTGGGAGGTCATATCGAAAAATCCCTTAGGATAGCACTAGATTATGTCCGTAATTGATTTTTCGGTCTCTTTATTTTTTTCGCTAAAACGCACCCCCTTGGCTATAGGACGCGGTCAAGGTTTTCGAAGGGGGGGTGAATGCATACTATACCCTGATTGCGATCGTTATGGGCTCTCCGGGTGGAGCCTAATAGGCAGAAACCAGCCACGTTCCTCAGTTTGCTGAAAAGAATGAGGGGAAGAGCGCTGGTTTCTGCCTATTAGGCTCCACCTGGAGAGCCCATAACGATCGCAATCAGGGTATAAGGTGTAAATGTAACCATAGTTTTTACCTCACCTTAGAAAAATGGAATAATTGAGTTACTAAATTGTAAACATGGCCCGATTTTTGTTACCTCATGACGATTTTTGTGCAGTAAAATAATTCCATTTTGTATTGAAAAGAAAAAACTCTGCTCGCGTCCCGCACCCATTTTTCCATGCGCCGACACAAATGCAAGGCTGGACCAGTGACGACGACATGTTTCATCGTGACGAGAAGAAGGGTCAATTTGTGCATCACAGGTAAATCGTGCAGGGCTCAGGTTGCGGGTTGCATATCGAAAAAACCAAGGTGAACTAATAATTCTTCAGGAAATCTCAGTTTGCATACCAATTTTGATACGCACACCTCAGTAATTGAGGAAATTCCTCAGGGGAATGGTCGGTAAGTCTCCTATCGTGAGCATCCCATCCAAAGTATAAAACTAAAATACCAGCATAAATCTTATCCATGGAAAAATTCCGTTTTATTTGAGAAAACAATGCATTGTTTCTGCCAAATGGAAATAAAACATGCTTCAGAAGGAGGATGAGAACAAATCTAGCCACATATTTATGTAAATAGACGGATTTTACATGCATATTTCTCCCAGTAGGACATAAGAGATTAAGAATTGAGCATAAACGAGGTGACAAATAAATTTTCGAGATTTTGCATCCAAATTTCGTATAAGGTGGTCAATTTTCATGGCACGAGCAGTGTTTCGTTTTGGCGTGGAAAACTACTTTTGGAATGGACACTTTCCAAAACTGGTCGAAATAATTTTGGACGGTCAAAATGTAGAAAATCGTCCCAAATCCTACAAGTTCTTCTTTATTACCGACTTTTTTGCAAAGCTATGCACAAATATGGAATCTAATCTCCCATAAATTTTGAGCATTTTGATTGCTCTGTAATTTTGGAAAACTTTTCCTTTTACATGTTTTCTTATGACAAATTTTCTAAACCATGCCGTATTACAAACAAAAATTGATGGGAGATTGATCATAAGCACATACGTCAACGGATTTTCCAAAAATTTTAATGCGGGCGTAACATTTGGCCCATTTTCTATTTCGGACAGTTTTGGACATTTGCTACAAAATTCGGTGTCCAAAACTGGGTAAGACCGGTTTTGCACAGTGGTTAAAACCACAGCGAAACCCTGCACAACACAGTTAAATGCGTGATTATGCTGCACAGTTCCTTTAAATTAAGTTTGCATGCGTTCTTTTGCATGAGAAATGTTAAGAAATCCAGCAGACTCAATTCTACGTAAAATTTCATTCGCCCAACTTTCGCTCAAATTCCATTTTGACAAAAGCCCCACATAATTCATGACTGCAATGGCAAAAATATGTCACTCGGATATGAATTCTCTGATTCATAGCCAAATTTTAGAGATTGTGGATGCACCCAGATTTCTCCCAGAGGTGGAAAACCGACTCAATCTGCATTGCATATTTAGTTATCACCGTCCTGCTTATTCCAGGATTTTGTAGCTTAATTCTCAGCACAGAAATTACTATCTGCATTTTTCTGCCTGTTTGGTAAGTCTGGCTATACGAGACTTGGCCGTTGTTGGGGTATGCAGATAAGCCAAGCCACCTCTTCGTCCGAGGGAGACAGAGACCAACAAGCTCCCAGCCAAACAAGAGCTAAATTCCTCCTCCAGAAATTTCTCATTTTTAAACATTTTCAAATTTTCATCAAGTTCACATTGCGAAAAAAGACCAGAACGTTGCAAACGTAAAGAAATCTGAACGTCGCTTGAAAATCTTGGAGAAGAAGGTTGAAAGGCAGGATTCGAGGAGAAGAAGGTCTTGTTACTCAATAACCAACTGCATCCAGAGCAAACGCCTTACGCCTAAATTTGAAGGAGTCGTTGGTAAGATTGCAGTCTTCATTTTCATGAAAAACCTGTACTTTTAGTCTGAATGCTGACGTAAAAATATTCTGTGCAGAGAAAGGGATCGATGCATTTTAAGGGGGCAACTTCCGAGCAGAACGAGACGTTGTCCTTGGACGGGATGGAGGTCAACCAGAAAGCGGTCAAACGACAGAAGGCCCTCGTCCCCACGAAGGAGAAAGTCGACAAGGGGGAAAGTTCTCAAGATAATGGACGACTTCCTCCTCACTCCGTCCAAACACCACGTGGCGATAACCATGTGCACTCTCAGTCATCCAACATCACGTTATCCAAAGCCAAGAAAATCTTCCCATGCAAAACGTGCCTCCGTCCCTTCACCAACGGAACCAGTGCTCACCTCCACGCCCGCACCCATCTCAACTCCCACGAGCTGGAGAAGACCTCAGTTTTCCATGTGAAATGTCCCCACTGCGCAAAAGCATTCTTCCATCGTCGCCACTTTACCGACCACGTGAACGCGCACGAGGGTCGGAAGAACCACGTCTGTCCCGTTTGCAAGCAGAAGTTCACCCGGAAAGCAACTTTGGCCGGTCATTTCATCGTCCACATGAGCCGCGAGGAGCGCGCGGCGGTGCAGCTGGGATGGCGACACGGCTGCTACTTCTGCAGCAAACATTTCAAAAGTCAATCCCATCTCAGTTGTCATTTTGTGACTCACACGAAGGAAAAAGTGGGCTGGAAGTGTCACGTCTGTAGGAAAACTTTCTCCTCCAAATATTCCCTCATCAGACATCGGTTCGCCCATCTCTCCGAGGACGAGAAGGTCGCTCTCGTGAAACAGGGGTCGAGTCGAGTCTGCCTATTTTGCCGCAAGATATTCCCCGACAACGACACTTATCACATTCACCTGGTCTCCCACACGAAGGAGAAACCCTTTCCCTGCGACCAGTGTGGGGCGCTGTTCGGTCATCAGAGTGTCTTAAACTTGCATAAGCGGCTTCACAGCGCGGATCCGCGACCATTCCAGTGCTCCGCGTGCGAGCAGGCCTTCACTACGAAACAATATCTGGGCAGCCACAAGAAGACGGTTCACCGGAAGGTGAAGGACTTCGCGTGCCCCGAGTGCGGCAAGAAGTTCGGCATGAAAAGCAATATGGTGACACATTTGAACAATGTTCACGTCAAAATTCGGCACCCTTGCCCCCACTGCGGGCACATATTCACGCAGAAAGGCAACCTTGGGAGGCATTTGAAGAAGCTTCATCCCCAAGAGTAAAGTCCTTCCTTTGTCGACTGACCCCTCGTCAAATTTCATTTAATGTTTCCATGCGTTAGATTTTTATATGTTCCCAATGTCACCATTTGTGACGAGATAATTCTTCTTGTACGACTGATAAAAATGGAATAATTGAATTGTTAAGATGTAAACATGACCCGATTTTTGTTACCGTTTTGACCACGACGATTTTTACGTAGTAAAGTCATTCTTTTTATGCAAAACTCTGGTCGCGTCTCGCTCTCATTTTTCCATGCGCCGACATAAATGCAAGGCTGGCACAGTGACGACGACATATTTCATCGTAACGAGAACAAAGGTCAATTTGTGCATCACATGCAAATTGTGCAGGGCTCGCATTCTGGGTTGCATCTTCAAACGGGCTAAGGAGAATAAATAATTCTGCAGGAAATCTCAATTTGCATTTTGATCCTCGGTCCTCAAAAACTGATAAATTGTCGTTCATCTCTTATCGTGAGGATTTCATCCCAAATATAAAACTAAAATTCCAGTATAATTCTTATTCATTGAGAAATTTCGTTTTATTTGAGAAAATCATACAATTATTGCTTCTGCCGAATGGAAATAAGATCATGCTTCAGAAGCAGAACAAATTTAGCCATGTATGGAAACGAGACAGGTCTTGCATGCATATTTCTCCCCGTAAAACTAACGTAAACATGTAAAAAATCAAGAATTGAGGATCAACAAGGTGACTACAAATGTACCAAATTTGCGACATTTTACATGCATATTTCGTGGTCAATTTATATCGCAAGAAATGTGTCGTTTTTTGGACACATTGTCAGAGTGACTGGACCCCACCAGCGCATAAAACTGCCCCAAAATAGTTTTGGACGGTCAAAATGTCCAAAATAGTCCATCATAAAAAATGGGACAAAATCCTAACAGTTATTAACGACTTTTTCCCCAATCTATGCACAGATATGAAATTTCCCATAAATTTTGATCATTTTTGGGTTTGAGGTACGAAAGTAGGAAAACTTTCCTTTGCACATATTTTCCTTAGAGAATTTCTTTTAATCTGAGTGTTAAAAGAACGCAGGGAAGGAATTCTGATTCATACCCAAATTTAAGAGATTGTGAATGCAGCCAGATTTCTTTCAGAGGTGGACAATCAGCCGAATTTGCATTGAATATTTAATTAATTAGCATCACCACCACCGTCTTATTTCACGATTTTCTTGCTTAATTCTCCACGCAGAAATCATTCTGCATTTTGTTGCCTGCCTTTTCGGTAGGACTGACTGTACGAAACTTGGCTGTTGGTGGATAATCGAAGGCATCCCTCCGTCAGAGACCAACAAGCTCCCCGGCAAACAAGAGCTCACTGAAATTTTGCCAATTTTAAACGTTTCCACCGGGTTTACATTGATAAAAAGAGGGCAGAACGACGCCAAGTAAAGAAAACTGAACGTCCCTTGAGATTTGTGAAGGATCTGAAACGCAGGATTTGACGAGGGAATTTTTTACTCTGGAACCAACCGCATTTCCCAAACGCCGAAATTTTGAGAAAAAGAGCCGTTGGTAAGATTGCATTTGGAATTTTAATACAAAATCTGTCCTTCAACTGTAAACGCTGACCTAGTAATTTCATGGAATATTTTGTGTAGGGGAAGGAATCAGTGGTCGCTAGCGGGGGAACTTATCGAGTGACGTTTCCGTTCTACGGGATGGAGGTCAACAAGAAAGCACTCGTCCCCACCACGGAGAAAGTGTGCCAAAGGGACCGCTTTCCAGAGAACGGAACACTTCCTCCTCGCTCCCTCCAACCACACCCAACACCACGTGACAATAACCACGTGACAACCGACAACAGGCCACCAAAGGCTAAGAAATCCCCTCAACTTGGCAGGCGGGGGAAGAAGCGTGGTCATCGCGTCGAGGGGAAAATCTTCCCATGCAAAACCTGCCTCCGTCCCTTCGCCAACAGAACCTCTGCTCACCTCCATGCCCGCACCCACCTCAACTCCGACGAGCTGGAGCGGTCCTCAGTTTTCCATGAGAAGTGCCCCCACTGCGAAAAAGTGTTCTTGACTCGTCATCAATTTACCGACCACGTGAATTCCCACGAAGGTCGGAAGAACCACGCCTGCCCCGTTTGCAAGCAGAAGTTCACCCAGAAAACAAGTTTAACCCGGCATCTCTTCGTCCATCTGAGTCTCGAGGAGCGCGCGGAGGTGCGGCAGGGCTGGCAACACGGCTGCTACTTCTGCACCAAACGATTCCCAGCTCCATCTCATCTCGGTTGTCATGTGGCGACCCACACGAAGGAAAAAGCGGGCGGAAAGTGTCACACTTGTGGAAAAACGTTCTCCTCCAAACAAGACCTGGCCAGGCATCGGTTCGCCCACCTCTCCGAGGACGAGAAGGTCACCCTCGTGAAGCAGGGTTCGGGTCGAGAATGTCTATTCTGTCAGAAGAAATTCCCCGATAACCACACTTATCATAAGCACCTGGTCTCCCACACGAAAGAAAAACCTTTTCCATGCGACCAGTGTGAGAAGCAGTTTAGTTTGAAAAGTAACTTAACCATGCACAAGCGCAGTCACACTTCGAACCCGAAAATGGTCAAGTGTGATGAGTGTGGTCAAGCCTTCAGTCGAAAACAAGGTCTGACCAGACACAAGACGACGGTTCACCGGAAGCTGAAGGACTTCGCGTGTCCCGAGTGCGGCAAGAAGTTTGGGAGGAAGGAGCACATGGTGACGCACGTGAGCAATGTTCACGCCAAAATCCGGCACCCCTGCCCCCGCTGTGGGAAGACGTTTACGCAGAAAGGCAATGTAGGGACACATTTGAAGAAGTTTCATCCCCCTGAATAAGGATTCATCTGGCAACTGAGCCCTCGCCAAAAGACGACATGTTTCCATACTTTAGATTTTTATATGTTCCACATTTCACGATTTATGACGAGATAATTATTTTTGTACGACTGATAAAAATGGCATAATTAAGTAAACGTGACATGATTTTTGTGACCATTTTGACCATGACGATTTTTATGGAGTAAAGACATTCTGTTTTTTGTAAAACTCTGCTCGTTTCTCGCTCCCATTTTTCCATGTGCCGACATAAATGCAAGGCTGGACCAGTGACGACGACATATTTCATCGTGACGAGAGGAATGGTCAATTTGTGCATACGTCGGATGGGGTTCATATTGCAGGTTTCCGGTCACTTTGCATAATCTATTTTTCGTAAGGTTAATATATGTAGTATGATTTGTATGAGTTGCATGGTACATATAAACAACCACTTTTGGATGACACGTTTTCTCATAACTTTTAAAAACATGGAATAATTTCTGATTAATGAAAACTTGTAATAGGTATTTTTCTTCAACATGAGACGAGTATTTCCAAATCTTAACCATTAAATTGTATGTATTTGATTTAAAGTATATTGTAAATTAATTTAAACAGCAGAGAGAAAGAGAGGGGAAAGTGCTAGTTAACCACTGTTCGAAACAGGCGTCCAATTCGGTTTTAACCAGGGCTGGACAACCGTTTTTGGACGTCCAAAATTGAAAACGGGACATGTTACGAGTTCTTGATTGTTGAATATTTCCATAATCCGTTGACGCATATTTACTTAAATATGTACTCTTAATTGTAAGCATTTTGGTTAGTGTGTAATGTACGACACGGTTCGGAAAGTTTCTTAATTTCTCAAGTAAGACGACACGTTAAAAGACAATATTTTTCCAGATTTCATGGTATTTACATACACACCAAAATGCTCAAAACTAATGCAAAATTACATTCCTGTGCAGATTTACATTTGCAAAAAAAATCGTTACTAAAGAACTTGTAAGATTTTGCCTCATTTTGAATTTTGGAGCTTTTTGGACATTTGCGACGTCCAAAATTCGGTATCCAAACTGGTTTTGAACCAAAATTTTTGACGAAACCCTGCACAAGACATGTTAAATGCTTGATTAGGCTGCACAGTTCGATTAAGTTAAGTTTGCATGCGTTCTTTTGCATTCTACGTAAAATTCCATTTGCCCAACTTTCGCTCATATTCCACTTTGACAAAAGCCACACATAATTCTGATATGAGTGGAATGACAAGAAATATGTCACTTGGATAAGGATTTTGATTCATAGTCAAATTTCAGAGATTGTGGATGCACACAGATTTCTCCCAGAGGTGGACGAAAATAGTCTCAATTTGCATGGAATAATTAATCAATGGCAATGACCATGCACCGTCTTATTACTTGTGGCAAAATATTCTCGCTAAATCCTCCACACACAAATTAATTATTTTGCATTGCATATTTAATCATCACCGTCTTGCTTTTTCCAGGATTTTGTAGCTTAATTCTTTCCACCATTCTGCACTTTGCTGCCTTTTTGGTAGGACTGACTATACGAGACTTACTTACCTGTTGGTGGGATGCACAGATAAGCCAAGTTATCTCTCACTCAGAGACCAACACGCTCACTTCTTCCAGAAATTTAGTAAATTTTAAACATTTCCACAAAGTTTACATTAAAACAAAAAACCAGAAGCGTAAAGAAAGCTGAAAGTGGCTTGAAAATCAAACCGACTGCATTCCGAACACACGTCTCACCCCAAATAAATTTTCACAACGAGCCGTTGGTAAGATTGCATGCTTAATTTGCATATAAAATGTATTGGTCAACTACACATGCTGACTGAATAATATTCTGTGCAGAAGAAGGGATCGATTGTTGCTAGCCGGGGAACTTAAGGAGGCAGGATGAATAAGGGGGAGGTCAGCCATGATAACCAAGCAGAGTCGCCGTCAGCTAGCAGGAGGTTATCGAAGGTCAAGAAATTACTTGGCACAAAACGTGCTCGTCACGTGGTGGAGAAAGTCTTCCCATGCATAGTGAAAATTTCTGGCTTTTGCTGCCTTAGTTTTGTCCTGGTGACTTTTGACATCCGTCATTAGTCGCCGCCTTAGTAAAATCAAAGATAACTTGCGAATAAAATACCTGACAAGGTGGGCAAAATACTTTATCAAAATAGAGTATTTTGAGTTCCGTTCTGAATTTCCAGACCCACAAAAAGACAAAAATCTACGTGAAGAAGACAACAGTCGTACGAAAAAACTTGTTTCGTGAAGAAATTAAGTTGTGATTGCTGGCGAAATATTTTATTTTGTAAGTAAAATTAGTGAAATATTTTTACGCTTAATTTTCTATCTTATAAATGGTAAATCCTACAAAAATGCAATGCATGCAAAAAGTATCGCTTTCATATTTATTTACATTTTATTTTTCTGCATTACTGGACTTACAAGTCAAAAACTGGGCAAAATAAGTTTGGACATCTAAAATCGTTCAATATTGGAAAATTGAGCAAAATGTTATAAGTTTTTTTATGAATATTAACGACTTTTTTTGCAAATCTCTGTCCACACATGGATGTAATCTGCCATTAACTTTGAGCGTTTTTCTGTGTTTGTAATAATACCACGAAATTAGGAAAAACTGTTCTTTTAAGATGTTTCATTACTTGAGAAATGAAAAAGTTTTCTAAACCTAAAAGTATTACAGGCAAAAATGATTGATGGGAGGGTAGATTACATCTACGTCAACGGATTATCAAAAGACTCAATAATGACGAACTTGTAATATTTTGCCCGATTTTATGTTTTGGACACCTTTTGGACGTCCAAAATTTTGTGTCCAAAACTGGTTAAAACTCTAAAAACCCGTTTTAGGCCTTATAGATTTGTCAAGATGTCTGTCTGTCCGTCCGTCTGTCCGTATGTAGGCACGATAACTCACTTTAAACAAAAGCTATCGAGTTGAAATTTTGCATGCTTCATCTTCGGGTAAAAAGTAACGATGAGTTCGGAGATGAGCATGATCGGTCAAGTGGTTGGCCGGTGGGGGTCATTTCCACCCAAATGTGTTGCCCTTAACTACCAAGATGGCATTAATGCCATCTTAAAATGCCCCGCAAAGTTGCTTGGGGTAGGTTTTTTAATATAGACAGTGGTTAAAATCACAGCGATCTGAGGTGGAGAGCTTCACCAGCTGCCCCTCTCAGATCTCGATACCCTTTGGATATTTATTTGATAGCCAAAACGAATGTAGGATAACCCTCGAGTGGTTTGATGTCATGGCCACATTTGCGCCGGCCACACCCCTTCAAAGGTGTGAAAACCACGCAAAATGCCCTATTTTCATGTGCTTCAACTGATTTTTGAAGTTGACCATTTTGTGGTTTTCACACATTTTGGGAGCTGTGGCGTACGCAAATTTGGTCATGGCATCAAATCACTCCAGGGTTATCATACATTTGCCTAGGGATGGAAGCCAAGCCAAAAGTACACATCCATTTCGCATCGATTTCACCGAATTAAACAAAAAAAGTTGTAAATACAAATACGGGATTAAGCTTAATTGTAGCATAGCTATTTTTGAATTATCTTCAACCACCCCCCTTTCAAAAATTGAGAAAATAAATTGGGGAAAATGAGAAAGCTAATGTACACTCGGTACAACAATAATTAGACCTCAATTTGTATTTGACATTTGAATTCCCCCATGAATACAGACATTTTGGTGCATCAAAAGTTTCAAAATTCGAAAATTGGCGTTTTTTTTGCCTACATGGAAATCACTAAAAAACTCGGTGTTGCAAAACTTTCTCTTCTGACAACCTAATGCCAGATTTTTCTACTTCAAAAAACCAACATTTTAAGTTTTTGTTGTCCGAAGAGAAAGTTTTGCAACATGGAGATTTTTGCGATCAAAGTTTCTGTGGGAGTGACTTATAAGGCAAGAGCCGTAACAAGCCAGTAATGAGACATAAATGGAAGTACCGAAGTTATAAAAATTGGCAATATCTAAAACTAAATTGCCAACTCGCCCTAAATTTAAAATTGTACATAGTTACATTACATCCACTCTAAAGTGAACACTAAGTAAGATTATCTCGAGGCTTATCAATTTTTCAGATAAGTAAAATTCGTTCGTCCAAATTTTTCCAAATTAAAATCTTCAGCTTGTCAGAGTTTATAATAATGATATATTTACAGCTGAAATTAGAGCTACGGGGCTTATCAATTTGATTATCTATTTTCAAGATATGCAAATTTCGTTTATCAAAATCACACTAAACTTGAAAATTTATGCTTATCCTAATTTGTAATGACGATTTCTAATTCAAAATTAATGTTACAGGGGTTATGGTCATTCTTATCTATTTTTCAGATAACCGAATATTTTACTCAATTCGCCCCAAATTAAAAGTTTCTGCGAAAATTAAAGGGTTATCGTGATTTTGATAAGCCATGATTTAATTAATCCTGACTGGTTAATTAATTGAGAATTGGTGAGATCCAAAGTTTGCATAGTGAGAGAGAGATAAAGTGCAGAGGATACGCCCCTGACGTCGACGGTGGTGGATAACCACCAGAATCGGAGTTTTTCTCTCTTTCTCGCTGAATATGGAAACAGGAGTTGTTGTACTTTTGGCTTGGTTTCCATCTAGGGCTACAACATATGCAAAAGCAGAGCTTTTTAATTAGCCACAGTTCTAATTAATAAGTAATTGATAATTAGAAGGAAAATATTTTGTCTAATAAATTCGCAATTGGTAATCAAACTCAGTTTACTAATTAAGCCAATTAATTAGCTAATTAATTAGAACATTGACCAATTAATTGGTGATTTTTAGTGATCTTCTAATTAATTATTAATTTCAATTAGCTTCGGTAGTACCAGTTAACGTAAATTAGTAATTAGTAATTAATTTAAACATGCTATTTAATTAGATAATTAATTAGATTCACTAATCAGAACCAATAATTGTGCAGTGGTGTGTGTTACCAGTTGAAGTTGCCGCCTGATTACGCACGTGTCTCACACTGTCCAAGCTTATGTCACCTAGCGGCAGTTGGGGCACTATGTTACATTTTTCGTTTCTAGAGGGCGTTTTTCGCTAAAGTGTCAAAACGCTCCAAAAACGTTGACGAACACGAGAATAACGAAACACACCCTTCGGATCTGCCGAGACTTGATCACATGAACGGACTCACCCCCTAAACTTGACACTTTACCTGTGACCTGGGCACACCCACTAGACTTGACATTTGACCTGTGACCTGGGCACACCCACCAGACTTGACATTTGATCTGTGACCTGGGCACACCCACTAGATTTGACATTTGACCTGTGACCTTGGCATACCCCCCCTGGACTTGACATTTGACCTGCGACCTGCGTACAACCCATAAAGTTGACACTTTACAGAGTTGACACTTGACCTGTGACCTGGGCACACCCACTATACTTGACACTTGACCTGTGACCTGGGCACACCCACTATACTTGACACTTGACCTGTGACCTGGGCACACCCACTATACTTGACACTTGACCTGTGACCTGGGCACACCCACTATACTTGACGCTTGACCTGTGACCTGGGCACAACCACTATACTTGACACTTGACCTGTGACCTGGGCACACCCACTATACTTGACACTTGACCTGTGACCTGGGCACACCCGCTACACTTGACCTGTGACCTGGGCACACCCGCTACACTTGACCTGTGACCTGGGCACACCCACTGTACTTGACATTTGACCTGTGACCTGGGCACATCCACTATACTTTACACTTGACCTGTAATCTGGGCACACCCACTATACTTGACCTGTGACCTCTGTGCCCCACGGTATAGTTGACACTTGACCTGTGCCTTACTAATTTTAAGTACCTACCAGCGCCACCTATCGGATGTTGGCTGTTTTTCAGCGCTAGAGGGCGGGCGTTTGCTTTAAGTGCCTAAACGTTCTTAACACGTTAGAACAATGCCATACTTTAGAGTTGTGACCGTACGTTTTAGTGGTCACAACCTTTAGAGTCGTGACTGAACGTTTTTCGTGGTCACCCCCTTTAGAGTCGTGACCTAATGTCTTTCGTGGTCACCCCCTTTAGAGTCGTGACCTAATGTCTTTCGTGGTCACCCCCTTTAGAGTCGTGACCTAATGTCTTTCGTGGTCACCCCCTTTAGAGTCGTGACCTAATGTCTTTCGTGGTCACCCCCTTTAGAGTCGTGACCTAATGTCTTTCGTGGTCACCCCCTTTAGAGTCGTGACCTAACGTTTTTCGTGGTCACCCCCTTTAGAGTCGTGACCTAACCTTTTTCGTGGTCACCCCCTTTAGAGGCGTAACTGAACGAATTTCTTGGTCACACCCATAAAGTCGTGACAGCACGTTTTTCGTTGTCACACAAATAGAATTGTGAACTCTATTATTAAACATCGTGCTATAAAACGTGACAATTAAGTCCACGCTCCTTTGCTCTGTGTGAAGGTAAATGTGTAACAATTATTCAGAAGGAATTTGTATCGCTAAACTAAATAAAATTGTTTTGCTGAGAGCCCGCATTGCGGGCTTAAGAGACTAGTTAATTAGAAAGCCCTGTGCAAAAGGCATCAAGATCTGAGAAGGGCAGGTGGTGAAGCTCTCCTCCTGTGAAGCGGAGTAAAAGAACCGCCGCCTGGTGAGGAGATTTGCCAGTCTGCGAAATTCACTCGAGTCTTCTGCCAGCACTGCCAGCAGCTGAAGTTTTTTTAAAATTGTTAAATTATTAATTTTTGAAATAACTATTTTTGAAAAGTAAACCCACCTTTTTTACTGCAGTGACAATGTATCGAAAACAGAAAGCGGCGTTTTTGAAATCGCTCGAACCTACGATGAAAGTTGGGAAGGTGGACGGGCAAATTTTTTACGATCCGAAGACCGGTGTATATATTCCGGCGAGGCGAATTCCACCCTGCCCTGGGGGACACTCACTGACCGAGTTGTAAGTTAAAGGGGGAATTAATTAATTAGTTTAATTAGTAATTAATTAATTATTAATTAATTAATTATTAATTAGTAATTAATTAATTATTAATTAATGTAAATCTTGACTTAATGACAGATATTGGAATCCGTGCTTGGAATGTGCAAAATTTTGCAATTGCAACCACACTCACTGGTTTCCCGACATTGTCGTGAAGACCTCGGATAACGACACGATTCGAGTAAGCTCCGTCGTCGTCGCGGGATCGAGCGAGCTTGTCGGGCGGCTCAATGAAGTCTGCTGTAGTACGAAGCGGACCTTGATGAAGGACCTTATCGAGGCGAAGAATGGCTGGGCAACGGTATCGAAGGGCGACGATAAGAAAGAAATTGAGGTGATGGATGTATCCTCGGAAGAAGAAGAGGACGTGACACTCGACGAGGCCGGTTTATCAGGTGAAGATAAGCCCGTTGGGGCAGAAATTGGGGCTGATTTGTCCCCCGACTTTAAAGAATTGATCGAGTTTCCACCCGAGTTGCCGGCGTTCAAGGTAAAGGATGAAAATTGGAGGATGCTCGGATTAACGACTTTTGAATGGCGCTGGATCGAGAAGTTTATGGCTTTGCATCGTGACCAGGTATGTAGAAAGAATTAATTAAGCTATAATCTAACCTTCAATTAGTAAGAATTAAAAATTACTAACAATAGAAAATGACCAAATCGATGACAAATTTGATTAGTATGAAATTTCCGAAAGACACGATCTCCCAATGGGCACGTTTGGCGCAGATATTTGCATCCCAAGAGGAGAAAACGACCAGTAAATGAGGAAATTGTTAACTTTGTCGACTTTACTGGGCGCTTTTCTCCTCTTGGGATGCAAATATCTGCGCCAAACGTGCCCATTGGGAGATCGTGTCTTTCCCAAATTTCATACTAATCAAATTTGTCTTCGATTGACACTAATTTGCTCAAAATCGGATCCCATACGCTGGGTCTACCTCTATTTTAAGTATTAATTAATTAATTAAACGCTATTTTGTTTAAATGTTCTCAGGTCGAGGAGGACATCGAAGAGGAAAAGCGTGCCCGAGAATACTTTCGTTTGAGCATGTTCGCTCGTCCCGAGAAGGACGTCATCAACCCGTGGCGCTACCACGATTGGGAAGAAGACCTCTTCGCCAACTTATCGCACACTGAACTCTTCGGGATCGTCAGAGTGCGTGAAATATTGCAAATTTATGTGTAATAATTTGCATAGAATAATTTTAATTTTTTGCTAGGCGGTTCACGAGCTTATGATTTTTGATTTGTACATCCCTCTCGCTAAATGGTTGACCTTGTTGCGCGGGATTCCTCGCGTGGCCGACTTTGGGCTGGGTCATTGGCTGACGGAGCTTTCCCCGGAAATGTGGGACTCGGGGTTGGAGGAATTTTGCGAGGGGGCAATTCGACCGATGTGGGATTACGGAAGCCCCCAGATGTTCAGCTTGCATAAAGATATTCCTCGCAGGCAACGCCCCAGGTCGACACTCCTGTGGAGGAAAAGGATTTGGAAGGCTGTCCCGCAGTTTTCAACGCGCTGGTGGAATCCGTAAAATGGAATGGAAGATTGGCTTTTTTGGGGAGTTTTTAATAATTGGATAATTTGGTGGTGAGTTTATTTATTTAAAATGAGATCAGGTTAATGTAGGACTGGATGATAAATTGCAAAAATCAGCATATTTTTAATGATTTCTCGGCTCTGTGAATTTATTTTAAATTTCTGGACGACAAATTTGTATTCAATAAGTTGCTTAATAGAATAGCGGTGAGTTTCTAAACCAGTTTCGATGAGTTCCAATTTTTCTGAAGGGTTCTTAAACTTGAGATCTCTTCCTTCAAAGAGTGTCAAAATCTGGAGTGTATATTTTTTGAAAATTAGGAACGACCTGCTCTACAAATTTGTTGTCCAGAATTTTAAAATAAATTTCCAGAGGCGAGAAATCATTAAAAATGTGTTGATTTTGCTGATTCGAGTCCTATTTAATAACTAATTATCATTAATTTGGTTAATTTCAGGTGGTTCTTCATAATTATGCAAATCTCAAGTTGGGAGCGGAAATACTTTTCACCTTTTTATAGTTCTTGATCCGTTTACACGTGTGTTTTTTCATGGAGGGTTTAGTTTAGTTTACTACCTATCATTAACAATTTGTTATAGTAAATTAGGCCATAATTTTCATTAGTCGTGTCGTTATTCAAAAATGAATTGTAGTGAGCATTTTTATAGTGTAGTTTTAACACGATTTACTTATATCGTAGTCCCAATGAATCTTTTTAAGTTGGTAAAGTTCTAAAATGTTACGAGATTTGGTAAACAAATTGAAAAAATAATGTCAATAAAGTAGTAAATTCTAATAACCGTTTATCTTTTTACATTAGCAAAACTCATGTTTTTTTTTAATGAACATATTTTGACGTGTTTTTTTTCTAATTTTAATTGAAATGTTCCAGCTTGCATTAGGCATTTGTGTTTTGCATGGAATGAAATTGGAGAATGTGTTCTCGGATATGAAGGAAATTTACAGCGTGTTTGTACTTTAAATGGGTTGTTGTTGTTGTAAAATGATATATTTATAAACAATAGATTAGAATTGTACGTACATGGAATTGTGAGGATGACTAATCGTACTAAAGTAGCGTGGGTTGGTTGGTTATTTAACTACGATGCACTTAAAGCTGGTTAGTTGGGCTTGGATTCAGTTCATTTCCAGTTGTTTATCAAGTTCATGAAAAATTCTGGTATGTACTTACAACTACTGAATTCATAACAAAGAAGAACGAGGGGTGGAAATTCTTGGACGATGACAAATTTAGAATGGATTGTTAAATAGCGGAAGGAATGAGACTACTAGTTATTTATTAAGGGATAGATATAAATTGTAGTAAAATCTAATAGTAATGTGGGTTGGTTATTAAATTTAACTACTTATGACTGCTGCATGCTGGTTATTAGTTGGACATTCAGTTCTCATATTTCGTTTCTCTAGTTGTTTATAAAGTTCATGAAAAATTCCGGTGCTAAATACTTACTGAATTCATGTATAACAAGGGGAGGAAATTCTTGGCATTAGAAGATGATGATGAGATTGGAATTTAAAATGGATGGTTAAGTAAGTAGCGGAAGGAAAGGAACTGAAACTTATTAGAGGATAGAATAATTGTGCAGTTAAAAATGCGGACGAATGTCGATAAGACGAATACAAAGTCTTCTAGATTACATAAGAAGAATATGCGGCTTATCATGGGAAATTTTGTTGTTCTTCACGGAGCGGTGGTGGAGATAATGCATGATTCTTCTTACATACGTATGTACATGTCATATATTGATATATTTAAGTAACCGTTAAGTATTACGTACATAGATACATACGTACATTAATAATTTTGTGCTCCTATCAATGTCACAAATTTTACCAAAAAAATTATCTGGCGTGCCGTCTGGCTGCTGAAGGATGATGTCATTTGTCATTCATTCATGGGATAAAATTAGTTGGATGTATTCAGTAGCTGCGGAAGCTGTGGGGACATTAAAATTGTATAGGATGGGGGAGGGGGTTTATATAAGATGGGGGTCATCGAATAACCGTGGGGACATTGGCTGTGTGGGGACATTAGGATGGGGGAAAGAGGAATTTATATATCTAAAATGGGGACATCGATCAACCCTCTGGGGACATATTGTCCCCTGTCCCCACGCTTCGCTTCCGCGGCCACTGGATATATACATTAATCGTAAATAAGTAAAGTAAAATGTGTTTTTAGCTGATATCTGACTAATCCCGAACTGGTATCGATCCAAGCAGTGCAGACTATTTGGTGGTGATCGTGGTGGTGGTGGCCGTGGTGGTGGAAATCTGCATCATCTGGTTCTTCTGTAGGACACACACACAATAATAAATACGAATTCTGTACACTTCTTTGTCCTCCCATTCTCATTCATCATCTTTAATTTAAGTGATCATTTAAAAAAATTAAATAAATAATATTAATTATTTAGCATAAATTTATCTGTCTTTTGGGAGAACGAATTGGGAAAAGGATTGGTGAGTATGAGGAAGAAGAAATGGTTTAGTTTGTATTCTGGATTGGAAAAATAAAATAAACAATTGAAATTTTGAAATTGTGACAAAGTTAATTACTTTTGGAGGAGAGGACGGGACAGCTTATCAGCCTACGGGGGACGTGGGGATGTGTGCGTTAGTTTAATTAATTAATTAATTAATTGTTTGACTCTAAAGATAATCTAATTATCTTGCAAAAAGAATTAAATACGGTGTGAAACATAATGACGATGACACGTTATGGCAGTGTGAACAATAATGGTGGGGCTGGTTTGATGAGTGTGAGCATGAGTGGGCGGAGTGGCGTGGGCGTTGGTGGGGTCGAGGGGATGACGGCGACGACGACGAATATCTCCTCCACGGAATCCCCCCTTTTGGATAAGATGCGTCGCCAACTGCGCTACTTTTTTATGAACCCTCTCGAAAAGTGGGAGACGAGACGTCAGTTTCCTTACAAATTGACGATCCAACTAATAAAAATATTCTTTGTGACGTTTCAGGTAAAGGAATTTTTGAAAATTTTAATTTTGAAGGGAAAATTTTGAATTTGGGTTCAGCTTTTGTTTATTTGCAGTTGTGCCTTTTTGCGAGTTATCGCTACGCCAGTGTAAACTACACGTGGGACAATAAGATCACATTTTCCCATCTTTTTATCAAGGATTGGGACACTAGTCGTGAAATTACGTCGTACCCCCCGACCACCGGACCGCTCGCGGTGTACACGAAGGCTGATTTTTACTCATACTTTGACCACGCCGTCCATGCGGTGAGAGCAAAATTATAAATTGGATGATATGAATAAGATGTTTTGAAAATACAGTATTTTGAGGTCAGTTCTTCCCAGGGTTTGGATTTCCAGGGGTTACACCCACAAAAAGACGAGAATCTGCGTCGAGAAGGCAGCAGTCATACGAAAATGAAGAGTTTAGTGAAGAAATTAACTTCCCATCGCTGTCAAAATACTGCATTTTTTTAATCGTGAAAACAATGTATTTTGATCACGTTAGAAAGTTAATTTCTTCAGAAAACCAGTATTTTCGTACGACTGCTGCCTTCTCCACGTAGATTTTCGTCTTTTTGTGGGTGTAACACCCCCGGAAATCCAACCCCTGGGGAAAACGGAACGCAAAATACTGTATTTTTACATAGAATTTATCCCACCTCTGAATTGGCAACTGACATGACACATTATCGAACAATAAAAGCGTGTATCTTCTCTAATTTTTGTAGTACAGTGCCATCGAGGAGCTCGCGATAGGACCGTACTTTTACCCCACCAAGAACAATACCGTGGCGCCGATGAAGCTTTGCATAGAGAGATACTCGAACGGGGTGATTTTCGGGTTTAACGAATCCTACGTGTACGACGGTCTGACGGAGAACAGTTGCATCACGTTGCCACCAAGTGTGATCTCGACGGGGGAGAAGTTTTCCCTGGAGGAATTTCTAGCCAAGTATAACGCCTCGATTTCATTCGACTCATTGTTAGAAGGACATTTGACCTTTGTCCTGAAAACCGTGCGGTTTCGGGATCTAGGCCCGTTCAAAAGTCCGGATTGTTTCCAGTTCGATATTGACGTGAGTGGGGGGCGAGGGCATGAATTTAATGTTTATAAAGGAGTAAATTATTGACCGAGTTTGAATTTGGGATGGATGTAAAATTTTGAAAATTAGTAACGTTTACAAGGTTTGCTGGGTTAAAATCATCTAAATTAAGCAAGCGATTCACTCATGCAGTCAGTGATAACTTGTAACCATAAATTCTGTAAATTTACAAAGTCTTACACAATTTTACGAATATTTTGAAGCTTCCAAATTGTGTAAACTTCAAGATTGTCTCTTTAATTTTAAAAGTTTGTACAATTATTTGACAAAACGCACGTATTTTACAAATTACAAATGACTGCGTGAATTGCCTCAATAAGAATATAAAATAATGGCGTAATTCATGTTTGTAAAGGAGTAGACTGTCGGATTTAGTTCATAATCTGGATAAAATTTTGAAACTTTACAATTTTTTGCTGGGTTACAAACATTCTCTACTAAATTTAACTGAAATCAGTGTTTTTAATGAATGGTTTTTGTATGTAATAGATTGTATTTAACAATCGGGACCACGACGGGCAAACTCTGGTGACGTTGGAGGCTCAACCGACGAGACTGAGGTGCAAGGGGGACGCGAATTATATGGGTGAGCGGAAAGGTGGGGGGACTTCTTTTGTCGGGAAGGATGAGAGTAATACTAATTAATTAATGTGCTTGATCTTGCAGCGGACAATAGACTGGAGCGGATCGGGAGGAGTGGGGTGAACTACATCGTGATTGGAATGTGCACCTTGTCGCTGGTCTTGTGTTGTAGGGCGATCTATAGGGCGCAGCTGCTAAAAGCGGTAAGTATTCTTTTGTTGGACCGATTAGTCCGTGAGAACGACAACGCGTCGCCAAATTCAGAGCCTTCTTCTTAAGTTTTGAATATCGACATTTGTAATGAATTATCTCTGTTGACACGTGAATAAAGGATTAACAAACAAACAAATAGACATATAATTTTTAAATGAAGAGAGAAAGTTAGGAGAGGACCTTGTAAGTCAAAAGGTCCCGGTATAAGAGGTCATAATAATCTGCACTTCGCTTCCGCTAGTTTATTACCATGTGTAATTAATTGTGATTAAATTTTTTACGTTGACAGGACACGATCTCCTTCTTTAAGCGCTACTTTGGCCAAGATTTAACTGTGGAGGATCGCCTGGAGTTTTTGAATTTCTGGTATCTGCTCATAATTGTGAACGATATTTTAATCATTGTCGGATCCGCGTTGAAAGAGCAGATTGAAAATAAGGTATGATTAATTTATTAAATAGTAATAAATAACTAATTATGATGTGATTTCATTGGGGTTTTTTATTTTGGTTTCAGGAGCTGACCGGAGAAGCGTGGAATATTTGCAGTTTGCTCCTTGGTGTAGGAAATTTGCTAGTTTGGTTCGGCGTTTTGCGATATCTAGGTTTTTTCCGAACCTACAACGTCCTCATTCTCACGATGAAACGGGCCGCACCAAACGTGATGCGTTTCCTGATCTGTGCCATCTTAATCTATGCGGGATTCACGTTTTGCGGGTGGCTGATTCTAGGACCGTATCACATCAAGGTTCGTATTAAATGACGAATCACTAAAATGGTCAAAATCAGCACATTTTTAATCATTTCTTCTCCACTCTGGGAATTTATTTTACAATTCTGAACGACAAATTTGTAGTCAGTGAGTTAATTAAGGGAATGGCGATGAGTTTTTTGAGCCAGTTTCGACGAGTTCCAATTTTTCTGAAGGCTTCTAAAACGCGAAATCTCTGCCTTCAAAAACTGTCAAAATCTGGAGTGTATATTTTTTTTAAATTGGGAACGACCTGCTCCACAAATTTGTGGTCCAGAATTTTAAAATAAATTCCCAGAGCGGAGAATAAGCGATTAAAAACATGCTGATTTTTAGCGATTTGGTGATGAGTCGTCAAGTCCTACGTTAAATGATGACGGATGACATATTTATGTATTATTTGACATATTTTGTAACATTTAACTATTTTTCCTCCCCCCCAGTTCGCCACACTATCGACCACATCCGAATGTCTATTCGCCCTAATCAACGGAGACGACATGTTCGCCACATTCGCCGGGATGTCGTCCAAGTCCTCCCTGCTCTGGTGGTTTTGCCGCTTGTATTTGTACACGTTCATCTCGCTCTTCATCTACGTGGTCCTCTCCCTCTTCATCGCCCTCATCATGGACGCCTACGAAACGATCAAGCTCTACTACCAGGAGGGCTTCCCCCGCACCGCGCTCCACGACTTTATCACGGGGCCCGAGAGCGAGAACGAGATGCTCATCAGAAGGATGATGATGACCCGGGGGACGGTCGGCGGAGGGGATGATGACGACCTCATGGGCGGAGTAGGACCCCCCTCCCCGCCGTATTCGATTAATACCACGTGCTGCCACCACATGGGAGGAGGAGGCGGCTTACAGCACAGCATGGGCGGGGGCGGAGGGGGAGGAGGATGCTGCGGATCGTCGCACCATTCACACTCGATCCTCCAACAATCCCATCGAGTCTTGTCGAGACAATCGTCCACCACGGAGTTGACGGCGGGAGGGATTCTAGACACGATTGTGGAGAGGATTTGTGGCTGTCATACTAATAATAATACTAATAGCAGTGGGATCGGAGATGGAGCGGAGTTGGAGAGGTGGGTGACATACATTTGGGGGGTATTATACATAGAAAAAGAGTAGAATTTACTTAAGAGAAGGCAGGAGTCGTACGGAAATACTGGTTTTGAGAAGAAATTAACTTGTTATCACTTTCAAAATACTATATTTTTAAAAAATTGTGAAATCAATGTATTTTGACAGTGATAATAAGGTAATTTCTTCGTAAAACCCATATTTTCGTACGACTGCTGCCTTCTCCATGTAGATTTTCGTCTTTTTATGGGTGTTACAGCCCCGTAAATCCAAACCTTGGGAAGAGAGAAGCTGAAAATACTGTACATTTTGACAAAGTTTCTTCCCCACCTTTGCCGATAATTGGTGGGATAATTGACTAATCGTATTTTCTTTTAATGGACACAGATCGACCTCGGACGGGGAGGAGTCGCAACCCTTGCTGAATGGGCTGAACGCGTAGCACATACCGCCTCGAGCTTAGCACACCCCTCGGGGCCGCGCCCTCGTCCCCTGCCCGCATACACAAATACCCAGATTTTTTTACCCGGCTGTGATATAGAAAAATAAGCTTGTAAATTAAGCTTGTACAGAGCAAGCTTCTCGTTCATGTAGTTCTTTAGATTTTCTTTTTTGTACGGAGAAAGATGGACGAAAAAACGCTGTATTTATTAAATAGCTGTCCATCCTGACAATAATAATAATGGAAATAATAATGATGATGATGATGATTAAAACATGATGTGAAATAGATACCTGTTCAAAAATCTAATTTTCATTCAAAAGTCAGTCATCCCGATTTCTGAGTGAAGATTTTCAGTCATTTTCATTCAAATTCATTTCATTTCACTCCATCGGACTTCATTTCTTAATTCGCTCCATGTATTAAGCATAGGATGAAAAATGAAAGGAGTGAGAAAGCCTTCATTCACACTCATTCATCTGAAATGACGGAATCTTTCAATCATTTTCATTCAAATCACAGGAAATTCATTTTCATTAACTATCATAATTGCTCAAATGAATGAAAGTGAACAGGTATGGTGAAATAATTATCGCGTGTTTATTTATTTTTGGTTATTTTTTTCAAAATAATTAAAGTATTTATACATAAGTAACAACATCACAACAAGAAGATATTTTTACGAGGGGGATTAAGTAGGGGGGGGGGGAAAGGGGGCGGGAGATTTAAAAATGGGTGGGGGTAGGGGGGTGGGGTTCATTCTCGTTTTTTTCTCCTCTTGTTGAGCAGAGGGTTGTTGGTGTTGTCGAGAGTTTTGATGGGGAGGATGTCGTAGTCGACGCGCATGGTGGCAAGTGAGCGCATCATCTCGTCTTGTACTTCCGGCCAGGCTTGCTCCTCCTCTTTTAAGACGCGCCCCGTGTGCAGAGGGGTGGCCGGGACTTCGGTGTGTTTCTGAAAAAGGGGAGGAGAGATTTATTTATTTTGATTTTAAGGGGTTTTTTTACGATGATTTTGAAATTATTTGGGCAATTTTTATCAAAAATATTGGCAAGGTGGAAGGACATAGACGATAAAAATCAATGAGGGAATTCACGCAATGCTTAGTAAACCCTGTAAATTTGTTACCATAAGTTTATAAACCTGTACAAAATAAAGCAGTTGATCGGATTTGCAAGTTTACAAAAATTTTGAGGCTAAAGTTCCTTCGTAAAAGTTTATAAAATTTTAGGGAATTTACGGATTTTACATACAAGGTTACCAAGACCTGCATGAATTGTCTTATTATTTAATTCAAATGTTTATAATCCAGTAAACTTTACTAATTTTCAAAATTTTAGACACATAACAAATTTGAAATTACACAAAAAATTTGCTTATTTACAAACAATCAAGATCAAGGGCGTCGCTTGATTTAGTAAAAGTTTGTAAAATTATGGTGCAAAACAAAACCCACGCGGAGTTTACAAAGTTACAAATGACTGCATGAATTGCGTCAAAGATTTGAAGGAAAAAATTTACATAAAATATGTAGGACGATTTTTAAAAAGTACGGATTTTGTGTCAAAAAATGCGACTTACAGCGACCCACGGATTGAAAAAGACCTGGTCGATGGTCAACCGTTTGGCCGGGTCGGTGGTGAGCATGCCTCGAATGAGGTCCTTGGCGTCGTGCGAAACGTCCGCCCATTCCGGTGCGGGAAAGTCGTACTGCCCGGACCGGATCCTGGTCTTCATCCCGGGTGAGATGGCGAGCCCGTGATTGGAGTAGAATGGGGGGAAGCCGCAGAGGAGGATGTACATTATGACGCCCAGCGACCAAATGTCGCAAGACTTGTCGTACTTCTCCGGTCCGAGGACTTCAGGGGCTACAGAAAGTGAAAAGTTTTTAATAGGGTTGGTTGGTTAAGGAGTGAGTGGGTGGATGGATGGACGTCGTTCCGCTCTGGCTGGCAGAATTCCCTCCGGAGGGGAAAGGAGAAGAGAGTGGATGGGAAAAGTTGTGTAATTGTGAATCAAAGGTGAAAGTAAATACGGGAGAAGGAAAGTTGACAATTTTGAGAAGCAGAGTTCGTGTCGGGGTTATATGCAGTTACCGCGGAAGCCGTGGGGACATGTGGGGATATTGTCATTGTAGGATAGGTGAGGAAGGGGTTTGTTTAATATGGGGACATCGAATAAACAACCGCGGGGACATTGTCTCTCTCTGTTTCTACGCTTCCGCGGGGCATTCCCCAGTTAAATGTATGTACACAAGGCCAATCTGGACATATTTAAGTATTGAGGACATTTATATTTATGTCATTATTGAGGACATTTATGGTTAAAATACATACGTTGAATGGCATTGTGCAAGTGGAAAGAAAAATGGTGGGGTTTGAGCTCTTTGGCTTCTTTTATGGGTGAGAGAAAGTACGTTTCGATGTACGTTTGGTTGTTACTCGTTCATTTTATGGGAATGGGAAAAAGTGGGTGAAAAGAGAGAGCTCTGCTCAGGTAATAAATAGTGGGAGGCAAGTTGAGACTGAGTGCAGTGCGGAGATGGAGTCAACTTTGCCGATTCTTCATCACACTGCACTCCATCCTCAACTCAAAGCAAGGGAGAAGGTGAGGCAAGATGAGACGGTGGAGAAATTATGAACACTGGGCTAAAAATGATAGCTAATAATAAACGATGAGGCAAGTTGAGACTCTGAACTTGATGGAGTCAGCGACAAGGGAAATGGTGAGGCAAGGTGAGACGGAGTGGAGAGGAACTGATGGTACGTATAATAAATGATGAGGCAAATTGAGACTCTCTGACTTACCGACATAGTACGGCGTGTAGCACGGCGTTTGTAACGCTTGTTGTGAAAATGTTTCCTTAGCGAAACCGAAATCGGTAAGTTTCAGGATCCCGGTCGCATCTAAAAAATATTCCAAGTTTCACATTTATGAGTATTTACATAAATATGTTACTGATTTTGAATTGAGACGAACCTTTTCTCGTGTAGAGGAGATTTTCCGGCTTTAAATCCCGATGCGTTATGTTCATGTCGTGTATGTGCTTTATGGCGATGCAAATCTGGCGAATTATGCTGGCAGCCTCTGAAATAGGGGAGAAGAAGAAGAAGAAGAAATTAGAAGTGCGCATACGTTACAATTTTCGCCAAATAGTTTAATTATGTGGCGCAAGTTATGAGGGAAATTTTAGTTGGAATCAGTCGTGTTTACTACATTTCTTGCAGTGCAAAACAAGCAATGCAAGAAATACAAGGTGCAAGAAACTGGGAGAAAGTGGGAGAAATATGCGCCATCAAGCCAAGCGCCGTAAAAAGTATTTACAGCGGCGGGGCGTAGTTTCTTGCGCCGTGGATTTCTCACAGGGCAAAATATTTACCTGCAAGAAACCACTTTCATGCAGTTATTTCTTGCACCCGAAACACTGACGCCAAAGTTTAACTATGTGGCGCAGGTTAGTACTTCGAATTTACATACCTCTTTCCGTGAAGGCACCCTCCGTCCGGTCTTGAATCCGCTCAAAGAGTTCGCCACCTTCCATGCTGAGGAGAAAGTTGAATTTCATTTTATTTTTAAAGGTCACCCCCAAGGTCAGTATAAAGGTCACTTTTTGTCTTATCTTACCACTCCATAACGACGAGGAGACAGGGCGTGCCTTTGTAGTTGTTTTGATAAACGTCTTTGACGGAGACGATGTGTTTGCAGGTGGAGGCTCGCCAATGGAGCTCCACTTCCCTGCGAGCCTTCGCATTGTCGCGGAGCACCTTCAGCGCGTACTTGCTCCCGCCGGCACCGACGGATTGACCCGGACCGGGTAGCATGGCCTCTTTCCGGGTACATTCCACCACCTGAGAAAGAAATTAAGACCAGATTTTAGAGGAAAAAATTGGTTAGGAAAATTCAGGAAATTTTTGACACTTCAAATTTTGAAACTTGTTTCAAAATAAGTCAGAGAAGCAAAATAAAAAATACGGTTTTCGCAATGGCACAGAAGTTTTTTTGCAACAAACTCATTAGTTTGCAGATTTAAAAAACACGGTTTTCGTAATGCCAAAAATGTATAAAAATTTGGAAAATTTATCAATTTTTACAATTTAGTACACAATTTTAAATCTGAGCTGTAATTGAATATTACAATTTCTGAAAATGATAAATTGGAATAAATTCAAGCGTTTTATTAATAAAGAAAATTGAGAGGAAATTTATACAAAATTTTGGACATAAATTCCTACACACATTTAATTTTAGTCTGTGTAAGAGTTTATGCAAAAAATATGATGAAGAATTTTGGGCGTGTCTCTCTCAAAAAAAAGTTGAACAATTTTCTAAAAATTTTCCTCGGAAATTTTAATTCCCTGAAAAAAGAAAACCAACCTTTCCATTGATTCCGACGCCTAGCGTGACCCCGGAGATGTTGAAGTCATCCGAAATGGGGGTGGTTTTGAGGACGAGGGGCGTCATATTGTTGCGAGATAGGTTTGGGGGGACGTTTCCGTTCTGAATGTCGCGGAGGGTGATACCTAAGGGGAGATGGGTGGGCTTCTTGGGTCTGTCGCGACCTATGAAAAAAGAGGGGTCAGATGGGTGGGTGGTGGTGTGAGGGGTGGAGGTGGTGGAGGTGGCTGTGTTGTTCGCATTGGCGCCATCCTGCTGAAGGTGAGTCTGTAATAAGGTCGTTAGGCGTTACGTACGAGAAGATGAGCTAATTAGTTTAGTGTGGTTTTCTATATTTTATTTTATTAGGGATGTTTGTTGCGATATGTTAATTTTTTTGGTAATAAAATTGTCACCGAGTAATTGGTAAAACTCTGTTGGGTAGGAAATTAGACACATTTGTGTAACGAATTTTTGTCAGGTCACTAGAGCCGTATGTTTCGAAATATTACAAGTTACATAGATTTATGTCCTTGTAAATTCCCATGCGTACGAAGGTATTTTTTGAAATTTTAGGCTCCCCGAGATTTTAAAATTTGATAAATTAGACATATTTGTGTCCCGATTTTTAATCACTTGAATTGAATACCACGCTATTTTTCGAAATATTACTACTTACACAGACTTGTGTCCCACTACTATAAATTCCTTTGGATAAGAAGGTATTTTTGGAAATTTTAAGTTCCCTGGGTTTTTGAAACTTGATAAAGGACCAAATTGAAAAGATGTACTTTTTTGGGTGGCAGAAAAAACAATGAAGACCACGATCAATTTCACTGATTTTTTTGTATGATATAAAGCAAGTCTTTAGCTTGAGTTTGCATAAGTTTCAGGAATGTTACATTCCTGGAACTTTTGCAGTTTGGGTTTTGGTAGAGTGGGTTCTCCGTATGCTTTTCATGGGATGCATGTTGCAACGCCAATAAAAGTATCAAGACCACGAGCGATTTTCTTTAAACTTTGCACAATGATCATTCAGGTCATTGTGCAATACATGCATGATTTCTGGGAATGTTACATTCCCAGATAAAAAGTTTTAGTGATGCTGAAATTACAAAATGAGATTCAGTGGGGAAAATGAGAAAATGTTAATTTTTTCACTGAATTACGGGTTGCTAAGGCAGGGGTTGCCAACTTTTTCTTGGCGTTTTTCGCCAAATCAACAACGAAAATGGCATAAATACCGGAAAGACTGCACATCTTTTCATCATTCTCTTGGATGAATCGCTCCCGGATTTCTTCTGCTTTCTCAAGATTTTTGTCAACTTTCTCTGGATTTCTTCATCTCCTCCTCCTCTGGACACCTCAGCCTCGCTATTCCTTCCTGATTCAGTAAGTTTATACAAAAATAATGCAACTTATGCATTCTACGAAATCCTACTTCTGGTTGAAGAACGTCAATTCAGGGCGCCCTAAATTGACGGGAGTAAACCCAGTGCAACAGTTGAAATTAGCCAGTTTCACCCTTTCTGTTGCACTGGCATTATTGAGGAAGTAGGTGGGGAGGACTGGCAACATTGAGATTGGTGTTGTGTAATCTTCAATTACATTTCTCTGTTTGATCTTGCAGAGAAATCGGTGGTAGTGGTGGTGGTGATTTATTTGAGGTACAACTACATCATTACATATTATTTTAACCCAACTAATAATTAATTAAATGATAAAATGGTATCAATTATAATCATGAAATATTATGAATTATGAAATGTTATGAATAATAGAACTGTGCAAACAATAAATCCATCTAAAATAAACCAAAAATAATATTAAATATTGTGCATTTTCATTAAAAGTTTCCACAGGTGTCAAAAATGGTCAAGTTCACGTGCTGTGTGTGCGATTCCAAGTCTGGCGTCAGGAAAAGCATGCGCTCTGCTAATGAGGATTCGCTGTGGGGAATACTACGAGGGGCAATGCTGGACATCGGAAAAATTGTTCGGCCTGACGACCTTGTCTGCGGTGGATGCTTCGCATTTCTGCATGTGAATTCTAAACGAGGTGCGGTAAACCTTCAGCTTCGTCTGGATCAAGTTGCAAAATCTAGGCCACGTAGTTTTTCAAAACCTACCCCGTGTGAAGATCCTGTTGCGTCTATGGAGCTGGATACTGATGTGTTGCCACTACCTCCAAACACGGACCAGAATGTACCAACATCGCCACGTATTCAACACAACATTCCCCCACCCCATCAAGTTGTTCCCGTTCCCGTTGGTGTACCCAGAATTCCAGTCGTTGATGTCCCAATTCCTTCCGTCATTTCCACTCAATCACACTGTTTTGTTTGCAAGTCCCCAGTCAGAACCAGAATCAAGAAACGTGCCATCATCGAGGTTTTCATTCGTCGCGGGATCCTCATTCCAGAAAACAACCGCTGCTGCCGTGAACACATGGAGAAATGTTGAAAGAAGATGTGCTCACCTCACTTGTCATTGCAAGAGATTCTTCTTCGCTAACTGGGGAACAAGTCTCGAAGTGGATGGTGACCTTGAGAGGAATTATCACAGAGAAAAAACTTCCCATGGACTTCTCCAAGGATTCTCGCCTTACCAACTCTGATTATGAGATGCTTCTCGGGGTTTCGATGGACAACTTTGACGTACTACTTGCCCATTGCCAAGGCTCTGTACGGAATAGTGCAAATCGAAGTGTGAGAAATTCCCTTGCCATCTTCCTCATGAAATTGAGATTGAACCTGTCCCAACGGGTCATTGCTTTCTTGTTTGGAATTTTGCATCAATCAACAATTTCTGAAACCATCTCTTCTGTCCTGAAGTCACTCCTTGCAAGTTTTGCCCCTCTCTACACTGGATACGGCCACAAAACTCGTCAAGAACTGTTCGACCAGCACATGAGACCCTTTTTTACATCTATCCTTGGCGTCCCTCCTGAATCTCTCATTTTGATTCTTGACGGAACCTACCTCTTCGTGGAGAAGTCCTCAAGTTTTCATCTCCAACGTCGTTCCTTCTCCAATCACAAGAAACGCAACCTCTTCAAGCCAATGATGTCAGTTTGTCCGGATGGGTATATAATAGAACCAACTGGCCTCTTCTATGGAGATAACGGCAACAACAATGATGGAAGAACAGGACTCCATAATGTCATTGCTTGAAGAAGATGACGTCCTTATACTTGACCGTGGATTTCGAGATGCCATTGAGTCGGCTGAAAGTCAGGGACTTGCATGTTTTATGCCAGAATTGTTGAAGAAAAACCAAGTCCAATTCACAACCACCGAGGCCAACAAATCCCGACTGGTTACTATGTTGAGGTGGGTGGTGGAAAGTGTCAACGGAAGACTCAAGAACAAATTCAAGTTTTTTGAAGATATTATCTACGCCAGCTACTTCCCCAAGCTTCCTGGACTTTTGAAAGTAACTGTTGCAATACTCAATGCTTTCTCTCCCCCAATCTTCACTCAATCTCCGTGGCATGAGGATTTGATTGAATATGTTGCCAGCCGACTTGAATCCCCAAATCTCGTACAAGCTTTGGTAGAACAAAACAATCTTCAAAGAGGAAATGCTGCATGGAATACCGCCGATGAAGATGACGTGTTGGAGTTTCCAGAATTGTCATTGGATGAATTAAAATTAATAACTCTTGGTCCCTACCAGTTGAATATCGGAATACAGTACAATTGGCAGCATGCCCCCTCTGGTGGTGGGTACGACTTCCAGCTTCATAAAGACATGGACGATCTCCTCCGGATAAAACTGCGGTCACGATTCTCCAGACGTCCAACACACACAGTTTGGATTTTTTTCACTCCTTGGGGACATGGGTTTGAGTCGATTCGAGGATGGTACTGCCTTTGCAAGAGTGGATCCCGAACTTTAGGTTGCTGCGGTCATGTTGCGGCGGTAATAAAATCTTCTCTGAACTTTTGATACAAACGAGTTTTCCCTCTTAAAATATTTAAATGCTTTTCCCAGGTTCTCCGGTACTTATCCTACGATAGATTCCTTCCAATCAGAAGTCGTCGGAAGTTGGATTCCGAAGGTTACTTGGATGCAACTCCCAATCAAGAAGTTCCATCTTCCTCTCAACCTGGACCATCTCATGGAGTATCTTTGGTCGCAGATGTCGTCGAATTGCTGGAAGGTGCCGATGTTAACGCCGCGGAGTCTTCTGATGATGAGGAATTTTCTGATGAGGATTAGTTGAAGAGTCGGCATATTTTTGAGTTGATTATTCTACAGTTTATAGTTTTTTTCGGCTTGTAAGCCTGTCCTCTGTATATTTATTTTGTATTGTTTCATGCACGTTCTTGTGTAAAATGCTTGTGATTTTACCACAATAAACCTCCCCAGTGTAATCTTTGTAACTTTTGTAACCTTTGTAACTTGTGTAAACTTTGTAACTTCTGTAACCTGTATAACTTATATAATCTTTGTAACTTGTATAACCTTTGTAACCTGTATAACCTTTGTAACTTGTGTAAACTTATTAACTTCTGTAACCCGTGCAACCTTTGTAACCTGTGTAACCTTTGTAATTTCCAAAATTGAAAAATAAAACATGAATGAGACTAACGAAATAAGTTATGTATGCTATGTATTTATAGAACGAGAAAAGAATTATCTGGAAATCGAAAAACAAGTTGGGGTAGGTCAGTGGGACCAAATTGATCATATATTGCATCATCCGTCATCGGTTTAAAATTATTCTGTAAACCTCCTGCATTCGACATGATACTTGCATCACAACCAACATATTTTGCTTAGAAACTCTTCATAAATTGTTTATTCTGTGCCACCCAAAAAAGACCCCATAATTTTCCTGGGGGATAAATGGGAAAGGGAGAAAAATCAGCCCAGAACGATAACCATGGTAGATACCATCCTTTCTATATTTACTTAAAATTCTGGGTATAAAGGAACACATTTGTAAACGCAACGAAAATCTATTTCGTGTGTGATTGGTGTAGGTAAGAGAGGAATAAGTGTCTATAGTTTGTAATATTTCGAAAAATAACACGGTAGTCAAATAATGATAAGAAATCGTTATACAAATGTGATTTTTATGTACGCAACGGAATATTTCCGAAAATTGACTGGTAGCATAATAATAATTCAGGGAATATGAATGATTTAAACTTGATTTGCTGGCTGTGACATTTTATTACCAAAAGTTACTAAAAGTGCGGATGGATGAGCTTGTGTTATCTACTATGTATCTCTATGAGTCAAACCTTGTTGTTATTTAGTGTGTTACTGTTCCCCTTGGAGGTCATGGTGGGGTCAGGCAGGGGGGAAGGTCAAGGGTTAAGAGGTGAGGATTCTATATGTTTCTCACAGAAGAAGTGGTCCAAGGTCGTCCAGATGACCTCGGAGGAGTCGTGGAGAGATTTCTGAAAAAAAGAGAGAAATGAATAAAACATGAGACGAGTTTTGCTATGTATTTTTTTGTCGGGATGGAAAAATTAATGGGTTTAATTCGCTGTAATTATTTACGTCTTGTTGTCCCCTGATTAATAAGTATGCTAATTTTATACAAAATTCGTTAAAAAATACAGTATTTTGAGCTATTTCTGCTCAGATTTTGGATTTCCAGGGCTGGTGCAGCAGCCACAAAAAGACGAAAATCTGCATGCGGAGTACCGTAATTTTATAAAAATATAGGTTTCTTTTATAGAAATTAACTTTTTATCGGGGTCAAAATTGTGAAATCAATTCATTTTTTCATAATTAAAAAGTCAATCTCTTCAGAAAACTTGTATTTTCGTTCGATTTTTTGTAGTTTTGATGTAGATTTTCGTCTTTTTGTTTGTTTTCCAGCCCTGGAAATGCAAACCTTGGCCTCCAAATACGGTATTTCTTTCGTACCAATATTTTGCTCGCCCTTGTCAATTAATGATGCATATGCAAATTGGAGTCTCATGTTTCCGCTGAGTGTATTCCTATTTATTTATTCAGTATCCAGCGTTTCCGAGAAGGTGAAACGGACGAAAGCTTTTTGACATTTAAATATTCTCAGCCTCGTTCCGTCCAAACGAACGAATTGATCTTTGTCTTTCCTCGTACGTACCAGGAGAGAATTCGATCCTTGTTTACGAATTGGGCAAGAGGGATTCAGTGGCCGCGGAAGGGTGGGGACAATGTCCCCACGGTTGTTACATGTTCGCATCGTCTGTCCAAGTTATACGTATAAAACTTGCCCTCCCCTATAGTGCAATGTTAATGTCCCCACGGCTTCCGCGGCCACTGAAGGATATAGAGAACAGGTCGGATTGCATGAGGAGTCTGTGATACCGATCATTCAGTGACCGCGGAAGTGGCGGGGGCGGAAAAGGGACAATGTCCCCAAGGTTGTTCGATGTCCCGATCGTATTATATAAACTCTTAACTATACAGCAGTGCTAATGTCCCCCGATGTCCCCACGGCTTCCGCGGCCACTGAGGAATAGAGAGAAGAGCAGGTCGGATTGCATGATGATCTGTGATAGGGATGAGTCAAAGGTGAGCGAGGAGGACGCGACAAAGGGCAGGAAATGTATTCGTGATTGCGAAATGTTATGTAAAAAGAGACGGATTGATTTCACAATCCTTTTCATAGCGTCTCCTCCCTTTCCGTTAGAACGCTTTTTTGAAAATTTGAGATTATCTGAATACATTTGAAATTTGAAACTTGACTTTTCAAAAAAGTTGAAATTCTTTTTTTTAATGAGAAGAAGCTGGAAATAGTTGATCTCTTTTTGAGAAATTTGAAATTTGACTTTTTAAAAGTTAATAAAAAAAATAAGATTGTTTCTTCGGAGAAGAAGAATCTGGAAACTGTAGATCTTTTTTTAAAGAAATTTAAAATCTGAGTTTTTGAAAAGTTGATAAAAATAAAGTTGTTTCTTACGAAAAAAATAAGCTAAAAAAAAGAAGCTGGTAATTGTTGATCTCTTTTTTGAGAAATTTAAAATTTGACTTTTTGAAAAGTTGAAAAAACTAAAGATTGTTTTTTACTGAGATAAAGAAGCTAAAAAAAGAAGCTGGAAATTGTTGATCTCTTTTTTTGCGGAGAAAATGTAGCGGAATAAAAAATAATGGAGAAAGTTGTGTAGAATTTATCAGTATGAAGCAGACAGCACTTTCATTTCATACGAGACTATTTATACCATACGGCAAGTGGATGTGTACAGAAACGGGATATTGTTGAGGGTGTAGTTATGCACATACTTATATTGTTGTTTTTATGAAGAAAAAAATCTGCTGGGATGGCGAGATTACGGGAACAACAGGTCAGGAAAGAAGGAGACATTTTTTACTAAAAAAAGTTTGTCCCGGTTTCGGTGTTTCGGGTGCAAGAAATAGGGAGGAGAAAGTGGTTTCGTGCAGGGGAATATTTTAAACTGGGAGAACTGCAAGGTGGGAGAAACGACGCCCCGTCGCGGTAAATAGTTCATACGCGCGTGGCTGGATGACGCATATTTCTCCCACTTTCTCCCAGTTTCTTGCACCCCGCATTTCTTGCGTTAATCATTTTTGCAGTGCAAGCAATGTGTTGCAAACCTGCAAGAAATGCAACGCTAGAAAGTAACAAGTTTCAAGAAAACATTATTTTGACCTGCAAGAAATGCAAGGCTTAAAAAACCACTTCCGGCCTGTTGAGTTCATGCAGCACGTGGTTAGGTTACGCATGTTTCTTTAATTTCTTGCACTTTCTCGCAGTTTCTTGCACCTTACATTTCTTGCGTTTCTTGTTTCAATGTGCAAGAAATGTACGTGGCAAAAACCCCATAGACGAAACACTGTTCCATATTTGTGTCATTGTCCCCACGGGGTGTACAAACGCCGACGGTAAGGATAAGTAGTTGGTTTGGGGAGAGAGAAAGTGGAGAAAGTTGTTTAGTTGCGGAGGAGGGGATCCTATTATTTTTTGGAGAAAGTGATCTCTTGGCTGGCTGGATTGGTGGAAGCAGGAGAGTCAGCAGCTTTTCGGGCATGGCCAGCATTTTTATGAGCGAGAGACGACACCACCACTTAGGAGGGGAGCTTGCGAGGTTGATAATAACAGATATTGGTGCCCTTTGGATATGTGGTAGGGACCCATGAGTGTACTAAAACCCTGAAGTAGTTTGACTCCATGGCCACATTTGCGCCCGCCACACCCACTCAAAAATGTCCAAAAAACGCTTTCACCCCAGTTTTCACTCACTCAAATCCACGCCAAAAATCCAATTTTACTCGGATTTTGAAATTTCTTTCACCATTATACTCCCAGATAGTTGCTTTCTTCAATCCAATATCAAACTCAATTTTTTCGAAATTTTTAGTATTTTTAAAATTTAAAATTCTGAATGAGCATTGTTGTAGTCATCAACAAAACAAATTATGTTTGCGAAATAATCATCAATAAAATTGAGTTTGATATTGGATTGAAGAAAGCAACTATCTGGGAGTATAATGGTGAAAGAAATTTCAAAATCCGAGTAAAATTGGATTTTTGGCGTGGATTTGAGTGAGTGAAAACTGGGGTGAAAGCGTTTTTTGGACATTTTTGAGTGGGTGTGGCGGGCGCAAATGTGGCCATGGGGTCAAACCACTTCAGGGTTTTAGTACACTCATGGGTCCCTACCACATATCCAAAGGGCACCAAGATCTGTTATTATCAACCTCGCAAGCTCCCCTCCTTAATAAAAATGGATGGATAGTTGGTCCGGGTGGTTAGACGAGTAAGTGGATGACATGACACTCTGGGAGGGGTGATAAATGAGTGTCTTGTTAGTTACAGGGGACGAGAAATTCAGAAATATGTCCCCTCTCAGAAATATGACGGGTTTTTTAATATCTTTTTAAGTCTTCATGATCTCACACTTTAAATAAAATATTTAGAGTAAAATTTGAGACGGCACAACGATGAAAGTTTATCTAACTGAATGTAAAATTTTATTGTGTTTCTGGTGAAAGTAACCAGTTGCAAGAAATAACGGTGTGATATAACCCAAAGTGATCCTGATCAGTTAATTAACAATTAATTAATTAATTAGTCACGTGCTATTTATTTATTATCAGTGTTTCTGGTGAAAGTAATCACTTGCAAGAAATAACGGAGACAAAGTGGTTTTTTGCAGGTAAATATTTTGACCTGGGAGAAATGCAGGGTGCTAAAAATGACGCCTTGGTGCTGTAAATACTTCATAACGCATGTGGCTAAACGGCGCATATTTCTCCCAGTTTCTTGCACCTCGCATTTCTTGAATTACTTCCTTCCCTTTCCAAGAAATGTATGTAGCAAACCCGCAAGAAATGAAACACTTTTTTATCTCAGGTTTCAAAATATTCGCAGAAAACCTTGCACAAAATTTTAGTTGTGATTATCTATCAAATTTTGCTTGGATAAATTTTAGCCAAATTTATTTACAGTGCTGAGGATAATAATATTGTCCCCAAAGTTGTGTTCTGCGGTGCCTGGCTGGCTGGTCTACTTTGACAATTTTTTGTCGATTAACTTTTTTAGCCTTACGTTGCAATAAATAAGTGAGGGCAAGCAATGGCATGGGCAGTTTGGTTGGATGAGTGAGTGAGCTGAATCCTAATTGTCAATATAGATATGTATCGTTATTTAGGAGACGGTCCAGTTTTTTTTCCTTTGTGAGAAACAAATAAATAACTGTTTTTGTATACATGGAGGACATTAGAGAGGTCCATTTTTTTCATGGTGTGTATGTGGATCGATTGGGTAAAAATTATTGATTCATGAGCAGAGAGACAGGCGAATTCGTGATTAACAAGGATATACTGCGGATATTTATTTAATGTCGATGTGTTCGAGATTTGTGATGCCTAGTTTTTTAGGTGTGTTCACGAGAGGAGTAAAATTTCTAGGTATTTTTCAAAATTTCTAGGTTTTTGCAAATATCACTATTTTGTAAATATTACGCCCATGTATACCTACTTTTTCGGAAATATGTAAATACAAAAAATTTTTTCAAATTTTGTCCGTGTGTTCGACAACTTGGAGTAAAATTTCGAAATATTTTGTAGGTTTTTCATAAATATGAGTATTTGAAACATTTGGCTTCCTTTATCGAAAATATTTATACAAATTTTATAAATATTTTGTGAATTTTGTATGAAAAGGGGATAAACGAAATTTGCTAATTGCGAATGTTGATAATTAAGTATGTAGTCCCATTTTTTTGGAAATATTAAATTCATATGTAATAATTTCGGTGATTTTCATAGGTTATTTCGTATGAAAATATTTTTTGCAGACAAGAATGGTCAAATTTTGAAAATTGAATTTTAAAATAGTTTGTCTCATTTGTTCATACATACTAAATTCGAGGTACACATATTTCCGTGATAAGTACGTATCTTCGTGTCCGTCGAAGAGAGTAAGTGGTTATGAAATATGGTA